GGAGGAGCCTGCGGAAGATGCAGAGGAAGAGACCGAACCCGAGCCAACGGACGACGAAAAACCGTTGGTCGAATGATTTAGGAGTGCGACTTTAAGCGAATAGGTTTGTTACTGGCAGGTATAGAGCACATTTCAGGGGGTCGGTTTGTAAAGAGGAAAGGGGCATCGGAGGGATGGGAAACGGCGTTTACGTATACGTGTTTATATTTGACATTTCAATTTTCTTTGTGTTTCGTATTTATACATTTCTAGAAAGTCCAGCTTCCCATTTTCATTTCATCGTGATCTCGTGAATATAATCCCCCTTTTCCTTCCCATCAACTACGCATCCCCAACTCTCATATATAGCAACTAACACCTCCCCACACCCACCTAACAAGTCTCCACCGCACCCCTCCTCGCACTAGCATCCACCCTCAAAAACGTCCACTCCCCCTTCGTAACCGGCGTAATATCATCCCCACGATTCGGCGTCAATGGTCCCGGTCCCCGCCCCGGAAACGCGCTCTCAAGATCAAACTGATAACTAATCGCCGTATCCAGCTCCACACCCCTCGCGCTCTCACCCATGGAAATGGCGGTCAGCGGCACGGCGGTGCCCGGGTCGGAGGACGAATAGGGAGATACGGGGGAGAAGTAGGATGTCTCTGAGCAGAGAGAGGAGGTGCTTGCGGTTGAGAAGCGCACGTTGAAGGTTGGTGTTGGTCGGGTGAACGAGGTGGTTAGGCTCAACGTGGGGATGGCGGCGGTGCGGACGGGTGTTTCTGCGACGTCGATGGCGCCTGAACGGGAGGAGCCGCCGTAGGCGGTTTTGTAGGCTTGGTTTATGTCTACGAGGGCGGGGAAGGATATGCCGAGCCATGGGTATGAACGGGTGAGATGGGATTTCGTTATGGTAGTCCCTGGGCCCTGGGCGAGGATTAAACGGCGGAGCTCGTCGACTGCGAGGGTTAGGGAGGGGGGCGTCAGGGTGCGGGAGTAGAGTTGCAGGTGGGTTTTGAAGGTGTAGACGTGGTCGAGTGAGAGCAATGTTAGGCCGCCGGAGGCGAAGATGATTTCATTTTGGGAGAGGGAGCGGGCGATTAGGTCAGTAGGGGCCGAGGTGGTGGTGTAGGGTTTTGGGACGAGCCAGCCTGTGCCTATGGATGGGTAGCGCTTTTCGGCGCGTTCTATGGTGGAGTTTAGGAATTTTGAGGAGCGAGGACTGATTGGTGCTGTTTGAAGGAGGGTGATGCCGAATGGGTTGGGTGTGCTTGGTGACATACATGGAAGAGCTGGTGATGTTGTGGCGGTGAGGACGTTTAGTCTTGGTGCAGCAGAGAAGTCTCTTGGTGAGGTAGGAAGAGAAGGGTATTGAGTCCTCGACAGACTAGCCGATGAAGCGACAGACGAACAAGTCGACGAACCCGAGGAGAAAGCAGATCGTAATGAAGATCTCGACGACGACTTGCTAAGAGCTCGAGAGAAAACAGATGAAGACGAGGAAACCTTCGAGAAGATAGAATCGGTAGGTGATGGAAATGTCGCTGAATCCGGTGTCATTCCCGTTGACGGGACCTGGACTTCTTTTCTTATAACGATAAAAGCGAAATGCATATTCTTCCTCGCCAGCTTCGACGACACATACTCCAACGCCGTCGTGACCTCCATCGGCAACCTCTTAACATCCAACAACGAAGACCCAGCTTCCAGCGGATACGAAATATGATCTTTCGAAATGGGAGGCATTATGAATTAGGCAATCCTCAGATTGTACAAATTACAATTGCAGCAAAAGAATTCGATCAAGGAAAAGGTAGAAATCAAACAGCCGATCCTTGATTCTCTAGATTCACTACCAGGACGTTGTGTGATATATCACCACTTCCGCCTCGAGTCCCCGCACCCTCGTCGTCAGCCACGAAAATAAACACAAGCGCACATGCAGCATGCGTGCCCGCGATGGAAATACCTACATCTGAACCTACATGATAGAGTTGATGGCAATTCGAGTGCGTTTCTGGCCATCAACGACGTTGATCGATAGCTCTAAGCGCTGCGTCTATGCGAGGAAACTTTTGACGTTGAGATGTCGAAGCGAGAGCTATTTTGGCATTTTGTATATCACTGTCATTGGCTGATTCGTTTATGTGGGGGGTTGAAAATAGAACAAATGGCCGGGAGAGGTTATTTTTGGATCTGGGCGTTCGGGCTCGCTTGCTGCATGGCCCCCCTTTTTCAATCCAGAGCGCTAGCGAGTACTTTTGACTTGCAATATTCGACATGTGATGGTGTCTACTTATCAAATCGTTCCGGCAGGTACCAAAATACCGGGACTCTGATGACGCTCAATACTACCCTGGACGGATACAGAACCACTCACGCCTCACCACGCACCTTCCCCTCACCAACAAGCGACCATGAACCTGTGTTACTATCTCGAGAGAACGTGTGATATGCTCTACTACATGCAGCTAGAAAATTGTTCCTCGCAATTGTGACGAACTCTTCGTCCCTGGCATTAGTGCATGCTCGTCACTCTTTAATAGCACTTTCTAAATAAAACCCAGCGGCTCCTCAAACACAGTCTATTTCATCCCCGCATTCCCAAGGCACTGATTCTCTACTTCAGTATACTTTTCTGAAACACGTCTTTCCTTTCACCTCGATGGATTCTGTGATATCACTAGTGGAGTGGGGGCCATATGAAGTGGAAGGTGGTGACGAGCCACACCCTCGAAATAGGCCTTGCGTTCCGAACCAGAGTGCCGGTGATCATGCCCTACGCCTTGTGAAAAAGCGAGATTAGATGCCGGTCGCAGATAGAGCCTCAAGACCTAGCTTCATGCGGGTCAACAAAGGTCTGGGAGGAATGTGATCCTTCGGTGGCCGTGGCTTTCTCGGTTTGCAGCTTAAGTTTTAGGGTGTCTTGTACGACATGAAGTTTTTGAGTGTGAGATTGAGATTCGATGCGAGGCAAAATCTATCATTTCTACCTAGAGCTTCGTTCTCTATGCATTGCGAGACTACATGGGATGATGGAACAAGGCCATTGCTAACTCTGCTCCTCAACCATCAATGACCTTAGACGCTCAATACTTTGGCAGACCTCATAACTTGCTTCTGCGCTTATTTCAGATGTCAAGCACAAAAAACATTAAAAGACCGTTTATAATAGAGTTTAAATTCATTATCATCATTCACAACTATCTCATTTGCCAAAAGACACTGCGATCAATAACCCAAACAGCACGTCCAAACAGGACACTCATCATCCAAATCTTCGCCGATGCCAAATGACTCAAAGAAAGAATAGCAAATGAGTTCGCCACCATCCACCCCCTATAAACATATTTCAAAGAAGTGTACGCATCGTCCTTTACAGCCGGCCACATGTCCTACATCAACCTCAGACAGGACCCAAACAAAAGTATATGTAAATTTATGCCGCCCGGGCAGGAAGACAATGACTGTGAAGTCGTAACCGTTTATGTTGCGGCCGGATTAAAACAAGATTATCCATGAAGATTGAAGAATGGAAAGAGTAGTCATGTCGTGGATTCGTAAACCATTGCGACATATCCATCGAGGAAATTTTACCTTTGTTGTCGAGTTTCCTTTTTATCATGGCTATACGATCATGCTCTTGGTTCTCGAGTGATGTCGTTGTTCTTTCCGGCTGGGGCCAAGCTCTGTCTTCCTCTTGAGACTGTCCTCGCGCTTGAGGACAAGGTCACACCATTTGCTTTTCGCGTCCCCTTCTTTGCCGACACAAGCATCGAGAACTTTCATCCAGCCCTCTTTATCAGCGGCTGTATCGGCGTAGAAATCGATGACTTCGCCATTGTTAAATCTGATTCGGAAACCCTCTTCAACAAACATGTAGCCTTCTTCTTCTTCAGCGAATCCTGACTTGCGGCGCTTGCCACCTTTGCCGCTGGTCTCTTTTTGTGTAAGAGCTCGACGATCATCGATCAGCTTGCTTGCATTCGCAAGATTGATGGTTGCACGAGGCTGGCGAGTTGTCTCGTGATATGCAGTCAGCTTGCTGCCGACCAATTTGAAGTATCGTCGACGCCAGTACTAGAAATATGTTAGTATAGATTAAATTACTGATAAGATAACGTGACATACCGGACAGTCGCCACCCTGTTGGCTTAGAGGACCTTCCCAATTCCTTGCGGTAGCAACTTCGGCTTCTTTCATTTCACGAATACAGGAATTCATGCTTTTGGGCATGTCATCATCTGTAGCACCCTTTGGTTTTGGTACAAAAAGAAGTTGCAACTCCAACTTGCCAACCTTGTAAGGTGCTCGTCGCTGAACATTAGTAGTACCACGTTTGCTCTTGACACTTGACGAGTGAGTAGCTTCCTCGGTAGCCCATTCATTGAAACACGCGACATCAACGATGTATGGTCGACCAAAGCAACGGGTCTCGTGGTCTTTGAGGCACACGTACGATCGTCCGAAGCTACCATCTTCCGCGGCAAGCGGCGAAAGCAGATCCCATGCGGTTGGTTGAGCTGATAGTCTCTTTGCTTGAGCTTCCTGTTGATGGTGCTCGGCAATTCGTTTTTCTTCCTCTTTTTGTCTCATTTCCAGTTCCTTTCGCTTTTTCGGTGAAGCAAAGACGCGGCTAAAGGTGGACGGTTTAGAGACCTTTTGACTCTTCGTGGGAGATTCCGTGACCCTGGTTGGAGGAGGCTTGACCAGCTTGGCATTGAGGGTGAGTTGAAACTCTAGTTCATTTGGAACAACAAGCTCGAACTCTTGACCTATTGGGGCATTTCTTCCAAGCTCTAGCCATGCTGTTGTTACACAGTGAACACCGTTGTCGAGTGTTAGGCTGAACCAGGTTTGTTCATCTAAGGCTATTGGTTAGCGAATAGCAAAAGCCTCCTGGGATAGAATTACGTACTCTTGGGTAATGGAAGATCCAGATCTTTGACACCAATGACCTTCACGAAAAGCCTACCTCTCTCTCCAACCTCTTCTGACGAGACATCAAGGGATGGCTCCTCGGTTACCATTCCCAAACCTATTGCGTTGCTCTCTTGACCAGGCATTGGCGGTACAGGACCTGGTGCAGGCTTCTTCCTTGGAATAGATTTGCTGTTTTTGCGATACTGACCATTCCAGGGCTCCACGGTCCATGATTGAGGCCGTTCTTTCTTCACAGGCGAGTTACCCGCCGACCGACTACCGCGATGATCATCGCTCGAGTGGTGGTCGCTGCTAGCCACGACAAGTTTCGTGTTTTGTCTCATAAGATATCCGCGCTGTTTACGAGGAGTAATATTAGCATAAAATTCATGAGGTATGGTAGCATTGGAACCGGACGCTTGTCCGGTCTCGTTGGATGTGCAAGTTGCGTCTGAAAGAGATGAGGTGTAAGCAACCTTTTGAGCTTCGATCACCCTATCGAAATCTTTGTCAAGACTCAGTCCCAAATCAGCACCGATGTCTAGCGTCAAAGACTTCTTCTTAAAGCTGGGGTGTCTTTCCACCATCTCTCCAGCGCTAGTGTAACCGTCTTCTGGAGCTGGAGAGGGCCGATCGCGATGACGTTGTGGGATAGCCGGGATATTAGGTAGTTCACTGCTGACAATCCGTCTCATTTCTCGCATTGCTTGGAGGTCTGAGGGTGTTGCCGATGGACGTGTCTTGAGCTTCGAGCCAACTGTAGATTTGATAGTAGCCACCTGTTCTGGGATTGCTGGTGATTCGCGAGGTGGAAATTGTTCTTCGTCAATTGGATGACGAATGACAGAATCGGGTGTTCCAGACTCATATTCCTCGTCCTCCTCAGGGCCCCAACCAGACCCATCATACTCAGGTTTCGAGGTAGGAAATTGTCGCTGTTCGGGCGTCTCAGGCCTTCGAAGGTACTCATGGGCTTGTGACATGCTTGGTGCCTCGGACGGTCGTTCGTCTTGTGGGGAGATAGGAGCTTGATCAGTCTTAGCAATGGACGAAAGAGGCTCGTCTTTTGGTGGGGGAGAAGGTGGCTGGTCCATGTAAGATGCAAGACTTAATCCAAAATCGGTACTTTTTCCCAAGAAACCTTCAAATTCTGGTAATGAGCTCGTTCTGCTCTCTTTCACTGGATCTTGAAATTCAATTTCCTTGGTTGGTGTCAAAGCACGTGGAGTTGGAGGTCCATCATCGTCAGGACCGCTATTTGAATGAGATTGAGGGCACTCAGTAGAAGCTGAAGGATCAGAGTAGTGACTTTCAGCGTCGTCCTCACCAGGGATATCCTGTTCATCGCTGTACTGGCTCATTTGTGATTCTGTTGGCTGGTACATTTCAGGGATGGCGTACACATCAACATCATCATCATCCTCCTCTGGTTCTGGCTTGATGATGACACTGTCGTCTGCGTTATTATCGACATCGTTATCCATAATTGCAGAGTCTTCTGTAGTAGGAAGTGGAGTGTCAGGATCTAGAGCAGTTGGGCGCTCGGGGCTGGAACTAGGCATTGGTGAAGAGAAATTGTAGTCTGAATCACGAGAGAATGCATCCTGGCCATGTACTTTGCGCATGATGGATTCTCTTGATATCCGTGGAGGGAGCTGGTAGGAGCCTAGATCTGGTAGGTCATCGACAGTGTCTTCGTCTTCATGGATTGGGACTGATTGCGAACGCTCTCGTTCTGGCTCTGGCGTCTGGCTGTTGCGTTCACGAGGACCTCCTCGTCGCAGCCGCCGCTCTCGTTGCAATTCAGCAGCGGTCTTCGGCTTGCTCTCATCGTCTTGGATCATCATCAATTGAAGACGCTCTTCTAATGTCAATTTGCCACCGTTCATGCTCTGAATCTCCGACTTGCTGAACGAAGCTGGTGGGGGCGGTGATGGAAGACCACGCTGTGTTGCGCGTTCAGCAGCGGCAGATTGACCGTTTGACGAAGCAGATCCACTACGGCCACGGGAATTCATGCCAGGAAGAGGAGGCAATGGTCGGTGTTCTCCGTTTGAGTTCAGAGAATCATTACGTACTGCAGCTGGACGGCCCATGGAGGAAGATGGGCGGGCATCTGGCATTGGACTACCCTCTGGGCCATCGAAGGGGTCGTCAAACCGACCAGACATGATCCCGTTGCGGTGATTTTCCGGGCTAGTATGTCTCCAGTCCTCAGGACCAACGACAGGGGTTTTATCTGTATCCTCGAGAGACGCGTCAAAGCTATCATCCGGCTCAAGGGAGTGTTCCATAGGATAGAGCTCGGATTCGTCCTCCTCCCCAGAATCATAACTGTTTTCACGAGATCCTGTGCCGATCGAAGAGATATCGGGTGTTACCATCTCGTACTCATTGATCTGAGGAGGCGCCTGATCAAACGTAACACTCTTTGCGTGTCGGTGGAGTATGCGCCCTGGCGGAAGGCTTTTCTCGTCACTCGAATCTTCAGCAGACCAAACACCGTTCTCTGAATCAAAGCTCGACTTGCCGTTGAATTTGCTCCCAGAGAGTGATGATTTCGTTGGTGATATTTGGTCCTTACTGGGCGAACGAAAACCATTTACTCCTGTTATCTTCAATGGTGATCGCGTGGGGTTGTATAGAGGCACGCTCGATTGGCTCTCGCTCCTTTTGTGTCCAAAGTTTCCAGCACGCTCAGCAGATCGCAGCCCTTCCAGTCCAGTCCCACCATATGCATTTCCTTGCAGTTGTTTCGCCAAGGGTCGTTCAATCGTAGGTACTGAGGCGGGGTCGTATTCCTGCTTCTGTTCACGCGCAAACATGTTGCTATTCTTGACGCGCGATGCTTTCTGCAGTCGCTCAATCGAGGATCGTCGAGTCGGCGAGGGCGAAGATTCTCTTCCTCCATACAAATCGTTTTCTGATCTAAAGCGGCTAGGGGTGGCGGGATCGCGGCCTTGCCAAAACAGTCGTGGTGACGAGTCGGCGGATGGATTGAAGGGGGAAGTCTGGAATGGGGACGAGTCCATGTTGAGCTGTGTCTTCTGCATACACCATTTAGTACTTAAGTCTCGGAATGTCTCAGAAACTGCGAGCGATGTTTACCTTCGATGGCTGCGGGAAGCTAGGTGAGTTCCTTCGCATCTCCGTTGGCCCTAACTCAGATAGAGGTCGTGGAAGCTTTGTGGGCGACAATGATGGCCCTTTCTGAATGCGCAATGGTGGGACCTGTCGAAATTAGTATTACGGCAGTGGTGTTTCCTGAACCTGAGCAAAGGTAAACAAGCCATGGAGGAGCTTACAGGCTGCGACGGCGACGCCATCTCCGCTATAACTTAACGAATACCTTAAAATATCGTTGATAACCGACTATTCAAGACGATATGCCTATTTTGGTATGAGAAGTTGCTCAATGTGGTGCTGGCATGGAAGGATAGTGAATGTTGACGCAGATTTGCGACGCGAGGAATGGCGCGCCCGAAAAGAAGTGACTGATGATTATCAAATCGATATAAACCTTTCGTCTCTCTTTCTCCGCCAAAAGTCGCAAATTGCAAAAGAATGCTCAACACTGCAGATCGAAGAGGAAAAGGATGGGTGAGGTTGTGGTAAGAGGTTGATAACTGGTTTGTTAAGCTTCGGTTGATGCTAGCCTTGTTGTGTTTTGAGGAGCTCCGTTGCTGGGTGACAACCATAGCCCGCTTTAGGTCCGTTTCAAGCAGCTGTACGAACTCCACCGCATATAAGAGGCACCAACCACGACATCATGCTATTTCTTGCTTTTGCTTTCAGGCACAAGGGCTTGAGCTGCAGTAGTCCTGCATAGTTCCGAGAGTCTGCTTCGTTGTGATTTGTTGATACAGAATATCGAGCAGCTTTCTGGTTGACGAGTCTTTTCAAGGAGGACTCGCGCCGGGGACCGCTGGTCTACTATTAGATCAGCTGACCCCCGTCGTGCAAAGGCAAAACAAACAACGTAAACATGGAGATCTCGCTGTGCAGCAAAAGCGGCTTTTCGAGTAGCTTCACAATTGAGGGGTAAGAAACACTCCATTCGTATGTCGAAAGTGGTGGTGCATTTCTGCTATTCCGTTTGGGGTTGAGCAGCTGTTCATGGCGCACTGCTCAACCCGAGATATTGATTCAATCTGCAAGTTACTGAACACACGCAGTGAGTGGTGGTAAGTGGCTTTACTTCCAAGAAGTCAACAATATGTTCGCACGACAAGTGATAAAATATTCCGAAAATAATCTATAGGCATTTTAAAGTACCACACGTCACTACGTGTGTCAATGTTATTATTTGTTATGTCGAAACATACAATAATACCACTCACTCATGGCTGGAATGATGAATATTCAATTCAGGAGGCGTACCTCTGTCAGTCTCTTCCTCACCTCAGTCCCGGCTCGTCCTGTCAGCATGGGCTTAGAGAGTAATATCAATTTGAGCTTCCAGGTTCTCCAGCAGGCGAGACCTTGTTGAGGGAGGTGCAGTTGGCAGAGGAAATCTCTACGCGTCCAAAATTTTGCATGAGGGTAGGGTTCATAAGACTGGCAAGTAATTATGGCACGCATTCTAGGTACTTCAAACCTTTCTCCTGATACAACTAAGGAGAACTGGGATGGGATTTCCTAAGGTCAGATTGTACATATTAAAGTCAACAGCTGAGACCGATGGGTCATGTTGATCATGTAGGCGTAAAGAAAATGTCACATATGGTGAGAACAGGAAGTTTAAAACCTTTATATTCCTAAAGTGCATCTACAAAGCGGTATACCCATTGTCCATACACGCCATTACCAAAACCCGATGTTAACATGATCTCCTAAGCCCGGACGCCATCCAAACCCACAAAAGGTTAATCCAACGCCACAAGGGCACGCGAGCCCACGTCTACTCTCTCCAAAGCCATTTCTCAAATTCCTCGCCAGCCCTTTCTTTAGGAAGTTCTTCAAGTTTGGTTTTCCAGTTAACAGAGAAGGCGCCGAAGCAGTCGTGTTTCTGTGGGCGCTTGGTGAAAGGCTTCATGTCCAAACGATCAATACAGCTTTTCCCAGCACTAATAACCTTCGCTTCGCAGAACTTCTTGGCCCACCAAGCAGCTCGTGCTGCGTCAGAGTGCATCGCCGTTACCTGGAAGGCATCATAGTAGGCTCGGCTCACCCTGTCATCCTTGATACCTTCGACCTCCAAGATCTCCAGCAACTCCTTACAATAGCCCAAAGCCTTCTCAGGGTCATGTCTTACAGTTTCCGAGTCCCCGATATCAATATGCAACTCTTGAATCCTAGAGAGTCTCTCGTCGCTTGCCTTGAGATCCGCCTCATCAGAATCACAAAGTTTGCAGGTGCAATCAAATCCGAATGACTGCTTCAAAACGGCTCGCCGTTCTTTGGAGGTGCCACCAGAGAGATAGCTCGTTGTGATCTCTTCGCCTTCCTTGATATCTTTAATTGCGTACACAGTTTCCTCTCCCTCCTCACCCAACAACCCGTTCCAGTTCTGAACCGCATTAGGCAAACAGCCATGGTTAATCCGACTGATGTTCTCAAAAACACCTCCGCATCCTGCATCAGCTCCAAGAGGGTATCCGTTGCTTCGAATGATACTAGTGAGTGGGTTTCCCTGGCCAGGGAAATTGTTGTGTAGACTCAAAAATGCCCGTTGTTTTTCTGCGGGCAAAGTGCGAAGATGGATGGCCAGATCGGTCTCTGTGTTTTCGACTGAGGTGATGACATCCGTGGTGAGGAGAGGAGGTTCGCTGATCAAAAGAGTTCCTGCTTTGATGTTCTGAGAAGCAATTACTCCTCTACCCTTGTTATCAACGTATTGGACTGTCCAGAGATTTGGTTGTGCCTGTGGTGCTACGAGTCCTGGCGAGCCTGTGTCATTTGGCGGTGGGGAATCTTTGCTTGGTGTCATTGCGAGTGTTCGAAAATAGCGATATCGAAATGTTTGTGGTTATTGAAATAATTGTGGTTATCAAAATAATTGTGGTGGGCAATTTGGGAGCAAGAGGATGTGAAGCTTAGAAGCCCAGTTGCAGCTTTAATATACGCCAGACGTCCTGTCGTTCTGGAACTAAGATCTCACGTGAACGTTGTGTCTTGTAGGGTTTTAATTTTTTTTCTCTTTTAGTTCCGTCACTTTACTCTTTTTGGAAACGAAAGCGAGGGACGGCGCGAATGGCACGAAAGTACTGCGACTTCTGACACCATAACACCAAGAATTTGTTGCTAGGAAGATATGTACACATTTATGATATCATTTTACTTCATTATCAGTCCTTCAGTAATTTTGTTTTACCATGTTTAAGTGGATTTACGGTCAAGTGTTTGTCGGGCATAACTCTGCCGCTGGGATTCCGGAGATGCTTCCGGATCGTACTAAGATGAGTCGTCTTCAACCGAGAACCACAGTGTGAACCTCGCTGATGCTGACAAAGTGAGTTTCTATCACAACAAGCGTTTTCAATCAAAATTTAAAGGTTTGCACAGATTCAGGAACAGTGGATGGATTACTGGCAATTCTTTGAACATGAAAGGTCTACTTTTGAGACATGTTATTAATTCCGGTGTCTTGCAATTATTAGTCTATACTAACGGTCTCCCCAACGAGTCCAGCGTAATAATCCTTTGAAGGCTCCTTCAAAAACTACGCAACCTCCCATCCCTCAGCGACAAGATCGTCTAGATGAGCCGTAAAGCAGTTAACTCCATCGGATAGATGGAAGAACCCTCCAACTCCGCCGGCCTCGCATTGAACGATTGGTGCCCCACACATTCCTTCACATATAGTATTGTTCACCGCACCGAATATTGCGTCAACCGAATATGACTGCCATTCTCTGAAGTCAATTTCTGGATGTCCAGCCGGTCGTTTGGGCTTCAAGAAACGCCTTCCATACGTCAAAAGTGTTACGAGACCTGAGCTCATCCCGTCGACCTCCGACCAGGAACCTTGTATAATTTCAGAGCCTCTTAAAAGTGTCCGCGGAGTTTCAGCTTGGAAGTAGCAAGTATTTGTGAATTTTGCAGATGCAGTAGGCGTAAGTCTAACCAGTGCTATATCAAGTTGCGGCCTGGTATCGATGATATCGCCGATCTTGTCCTCGCCGGCAAATGGATGATAAACTTCACTAGAAATTAAGAACCCATGGTGAGAAGCGGTCAACACCTCTTGTCCATCAACTCGTCTGAGCTTTACCCCTGCCGATGTTGCAGCGTTAATACCCTCAACATGTGAACCTGTCATACCAAAGCCATATTCTAGTCTGCAGCCTGGGCTTAAATGCGATGTTTGCCGGAGATAGTTGTGCGCATCTTGCGGCATGGGTCCAAGATTCATCGGAGGATGCTGAGCAGGGTCGATACGGCGTGCTCGTGTCATATTCTTCATTGATTTGTAAAAACGAGCTTCAGCGTGATGATATAGTGTTGTCCGTCCTGCCACGGTACCTGGAAGGGACCTAGGCTCATAATGGCGACCATCCCCATACTCTAGCTCAACAATGGTCCAATGTGGCATATAAATAATTTCGCGGACACTTGCCAGAGGTTGTAATGCGGTGAGGATAGCGGCATTCTGCTCTTTGGTAGGGAATTCCATCTTGGCCCACCGAACAGTAGGGCATGGGTCACCAATTCGAGGACTGGGATATAGACATTGGGGGATGGGTTCATGATGTTCTTCACCAATGCCGATGAACATAACCGGCATACATCCCACCGTGAGCGGTACTGGCTGCGGTGGTTTGGCTGTTTCGATCCACAAGTACCATCCCGACATTCCAATTTGGCCATCTCCAAAATTCACTCGTAGCCATTTCAACTCATTTCCTGTTGGCATTCGATATTCCCGTTTATTTTCGTCCCATAGGTTGAAAGGTGCCTTGTCGTTTATATGCCTTGCGCCCCAGCCCCCAGCATTTTCCCACCTCTTCGGTTCAGGGTGTGCGTGTGATAGGGTTAGTGTCGCGTGCTTCTCTGAGGAACGGGATCGGAGCGGACTCGTCGAGGCGTTGGTGTATATGTCTATGTACGGGGAATTTGCTTGAATGCGCTGTACCAGCGGTGATAGGCGAAGTAGGGTCATGGTGGTTGTCAAAGTGCAGAGTGCAGAGTGCGAGAGAAAGAAAGAAAGAAACATCCAGAGAAAGATAGGTAGCTGGGGACTAGTTCCAAAGGCAGGAGCAGCACTAGTCGTCCGGCCAGGTGACCAAAACCCTTTATCAGATCGTTTTCCCATCGAGAACTTCGCTGGTGCAGCAAAAGTGAGTTACTACCCCAACAACTCTTTCTCGATTGCTCTTAATGTTTGAGAAATTTGTAAATGAGATAGCTGTTAAATTCAAACTTCGAACAGATTGTATTAAGGAAGAGTGGTAAAAAGCTTTCCCAATCGAAAAGTTGCGCCAGTGATCAAGCTGGGTTCTGGTTCAAGAAGAAGGATCGCTGTCACATACCTAAGTAACTCAAGCTGAGAAGGTTTAGCTAATAATACAACACTTTGCATATGAAGTCAGGACGACAGCCAGGGGAATAATGATATGATAAGGCACGTGACCAACCTCGATTGCTTTCATTTCCGTACTGCGACGGAAAAGTTCTTAGGAATGTCTCAAAGTTAGAGAACAAATCGATTGAACGCCGAGTTTGGTACTCGATAGTTGAAGTGCTTAGACCATTTCGTCCACCTTCGTTTCTTTTACCACAGTATCTAGGAGCTCTTGCTCTCAAGGTATTTGTCATTCTCCATTGCCGGAAAAGTCTTTTTAGAAGATTGATGAAAGTAGGGACTTTAGGGAAGCTGCAAGATATTTAGATCTTTTGAAAGCACTCGGCTTCAGACTCAGACTGCCGACCGTTCTCAAAGATAATATAAGAACTCCCTTCTTTTCCAATTCCAAAATTTTCAATTTCAATATCAAATAACACAAGGAAAGTGTTATATGTAAGCACTCGCATTAATATGAATTTCCAATTGATGTTGGAATGGCAAAGCGTGTGCATAAAGTAACATAACCAAATCTCGCTACTCATCGCAAAGCTTACCGGAGTAAATGATAGCATGATTTACCACCAGAGATTAATATGAAAAGCTCTTACGACCATCGCAATACATAACAAATACAGCAAATCCAACCAGAAATGTACTATGTAACCCAATTAAAAGTTTTGCGACTTTAATTCCGACTACACAACGCTGGTGTGTTGCATGAAATCGGGTTTTCCAACTGCCCTGCACCGGTTTGGTCCTACACGAGATAAATGGACTTGAACAGACAACTCGTGGCTATGTTTCCGCAGAATTTTTCAAAGAAGAAGTCTGATGCGGTCAAAGATCTTCAATCATCAACGGATTTACGAAGAGGATCTAGTAGATCTTCCAAATAATGTTTGTCTGAAACGTAGGATTCTCTCCACAACACGTGTTGGTGGGGCGAGTGGCCGAACAAACATTGGAAATTCGGCACCACTCCGGTTCCGCACAGGGCCGACGGACGCCGAGCGGTAATCATGATCTCCCATTGATGGAGATCTCCCACATGTCGGATCCTTCTGCCAACCTCTCCCACTCTTCCACCCACATCATTGGCCGATCCGCCTTGAAAACATTGAAGACACAGCTCTGGACCTCCAATACTTCTACAACCGGATGAACTGCTCAAAATGTCCTTGTCCCGGCTCAGGAATCAGGCGCAACTGGTAAAACCCCACCCCGCGTCCAGCTTTGCCACGTTTTGAACAGCCAATGGAATCATGTTGGACATGCGGCGACGGTGCAAAAGAGAAGCTGAGAGGCGCAAAAGATGCAGACAAGACAATATCTTCTGCTCGAATGGCATCCACCTGGACCCTCCAGACCTGCCAACCCCACGACCAGGGAAGTAATGGTATTACAGGGATATTGATGACTGGTGCATCCATTCTCTCTCTCATTCCAGGCCCCCGCCCCTCCAACTGAAGTGTCAAATATGTAGGATCATGCTGCCGAATCTCGTAGGATTTAGAGGCGTCAGGTACAACTTTCCTATCGTGTTCTCTTTTTCCCTTTTCACATCACCTCTTCATCACGACGATGCGAGATGTCGACCTCTGCGACTGGCAAGTCAACGGTTCCATTAATCACAATATACGCCGTTCCTGTCGACTCATCAACTCCAGTGGCAGCAACTACTAGTTCCACTCCTCGACCGACCGCTCAAACATTCAGCGTACCGACGACTCTCCTTACCGCCAGCAATGACGGATCAACGCCAACATTCACATATAGAATACCGGGAACGACCTCTGCTGCTGGAGACTCACCATCATCACAAGGCGGGCAGATTTCCGTTGGTGCTAAAGTCGGCATTGGAGTTGGCTGCGGTCTTCTCTTCGTTAGCCTTGTCCTTGGATTATTCCTGTTCTACAGACGGCGGAAACAGAAGATATTGGCCCAGAATCCAAATGACCCTCGATTACATCGTGACTTTTCGCCAGCACCCACCCATACGACATATGAAAAAGGAGGACTAGATTCCAGAGCGGATTTTCGGGCAGAGGCATTACACAATTACAGCATCGCAAGTCGTCTCGATAGCAGTCGTAGTGGCACGCCGGCGAGCGGGATGACAAGTAAAATGGAAAGTCGGAGCAACAGTCGATTGGATCATAATGGCAACAGGAACGAAAGTCGGCAAACCAACCGCTCGGGGAGTCCGCTTCATCGCCGTATGCCCAGTAACAATAGTCTGTATCAAGGTAGAATTACTCCTAGTTCCAACAAGTACATCGCTGAACTCGCCACACCAATTACGCCTTCGGACGGCTACTACAGCCCCTCTACAATTCATGAGCTTGATTCTGAGAAAGGGGACATTGAGATCCAAAACCAACCCCGCGATGATGAATCTATTACCGACGAAACGGAAGAACCAATTGTTTATGAGATTGTAGAGCTACCAGACACGTCAAGAAGAAGCGTCAAGGATTGGAACAGGAGGACGGCATCAATGGGCTCCACCGCATCACGGCCTACAATAAGAGATGTTAAAGATCATCGCAGTATTCCTGTCCCACCGGTACCAGAAGACCAGGAGGTTCAAACGTCATGGCTAGCTACTGCATCGAATCCGACGACACCAATCAAGGCAAAATTCGCATCATGATTACGATTTCTTTTTCACGTCACTCATTTAAAGCGACCATGGCACGGACAATCATTTAGAAGGAAATGCATTGGGGCGGCAATCGCGCATGGTGTTTTGGTTTAAAGCATTTTTTCGGAGTTTTTATTCGACCGTACATATGGGCGACAGATTTTTTGCGATTGCGGACAGCTATGTTGTCTCGAAACTTGCTTTATTTGGACAAGTGAGGGGGCCGGTAGAATCCTACAGAGGCTCAGCGGCGTATGGTGATCCACATTGCATTATCTGGGTCGCACAACCGAGAATGCAGAAGGATACGGAATTTCTCTCCACTGCTGATCAAGGCTTAGCTGGGTTGGATTGTTTCGAGTTCGTTTTGTGGGGCTGTTGCTAAGAAGGAGTCTTATACCGAGGAGTTGGAGCTGTTGTGAAGGGGCTGAAGGGCGACGAGTGAGATGCCGAAAGATGTCTTTGTCATCTTCCCTTGCGGCCCGTCACTATTTTCAGAGTGGCTTTTGATTTGCTTGTACAAATCATGTATCAATTTCAGAACTTGGTTCATTAACCAGGAAATTGCGACGAGGGAGCTCTAATTTTTATTCAGACAATATACCACAACTTTCACTACCGAAATCCGCCTTATCTGATGTATCATTAATTTGCCACTCGAGTGCATTCAACTGAAACCGAATGGTAGCATTCATGTGGTGATATTTCTTGATTTGTCGGCTTGCAAATGACGAATGGAGAAGGTGTATATCAACGTTGTACAGAAGGATGAACATGAAACTCGGCACCGAAATCACACTTGCATACATACCCTTAGATAGCGCAGATCAATTCAAATTTCGTGATCAAGGGGCCATATGTTGAAATTTGCTGCTTAGATTCAAACACTTTGTTTCATACAAAGTTCTTGTCAGGCGGTTGATGATTTTAACATCTGTATTGATCTAGGTATTACTAGACTCTCACAACGTCACAATTTAGTATCATACCCAAAGTACCAATCCATTCTACGCCTCCCCTCAACCCAACTTTACACAATCAACTTCATAACCCAGCACACAACCAACACAACCATTTCTCCCCCTCCCCTTCACAACTTCATCCCCCCATGAATCTCCACCACACTCCCATTCATATACCGACTCTCCTCACTCATCAAAAACACCACCACATCCGCTACCTCCTCCGGCGTACCCAATCGCCCTGAACTTACCATCGCCGCCGCCCTGGCGACGGATTCGGGACCGGCGACCACGGATGCGTTGGTGGGTGTGTCGATGTAGCCGGGGGCTATGATGTTGCTGGGGGTTGTTAGGAGGGTTTGTGCGATTCTTCTGGGAGATTTGGATGGGAGATTGGGGAGTTGGATTGGGGATTGGAGGATCTGGGGAGGGGGATATACGTTCGGATCCCTTTACTACCAAGTTCCAACGCAACAGATTTGGAAAATCCGATGATCCCGTATTTACTCGCACAATAGACAGCAAAGCCTGAGCCGGGACCGAGACCTTTTATGCTGGATGTGTTTACGAATGTGGAGCCGGATGGCATGTGGGGGATTGCGGCTCGAGTTACTGCGTAGATTTAGTGTTATGTATGAATGGAAATGAAAGCGGGTGGGTTACTGTTGAATAAACCTTTGAGGTTCGTGTTGATTAATTTATCCCAGTATTCATCTGTTATTTCGGCGGTGGCGAGGTCTGTTGGGTTTACACCTGCGCAGTTGAATACTGTTGGCTTATTAGCTCATCAATTCTCTCATCCCATCTCTCTTAACCATATCCGAGTTAGACGACAGAAAACACACCATGATCCACCCTCCCAAGCTTCTCAACCACATTCAAAATAAATTCATTACAGGGCTCCGTCTTTCCGACATCAAACACGGATGTGAAATGTTTCTCATGTTTCTCGAAGGCGGGGGGTGTGCAAAGAGAGAGGGTTTTCTCGAGAGAGGAGCTGGTTATGTCGGTTATGGCTAGGGTTGCTCCTAGGGTTGAGAGTCTGGGAGGTTAGTATTGTGTTTTGAGGGGGGCATTGATAGTGCTTAAGGATGGGGTTTAGGGATGTAATTGGTGAGATGTCAGGAAGCGATGGATGAGATATCGACGTACTTTATAGCAGTCGCTTTCCCGATTCCGGATCCTGCTCCTGTGATGATGATGATTTTGTTTGTGAAGGGGAGTGATGCCGTCATTGTTGCTTTTTCTATGCTTCAAGGAATGAAGTTGTTTTTGAATCATAAGATGAGAGTATGCTTGATTTATAAAATCTGTGTCTGATATGTTTGACAAATTTGTAGTGATGAAGTCAATCTCTGTAGGTGGGGTACAGTGACCTTATCGTGAGGTGGGGTCAGGAGCTCCGATGGGGGAACTGTGCAGTAACACAACTTCACAGATCCAAGTATTGACTGATCTGAGGTTTATAAATTATGAGTTTCTTACAAGTTACAACTTGGATGTTCTTGAAACCTTCTGAGCAATCGCATATCGGAGTTCTTCATGATGAAATGGTCACGTGAGGTTAACAGAACTAAGTCTAAACCCATTTTCTGGATTTCTATATAGCTATTCATGATATATGAGATCTTTGTTGATCTATAAAGGAGTGTAAGAATGAAAAATGGCTGTCTACCGTGAGAGGGCTCTTCTAAATGAAGTGATATACAACCTCGAGACCAACAACCCGACTTTTCCGTCCCTTTCCGTACAGATCCCAATGAAAAGCAGTCATAAGCATCGAATGCTCCTAATCCAAGCACCAATTCATAATTTCCATCAAGTGGGTGATCATTCAGTACATTGTCTTCCTCCGAGGTTTGAGCAAAGACACACCTGAGCTGATGTCGAGCTCGCTTCCACATCTTTACAAGGCACTTCGAGTTGATGTAGCCAACGTTGTAGGTAGATCTGATGGTACCCCAGAAGGCTTTTGGTGATCTGAACCACCACGGTACGCTGAGAAAGATCCAGAATCAAAGCCACTTGGTGCAGTGAAATTTGTTGGGAACGTGCCACTTGGAAGGGTGGTAAGATCTGGCAGAGGAATTGTGACTGCAGAATGTTTGACATCGAATCCATTGGGTCGTCCAGTACCGAAGGCTGGTGGCCCTCCGCTAGGTGCAGCACCTCTTGGGATACCCGTTGGAAATGAAGTCGGTTTGGAAAATGCTGAGTTGCCTTCCAACTTTGCTTTGTTGCCGAATTGAGGAGTGGAAGTTGGTGATGATGCATCGCCAGTTTTTGAGCGTCCTGACTTGGCTGGCCTGGCACCGTTCGAAGGTTTAGCGGCTCCAGATCTTTGTCCACTTGCTCGACCTCTACCCTTTGATCTTGACTTGGCTTCAGCAGCTACCTCAGAATTCCCAGTAGGAAACGGCCTTGCTCCACCCATAGATGTAGGAGCAGATGGGAAACCGCTCATGCCAGTGCCAACTGGATGTCCGGTGGGCCGTCCAGCGCGAGAGATCTTGTCTTTTGAGATATTCCCGTCACGAGTGAATTGGGCCACAGCGGTACCAGCTAGAGCAGCAACAATGAAAGAAGTAATCTGCATGATTTCGGCTGGTTTGGAAATGAGAGTTGAAGTTGCGGAGAAAGATTGATGTCTAGAGAATGGAAAATTCCGGTCAAGGAGAAGAAGAAGAAGAAGCAGAAGAGAAAGGCGATGATGAGCCGTGAGGATGATGAGTAGAGAATGCAAAGTACCTTCTACTTATACTTTTATCACCACATAGAGTTTGAGTCCGAAGTCGACAATAGATGAGCCCAGATCCGTGGTCTTCACACTTCTGCTCACCACACCATATCATCCGAGAGGTAGCCCTTGTTTCTTCGATAGAAAATCCATCCCCTCAAGGGCTGTTTGTTCCCACATCTGGGTGACAGGCGTCCGAGAACGTGGCAAAGGCGACGACGCGTCACCATGGAGTGTACTGTCTTTTGCTGTCTCGATATTCTTACCTGACAGTGGAGATGGGAGTTTGTACCAAGTTAGAGAGTAATTAAAACACCGTATCAACGAGAATGCTCAGGTGTTGATCTACGAATATGAGGTTTCTTCTAGATGTTTACGCATTCGACTTCAGGTTGATTAACCAGATCCAAAATGGCGCAAATGTGGATTGAACGAACGGATTTTTTTAGTTACCGCGTCATCGCAAGGACAATCCCACTCGCATAAAGAGACACGACCTATTGAGAACTTCAGTTGGGTTTCCACTTCGTTGCTGAACGCTCACGTCTGCTTGTTTCAGGTTTCGCTAAGAGGATTCGAGTAGATGAAGCTCCGGACCAAGTGAGGCCAGCAGTTTCTCGAATAGAATTCGATCATTGGTACAAGGAGCTGTATGCGGTGCAGAACTTATAATGGGGATTGTGGAAAAGATCTTACCGAGTTACGTTGCGAATAAAAATCAAAAAACATGACAGATAACGTGACCAGATCACATGATCAAAGTTACCAACCGTTGGATGTTGAAACAGTAGGTACCAACAACATCCAACATGGATCGCTCAGCGTCATGGTAGTCACCATAGAGAATAATTCCTATCTCAATCTTTGATATCATATGTTTCTTCTCCTACAGTGATGTTATCGTAGATTTCGCGACTCCTTCATCATCATGCGCCATACATCCCTTGATGATCTGCCAACGGAGGTCTTGATTCTCATCTTCGAGCACGTAAGTACTAAATACCCATAAATCATCGCATAGCAACTCACAGCGTAACCTAGGTCGATAATCTGAAGCCAGTAGTCCTTTTGTCACGAAACGTCAACACTCTTGCCCGTCCCCTGCATTTCCGAAGCATTTTGCTTACGCAACGCAAGCTCAATCTCCTGACGGGTCCAGGTCTCGACACACCAGCGCTGACGAAAATTTACGCTTACATTAAAAAAATCGAAGTTCGCTCTGAAACCCCATTGATAGGAGTGGCATCATTTATCTCAAAATGCTCACGATTGAGAGACATCATGCAAGTCTTCCTAACTTATGCCATGTTTTACCTAACATCTCTCGGCAGATGGGGAGGCTACTCGCCAGTAGTATCAAGTGTCATGACACCCGATGTTGCTGAGTTAATTGCAACAAAAAGCCCTCGGATTCGTTTGCATTTGAAAAGCTACTCCTCACTGCCTCCAAATGATTTCATCTCAGGTCAGGCAATTCCCACGGCCAACCTAGAATCATTAGTCGCTACTGGAGTGTACAATCCTGACAGCGGACCTTTGAGAGACTTGCTCATCAATGCTCAAAATCTCAAAGACCTTACCTTGTATCGATTTGACCATGGGATTTCTTCGTCATATTTTTCATTTTCACCTCTCCGCCGTTTGCATCTCGATTCATGTCTCAACTTGTATTCGAGTACCGACTTCACTAAACTATGGGGCCGCACGAACTTGGAGTACTTACGGATCAATCGAATGTCGCCATATGAGATATTGGTATCAATGCCTGACCAAGCAATGATACATCTAAGACATCTAGAGATATGGCAGGATGGCCTCGTCAATCCGGAGCTGGAGCTTGCCCAGCAAGAGGAGATAACAAGTGTATTGGACAATATCATTGTCCATGCCCCAAATTTGCAAGTGTTTAGTGTCCCGTGCCTCATAAAGAAGATTCGGTGTCACAAATTTGTGCAGAATAGTAATCTACGTGTGCTGCGACTACGAGACTTTAGCGAATTTATAGATCACAGTCAGTATCCCATAATCACGTCAGACGCCTTGGGAACCACATCACCGCCACAAATATTTTCAACGCCCTTGCACAGAATGCTCCTTGTCAAGCTTTCATGCCGTTGGCTAACCGAAATGGACATTGGACTTGATTTCCGAAATGCACAGGTCAGTCTATCTTGTTTGGCATACCGATGTATGTCATCTGACATACTGTGTAGGCCTCCTCATATTTAGATGTCATAGCGTGTTTTCTGTGCTTGCGGTATGTGACTTTGCGTACACATACTTTATCAACAATTAAACATGTGTCACAAATAGACAACAGTCTTGACCAAGAAGCGGCAACCAATTGGATGAATTATTTGGCGTCCAAACGGTTTCGACGTGATCTTCTCCAAGCTAAATTTATAATACATCGTCCTAGGACACCAACCATACCAGCCGGGCCAATGGCTGACGCTTTCTTTTCACACGTTCAGCCTCTCCTACTTGGTAGTCACCTAGGTCCGCAGCATATCTTAGAAAACGCCACAGAATTTGCTCGAGGGTTCCTTCCCGTATTTGAGTTCACATACAGCTTAGAGGGCATGTCTAGCACTATTTCCGGGATTCGGGAGAGAAGAAAAAAGCACTTCGCGAGAGCGCTGCTCATGAGATCCAAGATCAGATATTGAATTGACGCTGGTCTCGCAAAGTGACTTGAGTAGTCCAAGTCTGTAATTTCCGAGCAGAACAATATTCTCTGTACACAACAATCCTTGTTGGCAACATTCAGTCCTGAATCGTAACTGAATAGCGAGGTTACTGGTTACACTATCGTCGCCGCTGCCAAAACTGTGGACGTCGAGCGAATCCGTCTCTCCAGTCAAATTCGTTACGCTGTAAAGCCGCACCTAACAGCGCGTAACTGTCTGGGTGTGCGAGAGCCACGTCCACGCCACCTTCTTCGCGAGGATCGGTTGCTACCGAATGGATATCGGAAAATCCGTGGGCTTCGTCTGCGGTTTCGATCATCGGTCCGGGTATAGTGGGGTGGTCGATTTCGCCTGTAAGAAAACGTTAATGCTCACGGGCTCTATGTGGGTTATGATGATTGAAACTTACTTCGGGCAACGAGGTGGCATAGCTCGTGCAAGAGCGTAACCGAAAGAGAGCGCAAGTTGTCCAGGAAAGAAATATCATCCGTGATGGCGACATCATCGACTCGTGTCGGAAGACCAAGTCCGAAATTGTATGAGTTCTGATTCGTGTTGAAAGTGCCTCCCCAAACCAAGGGGCATATTGTTATCGAATTGTCGATTAGAGAAGTGAAGGCGAACCCTACCTTGCCACAGCTGGCCAGATCTATGGGAAATTGGGCATCGGGTTGGCTTGGGGCTCGTTGCAGCTCGGCCACAGTACCAGTAACCAAACTACGCAGCATTCCCAGCTCTAGCTCAAAGTCAGTAACTGAACTCCCAATTCCATTGTAAAGGGGCTAAATACCGTTCCACGTGGAACTCATCAATGGTGCAATTGTGCCGTCAGGGAAAGCGATGTGTGTCTGGAATGTAAGATACGATGGGCTGCAATGCAACCTTGTCTTATCTGTTATTGGATTTCCTGGTGTGTTAAATCTCACCGCTCTAGCGGCATGGTTACGTATCGCTCTCATCATTTCTATGTGAGTGTTACTTTTAAAGCCTAACTAAACAGCTGGAAGGTGCTTACTCGTTATCCCCGTTAGACCTAATGTCTGATCTGCGATTATAGCTGGATCATTTCGTTGTTGCCGTCGTTGTGTACTTGCAATATTGAACAATGAATCAAAAATGCTTCCAGTAGCAGGCGACTCAAGCCCGAATCGTATAGTGGTAGAAGCGTCGTCTATTCGAGTTGCCATTGCAATACACTCAGCATAAGCTACTTCCAGTGCTCTCACTTGGTCTGCGCTGCATCCACCTAAGTTCGGGTCGCTAGAGATTTCAAAAACGTCTTGGAGTCCCAGAGGAGGGCCTAATAGAGGTGGGTCATCTGCTCGCACTGAAAAGCTCAGAGCGAGTAGCAGAACTAAATAGCGCATGTTGAAATATTTTGGTTCAAAGGTCAGAATGGCTTTGGAAGAAATTGGTTGTGGGAGCAAAACTTATTGCATGCGGAAATGAAGCTCTTAGAACTAAGTTTGAAGAGTCTCTGGCTTCCTTTTGAACCACAAAGTACTCCGCCAGAAATACAACTAATAGCTACAGCCAACATTTCCAAACGGGTGTCTCTCCCAACAAAGGGTATAGTACGCTCTTTTCGAGCTGGTTGCGACAGACCTCGGTTGTCTATTCTTACTGCAAACACAACACATTCCTTCCGGGTAGACTTTGCATATATGAAAACCAAACTCAACCTGTTTTCAGGCATCTCTCGAAGGTAGGCTAACGGAACTTGTCATTTCCGGATCCTAATAAGGTCACTAGAAGACCGCATATCACACTCTGAAACTCGAAGGAACAATGTCTATTCGAGAAATACTTTAATAGCAACTTTCCAACGCCAAGATCGCCCGTTGGTGGTGGTCTTCGCTACTTCAGCTTCGAATAGCCGCACCAACATTCAAGAATGTTGGTTGTTGGGCTTACTTTTAGGCGCCCTCTAGCACACGCGAAATAAACGAAACAATTCTCCATTCGATTTGGAAAAGCGACACGGTACCGAGCGTTCGGTCACAGATTGTTGTTGGAAAATCCTCCTTTGCGGATCACGGATATGAAGTTTTGTTGCTGGCGAAGAAAAAATAGATCTTGCGATACGGTCTGCTTTAGTGTACAGCATTGGCCTCACTGCCAACTGGCAGGTCGAACTCGGCCTGGGACCAACGAATTCTATTTTCGATATCTTTGATGGCGGTTATGATTTCTTGAAGGATGGACTTGGAGCTTTGGGTGTTGTAGTGGGTGGCTACTTTATGCTGCTGAAGCTCTATATCATCAGCCAACTGCTCTATTTCGCAACCGATCAGCAATCACACGCTTCAAGTCAATATGCTTTTCACTACCTACAGTTATGCCAATTTAGCAATTATTCTCCTTTCACTCAGCTCTGTCAATTGTCAAGAACACACATCGAAATCTTGTGTCGAGAACGCACTCGACCTGAGTTGTCATCCAGATCATCAGGTATCGTCACTAGACGAACCTATTGCGAAACACAAACGGCACTCAGGTCCCTGGCAGAAAGTTGAGGACTTTGTACGACGAACTATCGTGTCAATCAGAGGTAAACATTATTATCAGTGCTGCACACACCAAGCTAAAAATATACAGCCGATACTCCCGTTTTAGGCGAAGGAAACTTCGGAGGCGTGGTAGGTCCGTCCCTAACGTAGGAGCTGGGGCTATTGGAGGTGTTGTGTCTTTTATACCCAACCCCGACTTGCCTGCTGTACCATCAACAAGCACTAGCTTTGTTTCCGTTCCAAGCAATGGACTTGGGGATGTCCCGGATGTACCGAATGTCGCCTTGCCTCCCATACCAACTACGAGCTCTACCTTTGTTTCTGTTCCAACCAACGGGCTTGGAAATGTTGCTGATCCGACACCGGTAACTACAGATGCGCCTGCAAGTCAAACGGATTCTCCTGCTGTACCAGTTCCCACTACCACAGCCAGTGATAGGTGAGTTAGACAAGTCTTTTTTCTTCTGTCTTTGGCTAATGGGCATGTAGTGGACCGCCTGTAGTTCCCATTGTAGGAGGTGGGACTGTCGGTGGTGGTAGTGGAGGGGGAGACTCTGGAGGTGGAGGAGGAAGTTCTGGTGGAGGAGGAGGAACGTCTGGTGGAGGAGGTGGAAGCTCTGGTGGTGGAGGAGGAAGCTCTGGTGGTGGAGGAGGAAGCTCTGGTGGTGGAGGGGGAGGCTCTGACGGAGGCGAAACGGACAATAAGCCTGACGAGAATGACGACAACGACGAAGATGACGATGACGAAGAGTCCTCTTCATCCGCCTCATGTACTCAAACTCAGACAGCATCCTCATGTCTGGACATTTGTGCTACTGTCACAAGTGGGAGTATTTCTTGCACCCAGACATGCTCAACGACAACAGGCTGCTCTGTCACCAACACAGCATCAACGACAACGAAGAGCTGTACGAATTCTTTGCCATGTCAGACGATCGTCGTAACGACTATTGATGGACCTGTGAAGACTTCATCCAACTGCCCTGATTGCGAAACATCGACATCCACCACGGCGGTCAATCCAACGAATGTTTTCACTCTAGCACCGGTAGCAGAAGGACAGCCTTACACCATCACAGTTGTTGCCGACTTTGTTCTTGACAGACCACCTCCCGTCGATACCCGCAAAGCTTTGGAGGGAATGAGTAGCATCGACCGAGAGCAGCTGGCAGCGCAACCAAGCGGATTACTGACAACAACTTCCAGCATTACTCCCCCAGCGCCAACACCAGATGATACACTGCCTTCTGTTGGCGATTTCCTGGGAGGCCCGCACAATGTGGCACCAGCTTGCGAGTCAGCAACAGAAACAACAGACTGCAAGTGTGAAGGACCAAACGCTGGAAAGACGCCTTTTTGCAATACTATCATGACGCCCCATCAATGCGCATGCGGATCTTCTTCTTTGAATTTGGGAAATCTACCGAAGCGTGCGATTGCCGCCAGGAGTTTTGCGGGGTTTCTTCGATCGACATTTCGGGCGTGAGTGAGAGGCTACTGTGGATGCGGTATTCGGGAGGCCATTTTAAAATGAATGATGCCATCTTCGTTCGGCAGAGGTTCTAGAAGAGGTTCATTTCAACACTTTATATTTGTTAGCATTTGGGGCACAATAAAACGGGTTTCTTTCAAGAGATAGCTCCTGGAATTGTGAGATTTTCGTACCAAATGAAAACGTCGCTACGAAAAGTGCAACAACGTCAAGGTCTAAGTGACGGCGAGCGTTCCAATGCTCTTCACGAGCGAATGTCAAAATGCTAGTCAGGTGCTTTCGTGGCACTTCCTTTTGCCTCACACAAATACGCTAACCAAGCGAGACGGGCGGGAAAAAAGGGGGGGGACTTTTAGCCATAGCCGAATCAAATCGAGTAACGCCGAGAAGCGGTCCATAATAGGAAGGACAAAGATGCAAGAAGGGGTGCATTACCAACAAAACGCACCACAATCGAAGTGAGTCACACGACCGCGCGTGCATTCGGTGATACTACTGCAGCGTTTTAATCCCTCGCGTCGCGTCCCCTCGCGCCGAGTTTCGCCTCGACTGGAATCGACTTTCTGAGATCTGCCCATCCATCAGCGCTGCCCAGACCAAAGTCCTGAAAACGATGACGAATACCACAAGATAAGCGCCCGGACAGATTTACGAGCTCCGAATCACAACGATCTCGTCAGCTGCCCGTAGCGGTTGCTGTTCTCACTGCGCCACCCAGATGGTCGGGACCCAAAACTCAGCACGAAGGATTCTTCGGTGACAGATTACTTCACCGAACAGGTCATAACACCTCGTAGGAATACACAGTGTTGATATTGATCTTTTCAGCCTTATGCATTCTGTATTTCTGGTTTCTGGGCTCAACGTCTAGTCGTGCGCGGGTGCCATCAGCTGGACCAACAGATGTATGGGCAATTGCAGTTATGAAAACCAACACTTGTCTCACAATAGTTCGAATTTGGCCTGCTGCATCAGTAACAGCCGATCGTGTCAAGCCACTTCAACGCTTGAGAGCAGGATGTTCTTCAGTGAGCCGGGTAGTTCTAAACGGCTTTAACTCTCGTCGTGATTGTTACCTCGCGCGTCTTCTTCGCAGGTCTCCCAATATTTCTATGGAGTTTTCAATTACCGCTGAAAGAGAATGCTCAGGGGTATATACAGCTGGACCCAAGTCTTCTAGGTCTCCTTGTTGTAGAAACCCGTACTACAACAAGTAAATAAGCGAGAACCCGATTATTACTGGATTTGGAGAGCTACCTAAACTCCCGCCCGATGGGTATGCGGACTGGTTGTTGGTGACCCGATCCCCCTTGCAGAAATAGTCGTCTTGGTACTGTTTAATTTATGCCGATTCCGCCGGGTTTGTGACAGAGACTGAGGAGGGAATCGCACAGGCATATTCTCTATCGTAGAAACTATGCTTTGGCAGTGATTCTAGTCGAGTATGGAAACAACTAGGTTTAGATCACTTACTCCTTCGATAGCTTTTCTCAATACTTAACTTTCGAAGAGATGCATTTTGCCACCTAGTCATCAATTCGTGCAGCAAACAATATTTGCTATCACAGATCACTCATACTGTGTAACTAAAGAAATGCGGGATAGATCACACTTCCTACTAGGGTAGGGTAGCCTTCCAGACCAATAATTTTCTTGTTAGACATGGTGCGCAAGAAGCGGCGTGTCTAGAATGTCATGGATCATTTGCCACCCTTTCGTCTTGCTTTTGATGCTTGATGTGGCCGGTAGATAGAAGGTTGCTCCGAGCAAACAACACTATGAAGACTGAGTAATATTTTATGCCGTTGGCTGCTCAAGTAAATGACGCTTAAACACCTAGAATACAGTAAACAAGTGCAAGGTTGCCAGCTTAGACTCAATTCATCCCGTAATATGTAAAGCTTTTAGGCTTTGAATTTGATGTGTGTGCCAGGGGGAAGTTGAAGGGCAGCCTTCTCGATTATAGGCTGGCTCCAGGGCCCCAAGCGGTTTGGCCACTTTTGTGCAGGATGGACAACACAGTAACATCAATTTTTTGTCTTCATTCTGCTAGCCAGCACACATTACACACATTACACACATTACACACAGAAAGACCCAGTGGAACATCTCAGATACATTGTATTTTGCCATCAAGAACTCTTGTAGCCTTATACCATTCCGAAGACCACAACCCGAACTGCATTTCCCCGCCATCGCCTCCGCTAGCCTGATCGAAGCTCACATTCGAATGAGCCATCGCAATGTGAACACCATCAGCGACATTCTGCCATTGCAACGTATTACTAGTGGCAGCAACCTGGGGCTGAAACGGAAATTCAACGTCAAGGACATCTCGAAAGGTTGCGAGCTCTGCCGTCTCTGAAGATGTTCTCGACAGCATACTTGCTTGGGAGCCATCTCGAAAGGTCTGTGAGATAGCAGCGGTACTGCCAGGATGAGTTTGGAAAACAAGTGCCTGCTTGAAATAGTCTTGGACATCGGGGGGTATTTCCAGCAGCACTACGGGCTGTTTAGCATTTATGAGGCTGAGCGACAACGACAAAAAGAAGGAGACCATAACCAAAATACATACCATCGAAGATTTCAGGGTGGAAGGAGACATGATGTTTGTGCAAATTATTCGGCCTTCGGCTGCCTCGAAAATTGTTGCAGAACGTACAGCGAAATTTCTTCGTGTTGTGCGTTTGGGCGTGTCGTTGCTTGTTACGAATTGTTGCGAAGGATTTGTAGCAGCCGTTGAACTCGCAGGTAATTGGGACAACTTTGGAAGATATCTTGCTCATCATGATTGACTTCGAGTTTGAGACCATTTCTAATAAAAGCTTTTTCGGGAGTGAGGTTACGGCTCTCTCAATATCTTCATTGACCCTATGTTTGCTATCTACTCGGAGCAATCCAATGAAATCGAAGGCCAAAAAGAGCGTAGATCCAAGGGAAAGAACTGCTTCGTGTAACTTGATGGATCACCTTCGCTGGCGACTGGCCTATGGAAGAATAATATGGTCTGAGAGACCATGAGCGGATATTTGTTTTTTGCACCTTTCCGCTTTTCGTGGTAACCACCAAGCAACAATATCTCGTAGGGGGGCAAGCTCACCCGGCTAGCAGTCGAGCTCAGGTTATCTAAACCCTCAAACAAAGCTGTCAGATTGTCCTCATAGTAGGAAACTGATCATGGTTATGGTCCTCTTCTGCTTCGGGCGTGCAAGACAAACTGACAATCTAGAAACTAACGATCAGCACATAGACAATCCAATAATAAGGCGGCCTTCCTATCGCACGGCACGGGGCCTTTGAAAAAGCATCGGTTCCCATCTTTCGCTAACTATTAGCCAACCATATGATTGTGCGACCTCAGACAATGCGGCAACCAATAGCGGACTCATAGCGTCTCTGAGGCTATGGGACATCCAAACCTCCTTTCGTCTGACGAACGGATAGTAGTCGGTACGATGATGATGCTCATTATCACCTGCTTTCAAATGAAACACCACGAGCAGGTATGATCCCCCTTCCGATATGGTTGCTCCTCCGTCGGCTTTTCTGCTACGACAGAAGCAACTGTTTGTGCATCAGTCATCGGGTCGAGTACACGGACAACTGCGGATATGGCGGGCTGCCTTGGTCTGTATCGCTCTTTCCAGCTTCTGGCGTGCACTGCTCGCGGCTGTTAGCTCTTCCTCCAATTCCGACAGCGTGAAGCCTTGCTCATCTGTGAAAATGATTGAACAGCGGAACCGCGCCGCACTTACCGGCCGAAGAGTCTTGTTAATTGTTCTGATGTATGACAGGTTGGAAGGCTTCGTACCCGCAGCTCCCAACGAATGGACAAAGGAAAGAAGGAATGCAAACGAACCTCCGTACAACACCATTCCAAAACACCGCGGCACGACGAGCAGATACTTAAGACTCGAAAAGAACGAATAGATTCGAAGACAGCAGAAGGGAAGCATCAACGGTCTGAAAACAAGAAGCTAGGCTGCCGTGATAGGCATCACGATGCGGTTTTCCCGGTGAATCCAAGGTCGGGCAAACAGACCACTTGGACAGAAGCGACGGACAGCACTGGAGACATGTATACATATCGGGGTGGAGCAGAAAGAGGGCAATCATGTGCACAATTAATGCACATCACTGATGTTCATTTTCGAAAAAAGGACGATGTCCAGCCGGAAGCGGGATTGGGCCAAGAAACCCAGACTGCGGAAGATACAATCGTGTATACGGCTCTAGATTCGTGGTCGATCATCATCGCAGACCTCGAAACGCACTTCGCTCAGGACATACAGGCAAGATGATGAGGAGTCCATTTGTACCAAAGTGGTGCCGAATGAAGCCTGCACCGTGTCTCGCAACAGCCTCAGGAGGCGTGCTTCGCACGCTATATGAGAGCAAAACTTTGACGGACAAACGCAAAAAAAAAAGAGAAAATCAATGTTCTACAAGGCATCATAAAATTTCGAGTTTGTTTTGTCTTGTTCGGTGGAGATACGTAGCTGTTTTCTGTGGGGTGATCATCTCGCTTTTGAAAGTCACCTGCTCAAGAAAGACGGAGCGTGCCCTTCCTTCCAAGTGGTACTTCTCAGAGTCTTTCTCAAAGTCTTTCTCAAAGTCTTTCTCAGAGTGTCCCTCACAAGGTATACATTCCGAAGGCCATAATCCGTGTATTTGGAGTATCCAAATCATCAGAGCTAGGAGACTGCGTTGCAGAGGTCGTATATTTAAGCACTTCATGCGTTATGTTTTGCATGCTGAACCAGAAAAAGAGCAATGAGGACAACTTCGCAGCGCTTAACGAGCATTCAAGTCCGCAAAACTAGGGCATGAATGCTCGGTGTTCGTAAAATTCCATACGAGAAGATAGATCCACACTGGCAGACTTTCTCGGATATACTTCGCACTGTCCATACTTCTTTTCATATGTAGAGATACCCAAACCTTCTTTAAATCTCTCCGCCTATTCAAGTATTTGGTTTTATCTTCTTCATACGCAGCTTGTGGTTGCCACTAGGCATCAAGTTGGAAGGACCCGAGCCACATCTAGGATAGCTCATACGCTTCCATCCTCGCATTCTTATGGAAGGCAGATCAAGGATCTTACTTGGTTTCCCTCTTTCTTATCCTTTGTGTATTTGACTAGCGCTTGAGCATGCCGCAAACTCTGTTCATCATCTCGTTTGTGGGTTGAATCAGCAGCAGTGTATTTTCGTTTCGCCATTTCCTTTCGTAGCATCCTGCGAGTCGGTAACTTCGAAGGCTGTCTTCTGGGCTTTGCAGAGCGACGATTCGATATACCGCTGCCAGTAGCAAAAGGCTAATAATAGAGGCGACCGCGAAGGTCCCGGATGGAATTGTGGAGTCCCGGAGCTGCGATCAGAACACCGCTTACGCTGAACCTCCTAGTGGAACATTTTCATTGTATGGCATGTCAAGTCCATTGCATTGGCTGATGTGATGTGGTAGGAATCTTCGTCGTATCATTGGCTAGGGTATGGTTGTCGTTGAGGAGGCTTTGAGGCTCTTAGATATGTATCACAGTACGGGAACGGGCGTTAGTAGGGGAAAGAGCGACCGAAGTAGTCTAGCGTTGAGATTTCAACGACAATGCTTAAACAGATTCCATCTTTCTCCGATTCACAGCCTAACATCATGCATAACATACAATCGCAGCCGATTACAGTGGCTGCCTTGGACTGAAGATTTAGATTCTTACTCGTTTCGATGATGCGCTCTTTCGCACCGTTCTCCATGCCACCTTGGCCAGCTCATCGACATCCTTTCTGATCGCCGACACACCCACGCTCCTCTACCTCTTCCTCGGCCCAATTCCTACCTACTACACATATTCTGAGCAGGGAAAAGCGGAGGGAAGGATATCACGGGGGCGTAGCGTTGGCGGTCATTCAGAGCAACATAGAGGTAGGCAACGAGCCCAGGCACAATTCAGGCATATCACACACGGCTTTCGCAGAAGGACTACGAGCTGCACCGATTTCTGCTTTTACCGAGAGATAAATTCAAGTGGGTGGCGAAGCTACTAAGTAGGTAGGTATGCCAGATCTTGTATAAACACATCTCTTCATACATCGCGATCATTTGGTGTCACTAGCAGCTGTGAAACTTCTAGAATAAGACCCATATCCGAAGTGCTGCATCATCACTGTATAAGGCTGTCTTGTGCAACTTGGCGGCAAATTAAGCATTTCCTAATATAGCTATTTCCTTTCGATACGGTTTGTACACATGATAGAGGCGATGTCCGTTAATTTAGAACGAGGATCTCAATTACTCCTGACAGCCCAACCCACGAATCGCTATCAAGTTCAGCTCGGCCTTATAATTTTTTTTTGGTACACCATTTGTCACAAGCTCGACACATTCCCAATTCTCTAAGCATAAGCACGGCGTGTGGTTGTTTCGGCGCTTACGGGGTTACATTTAAACTCATCACCCACATACCAACAACATCGAAGTTGACCGCAGGCAAGTTTTCCTGCGTCTGTTACAAATTGGGGGTAACTTCACGACCATTTCCAACTGCACCCCAACAAGTCGTCGCGTCGGAGCGTGCGAATCTACTTCAAGCGACCCAATTCCTTCGTAGGCTCACCAGTTGTGGCTGTCGCTTATCTTTTGTTGGATTCTCGCCTCGCCCCCGCATACTACTTTGTAACTGCCGTCTGGTAATGCAGGCAAGCTTCGTCGTAGGAGCCGATCTGAGTGGGGAATTACGAGCGAGTGTAGCGAGATACGGATTCAAAAGGGGGCGAAGAAGTAGACGTCACTGCTGAACCAACGAATCCCGCATTGCGACACTTCCTACAGCGCAGAACGGATTTGAATGACCGTGAGTGAAGAATTTAATATTGGAATCTATTTAAAAAAGGCCTGATTATATGTGAGACCCAGATGTTGAATTGAAGTCTCACACAGCAATCTAGATAACTCTTCAAACTTAGTAACTATATCTCCCAGATGTCTGGTTAGCATTCCATTGACTGGTTTGGTCATGCGAGCCACCGTAGCCATTCTGGTATTGATGGGTAGATTCGCCTCCATATGATTGATTTCCGTATTGGTCCGACGAGCTGGCTGCTTGATACTGATAGGATTCTCCTCCCTGATATTCTTGTGCCTGATAACTCTCGTAGTTGATCGGCGACTCTGAAAACTCTCCTTGAGTTGAACTACCAGGCGTGGAAGAGCCGTAGTGGGGCATTGGAGAATTACCCATGAGAGGCATACGGGACCCTGAAGAATCTGCTTGAACATCGTCAGCGACATTGGTGAAAGTAAAGCATGAGATGATGATTTTGAAGCCTTACCCAAGGGTTCTTCCATATAAGCCACGCCATTTTGGTTATTGCTGCTTTGCCCACCATCTGTATCGCTGGGAATTTGGAGAGTAACTTATGAGCATGTTAGATGGACTTCTTCTCTTGATTTGTTTTGAATACTCACAACTATAAGCATCCGGGTGCTTCTTCTCTCTATGGCTGTTCCTCGTATAAGCTCTCCCGGCACTGTAGTCGCAGTTCCCAATTTCACAATAATATCTTTTCCCTTTGTGTTTCAATTCGTGATGTCGCTCCATGTCTGCCCGGCGGTTGAAGACCTGGTTGCAGCCACCACATGGTACGCGGTCGTTTCTTGCTTGTGAGCCTGCCATGCTGTAGACTGGAAGTGACCGAGCTGTAGAATGGCAGATTTCTTGATCTTTAAATAAATAATAACTCAACGATTCAATGACAATTGAGTCGTTGTACAAGCTCATTTCAGACTTGTTCCTGATTAACAAGATGTCAGCCCTGCGAAGTGGCAAATTGCGGATACCTAGCCAGATATATGAAGATTGAAGCACAATTTAAATCTTCCAGAACATCCGCAGCAAGGCTCGTAAACATGCATTTGCATGTAGGCGATCTTGTAGAAGCAAAGTACTCACTTAATCTTGCAGGACAGACTTGAAGTGCGCAGCGAAGCCAATGGAACACTTCAATGGACGCTGAGTTCGTTGGATTGATTGACGGCTAGCTCTACGGAAAGCCGAAAATCCGGGCAACCTGAATCTGCAAGTGAAGAATATTGTGACTTGATGTTAAAGATTCTAGAATAGTGCCCCAATCCGTCAGGGTTTGTTGGAACGAAAGCGTGACGGTGAGGCTCTTCATGAGGCGCCATAAGAGGCGGTAGAGGTCACAATTCGGAAGTTGAATTTAGTTGAATGGTACATTGAGACGGCGCAGTAATGTTGGTAGTGACACATGGCACCAGACGTGTCGAAGAGAGGAAAGGCATGTTCCTATTCGGCTTCCGATTTTGCCTTGGATTCCCTCAGCACTTCTCGCTTAACCGAAATCCACCAAGTAAAAAAAAAGGATGATCGGAACAATGGAAGGTGAGTAAAGCTGTGCTAAGATTGACCAATCTTTCTTCCATGAGAGGAAGAACATCTTGTAAAACCTACATTTTCCATCACAAATCTTGGAGCCGGCTAAGACGTTGCTCTCGTGTCGAATATCCTTTGGGGAGGAGCAGCTAATGCAAAACTCAACCCTAAGAGTAGACAAGATGAAGGGAGCTGTAAAGCTTAGATAAGTGTGATGGCCCCCGACATGCCCGCCTCACTCGTATAATTCATTCGATATTTCCGAGTCTGATGAGGGGTCATGGGTGAAAAGTGTGACCCCTGCTCAAATCGACGCGTTTGCCCACGCTCTTATCCAAACCTTGAAAATCTTACGGAGAAAGGCCGCGTAAAGAACACCTGAGTACAGTCGAATTGAGAGATAAGATTGGTTGCGCTGCAGTTTCATCTGATAAAAACCGAGGTTCATTTAAACATCCGTTGCATAAACGTCTGGTCCCGACTCCCAACAGATAGCCGCTTTGCACCACATTGCATCACAGAAGAGGCACCCTGGAAGACAGATGTTGATTTCCAAAGATAACGTCGTACTGCTAAAGTTTAATGGTGAAGCAGAGTTTCTGAAAAGGCTGAGGCTGTCCAAATCCCGAAGGATCCCTGGGCTCGAGAGGCGTAAAGCGCATCTCGGATGAAGTTGCCGCACTTGCGTGTCTGCGGTTATCTGGCGTCGAAAGGCTCAGCGTTTGTTCTCGAGGATTGAGGAGGACTCAGAGACGACTCACAGTGTGATCTTAGTACCTGAGGTAGTGCAGATATGAAAGAATAAGCGCCTCAACCGCACGATCCGGCATTAAGCATCCTGTTTTCTGGGATCTGATCGAAGATGACCACATAATAAGGCTCGAATGCGTGTTTAAGGATTATTAGAGGACGATAGCATCGAAGAAAGCTCGAGATTTTCTCGTGTCATGCGTACTCCGCCTAGGGAGGAATCTCGAGGCATCGACCGTTATGAACGAAAGTTGATGGCCAAGATTTATTTCAGGACTAGGCAACGAAGATACCGTTCGACTTGTTAGCAATTATATGTGACATTTGCAGTCTCTCTGATCATGTGAGTTTAGCACGCTAATTAATGGCGGTTAGCTTGTTTTAAGACTGTTCGGCTTTGCGACCTTGAAGATTTCGAATACTATAAATCTGAGGAGTAGAAGTATCTCAGTTAACCTCGCCCTTTGGCATGAATCTAGAAGAAACACCGAATGCGACTGTTCTGCGGTCTAAGGCGAACTTGCTGGTACTTTGGCCGTTCTTTCTTGGTGTACCTTGGACAGAGCCAGATGGATGATGCATCTTAAAGAAGTCTTTCGTGTGCCACTTGCAGAAAAATAGAAGTTCCCTATAGAATAATACAGTAAGCTAAAGAGCTGTAGCAAGTGTCTTAGTATCTGTAATTCTAAATAAAATTTTGAGCGGAAGCTCACATGACGTCCGCGCCGGAGCCGGCAATACTGGTCTGTCAACAAACTCTATGATGCGGTAGTTTCGTCTGGGATTCAATGACCAGCGAGACATATCGAGCACCCAACAGTTATTGCCATCCAATGCTGTAGACGGCATATGTTGTGACCACGGCTGAATGTGAATATATCGTCGCAACGCGCAAGAGATGTGGAAACACAAAAGTGGGTCCGCCGTTGACCCCACAACCAACGTCGATGTCCTATGGTCGTGGACATATTGAAGCAATAGACACTTCAAGATGAGCTGCTATTACCGATTGCGAGTTTTGAAGTTGGCTCTTAAGCAGATTTTTGTTTGAAGATGCGACATGGTTGCCCATTCAAAAATGGATTTATCAACCTTGTGAGATCAACCAGATTCTCGTGATTCGGGTCCGAAAAAATTGAAGAGCCACAACTCAGTTGCAACCAGGAGCACAGTGGAGTTTCGTTAATCAAAAATTCTGTATAAATTGAGTCGACTGACTGTCTTTGCACCTTCTGTCACCCGATCCTCGTTACTTAAATCGCCTAGCCAGTTCACATAAGTTGAAACTCCTTAACCTTACCACTTGTCCATTAAGACGTGTTTATAGATTATCTTAATGAGAGGTATGTAGCTGGTAAGGCTGTTCGAGGTATCGCCGTCTGATAAATGTGGTAGCTCGTCATGCCATGATCAAGGCTAGCAACTCCCCCCTTTTGTTTTTAAATTTTTCTTGAAGTCTGAGGAGAAAATCCTCAGATTCGAAAATACTAGGAATGGCTCTTACACAGCATTTTGCAGACGCCTTTGTCATTTGGGCGCAAGTATATGGGAATCCACGTAAGAAAAGCAGTACAAGAATGGGATGAATTCTTTTTGAGAAGTGGGGAGATACTTATCAAGAAGTGGATTGTGGCACAGTTCGTAATGAGGATAAATTCAAGGAAATACTCACTAGTGCAGGGTCTGGAAGCTCCTCATGTTCTCAAGACTTCTCGGGTCATTGCTTAATACTCTGGGCACATAGCTTGCATTTGGAGGAAATGCTTGACAGCGTTGGCTATTCATATTTTCCTGGATGATGGTCACACCCTTCGGACTGCAAGGTGTTTAGTTGCAACCTTCCTTTAACTTCATGCGCCGATCGCAGTGAAGGTCTTAACATGAGCTTTTAGTAGAGTTCTGGTATGAGTTGTATTAAAAACAATCCAACAAGGCAAGGTCGACGTCTTCTGCAGTATGCTGCTTGCCTTGTCAATTTCAACCTCGCTCCCTTCTGCTCCGAGTTGTCTTCTTTGCACTTCGTTGCCCGTTGCCCGCGGTCAATTGACGTTTACGCAAATAAGGAACGCTAGTTAGCGTGATCGTAGAGTGGGCTACTAGGTGCTTGAAACTCATACCGCAGGTCGCAATGATATGCTTTTTAGTAACAAAACCTTGTGAATTGTTGTGGCAGTTACCCAAGAATTTCATCAAGTCCCGAGGTCGCTTAAGCCAACCGAAATTGGAATTCAGGGGTCGAACAAGCCACACCGTTCCGCCACTTTCACAACCACAAAGCTCCAGCTGCTCATGGCGGGAATATATCTCTTTTATTCATTGAAGTGGTCCAATTCCTCTTCTCTTTTTACAGCAGGAGTATCTTGACGTTCATGAGGAGAAGAGTCTCCCTATCTAGCAAAGTAGCTGCTGTTGCCGGGATAACGCGAGCCAGATCTACAATCAACGAGACTTGGCCTGCATCTTCCATCCATCCACCTTCCCTTTGAATTCATCCGATCATCGACTCAAAGATACCCCGCTCGAAAGACATAGATCATCAGGAACCGTACCTGATAAGAGTCACAACGTTACACTATGGCGCTTCTTTCGTCCCAAGAAAAGCCTGGCATGCAGGGGTATCCAGAAACTCAAAATCATAGAAAGCGCCTCTTCCACTATCTGGATTGAATGCAAGACAGAACAACATTACTAGCAATCATGTATTCTGGATTTGTATTGTTGGCTGCCCTGCATTTTCTTCGAGGATGCCACTCTCTTTCTGATGGCACTTTAGCTGGGGAAAGGGCAGTACAGAGTGGGGCAACGCCGTTATTGGAAATATTCCAAGTGGAAGCACCCTTGAGAAAGACTTATGACGGTGCAGCTTGCAAGAAAGTTGTGATACAACATGAATTCGCAGCTAGTTACGGCACTCCATATGTTGGTGGGTAGCTACTGGTCTCCAAGAGCGTCACTCATAGCTAACAATTGAGCTTAGGATCATACTCTCCCCCTGCAAACTGCAAGTTTACGACCACAATCTTCAACCTCTCTATCACTTCCTACGGCATCAATTATGACAGGCTTGGACTGATTTACTTCGGCGACGTTGAACTGTGGCGCTTAACGACCGCTATGCCTGTCCGTACGGGGATATTCTCGAACTACCAAAAGGATGTGACAATATTTGATCCAATACTTCGATCGGAGCAAAAGGTCATAATGACGATGGACAACATTTATGACTCAACTTTTACTGGCGCTTGGAACGTGACGCTAACAGCCTTGTACTACGATGATCATAAAACATTGACGCCTGCCAACAAGATACTGCCGATATCTTCCCAGTCATCTGCCCAGAACAGAATATCAGTATTTTCTCTTCCTGACGGAAACGCTACCAGTCAAATCACCCTCCCAAGGAATACTGAAAGAGCTGTGGTTAGTATTCTGGCGTCAGGAAATGGTGCCGAGGAGTTTTGGTTCAGAAATGTCGAATCAGAATACCTCAATACCTTTAACAATTCAGTGCTCTACGGCTACAGCCCTTTCAGAGAGGTTCAATTGTTGATCGATGGAAATCTAGCAGGAGTAAGCTGGCCTTTTCCAATTGTGTTCACAGGAGGTATCAGCCCTGGACTGTGGGTACCGATTGTTGGAATCGACGCCTTTGATATTCCAAGCTTTGAAATTGACATTAGTCCATGGCTTGGACTCTTGTGCGATGGAAAAGCACATACCTTCGAACTCAAGGTCGTCGGGTATGACTCGAAAAACACATTTGGATCAATTAATTCCAACTGGTGGGTGTCTGCAAGCGTATTTGTGTGGACTGATCCCCAAGGCAAGCAAACCAAAGGAAGTGTAAGTGAACAGCATTCTGAACGAATTATGGGGTATATTTGGACTGACGAAAGTTTTCAAGTCCATTCAATCCTCAGTACCGCGTCCAGACTTCAAACTTACCCCAAAGATAACCTCCTCAGCTGGTACGAACACAAGTATGTATCTCAAGCTAACAGCCAGCCGAAAGCTGTCACACACAGCTCGCATTACCACTTCGTCTGGCACTCGAAGCCTCACGTGGGCACAGGACTTATCCTACACGAATGTTGAGGATTACACCAATCTGGGTTACAACAAAACATTGACACAAATCACTCGCGGTTCAGCAAGATATACTTCATCCGGGGGTCTTTTGCCATTGCCAATAACAAATTCGTACTACTGGCCTATCCACTTTACATCAGACAACCTCGTCCCTATCAACCCTCAGGTGAAGAACCAGACCTTGATAGCAAGCATTGATCGCTCGTCAGTGGAAACGACGATTCCAATCCTTCCATACTTGACCAAATCCGTGTCGCAAATCTTCCCCTCAATTCTCACCACTCGACAAGCCGGTGACAGCGTGTATTTCTGGAACAACACATACTATCAATTTGCCGGCGCAATCGACCCAGCCAAAGGAACAGTTGGTACTACAGAGCAGTGGTATTCTTTTCTAGATAGCGACACAGCTTATGGAAGATATGTAAAGGCAGTCGATGGATATGAACCAGTACTGATCGTCGACAAGGAGTTTGGCGAGGCCATATCTGTACCTAACACTGATGTTAGCTCAGCGGAGTAGGGATGAAAATCTGATTGCCTGATATTCGGATTATCTCATCTACGAGGGAACAACGAGCGTGCTGAATTACATGGCCAGCTCCCCTTTAGTATCACTTCACAATCTTGAAGCTGTCAAATTTCCAAATTCCAAGCGCAGTGTCAGATCAAGTCAACCAAATATGAGCAAGTCCGGTTGTCGTTGAGCCATATCAATCCCCTGTCAATAAAGAATATATTCGTCTGCCATTCATGCATCAATGGCATCATCTCCCTTGTATGCAAAGTTTCTTTCTGTTAGTCAGACTTCTGGTTCCTAGGTTGTCCGGAACAACTCGGAAAAGCGGACGCTATTAACTCGCCTAAAGTAATATCTTCAATCCTACCGTCGCCCCACTCTTGGAAGTGAGACGACTCATTGTTCTCGACGGTGTAAGCCATGTCAGTATAGAAAGGTCCATACGAGTACGAATTTTTATGTGACTCACGCTTGGAATTGTTTATAAATTCTGATATTGCTAGGAGATTGAGTTCCACATCACATTTGATCTGCAATCTCGTCATTTTCAAAGTAGATCCCACCCAGGAGAAGTGTTGAATCAAGGGGTCGCTATTCGAAATGGCAACTTCAACATTTACATCTACTCAACTAGCGCAGTATGAGACCTACATCGCACTTCCAACCTGTTTCCACCACAACTCTGCTCCAAAGCTAGATCTTGACTACCTCAAAGCTTTACATGTCCATCAAATCGCTCGCATCCCATATGAGAATCTGACCATCCATTACTCTTCGCATCATTCCATAAGTATAGATCCACAGGTTCTCTGGCAAAAGATAGTTGGCGACGCGAGAGGAAGAGGAGGCTACTGTATGGAAAACAGTTTGTTTTACAATTGTGTGCTGAGGAGTCTAGGATGGAGAGTGGAGTTGAGAGGTGTGAGAATGAGACCTAGGAGTGGAGGAGTTCCTGGTGGGGTTTATAGTGGTTGGTAAGTAGTAAAATGATATCTTCATACATGAGTTGATAGGAGACATGTCAGCTGACTCCATTTTAGGGTACATATCGTCAACATCGTAACACTCCCAGATGGAGGACAATACATGTGTGACGTAGCATTCGGAGGAGACGGTCCAACACTTCCTCTTCCATTGACCTACACATCCGACCCTCCCATCTTCACTAACCTGGGAACTCAAGAAATCCGTCTTATTCACAAGCCAATCCCCAATGAACTCTGGAATGCCGCACTACCAGACGCTTCGATATCACCTCAATACGGCATTGCCACTTCATCGTCATCTACGCCAAAGAAACAACTAAAATACTACGTCTACGAATACCGAAACTCGCCAACCCAACCATGGAACGCCTTCTTCTGTTTCCCAGAATACGAGTTCTACCCCCCAGATTTCCGGATCATGAACTGGTGGACCTCAACCTCACCGCACGAATCGAATTTCCAGACTTCCACCGTTCTGATAGTGCGGTTCTTGATGGAAGGCCCACCTCCTGTCGACACAGGCGCGGCCAAGATTGGAGGGAAAGTTATGTTGGTGAATAATCTAGTGAAGCAGAATGATGGTGGGAAGACGAGAGTTATTTTCGAATGCAAGAGTGAAAGGGAGAGAGTTGAGGCGTTGAGGAAGTATTTTGATATTGAGTTGATAGAAGAGGAGATTGCGGGGATCAGGGGGAGGAAAGTTGAAATTTCGAACATTGATTGCACGTGAGAAACAAGTGTTTGCTCTTATGATAGAAGATCATTCTAGAATCTAGACCACTAGACTGCCTCCGAAAGGAGAGTTTGTGCTGATTTGTTACTGGACTTGAAAAATAATTAGCTTAATTTCTATATATCGCATTGACCGCACTTTGTGACCACGGCTGGCTGAAACTTAATCAATGTAATAGGAAGATCATATACACCAGTATAGGGTGGGCGTATTAAGCAGAAATTAGGTTCCATTACCATTTGCAAGCGACAAGTGCGCTCCAGCAATTTTGCTAAACCCAAGTAGGTATACTCGAAGTACTGTACAAAGTTGTCCGCTTTTCCTTAAGCCCTATGCTATCCCAAAGTCAAGTTCAAATCGTTTGAGATGAAGACGCTTGACGAACAAACGCCCACTGTAATTACATTCATAGCAGTACTGCTGGTTGAGACGCTCACTTCAGATCCCGAAAGGTACTTAACAAAATTTAATCCCATCTTGCGCTTTCTCGTTCAGCTTCCATACGAGCTAGTCTGGACTCCTCGTCCTCGCCGTGAAGAGTTCCGCTTCGACGGCTCTTTTTCCTGCCGCTTCGACTACTGCTTTGCTCCTCTTCTTCGATATGGCTTCGCTTGCGAGCCATACCACCCGAAAGCCCGGCTATTCGCTGAGCCTCTTTCAAGAGTCTTTCTCGGTTGCGTGCTTCTCTTTCAATCGTATGAGGATCTTGTGCTGACTCTACAACTTTAGAGCTTTCGCTGCCTCGAGCTTTTTCACGCTCTCGTTCACGATCTTTGTCGCGGTTAGATGATCTTTCAGAATCGCGGTGCCGAGAGGAGCGATGAGAGCTATCGTCCTCTTGTCGGTGGCGGCTAAAAGAAGATTTATGACTCTCTTTAGTTGCAGACGCAATACGATCTTTACGTGGACCAGTGGGGATTTTTATCTCCTCTACAGCGATTTTGTTGCGAGAACTAGCGCCTTTGATTTCGATGCCATTGGCACCATTTGAAATAAGGGATGGTCGTCTAAACCCTTTTTCTTGTATTACAGGAGCAGTATTGGCGTCTTTTTGAACTTCCTTTACTTTCTCACTCCTAACAAGATCCTCAGAGCCGTGTCGACTATGACGGTGGCGGTGTTCGCGATCTCTCTCCCGGTCACGGCTTCGAGAGCGATCGTCACGATGGGACCGTCGACTGGATCGGTGCTTATGCGAAGAAGATTTATACTCCTTATCGCTTTCCCGATCTCTGTGCTTTTCCTTGTCACGTCGACTTCGATGCCCTGATCTTCTCGACTCGGATGGGGACGCTGACCTTGATCGGTCGTCATGGGGTATGACATTGTCATCATCGCCAATATCATCCCCAGCTTCCCTGTCTCGATCGCCGTCTTCTTGATCCCTCTGGCGACGTCGTTCGCGCCGGCGTTCTCTTCGCCTTTCTGTTTCTTTTTCGTCTTCCGAACGAGAACCTGATCGGTGTCGATGCCTGTGACGTCTGTCCCTACTTCTACTTCTGCTACGTTTCCTATCCCGTGATTTTGAACGTTCCCTTGACGGTGATCTGCTCCGTTCCTGGACTTGATTATCTTTATCAGAAATTTCTGGGGCTACACTTGCACTGGCACTCATTTCTAATCTTGAGCTTCCGGGACGGCCAATGTTTGAGAATCCTCGACCTCTAAGATTAGAAAGACTAGTATTTGGCAAACCCTCACGCATGGCCTTGGGACCTTTTGGAGCATTGATTGGCACATCAACTGGCTTGACAGGAGGCTGCATGGCACCAAATCCTCCGCGACCACGGAAATGATTATTGTGCTGGAACCCGCCTCGGGTTGGTCCAAAGCCATTTCCTCCATTATAAGATTCATCGTATACATGCGAGTCAGGGGTTTGAAAGTTGGCAGCTTGGGCTTCCTCAAAAGTCTGAATTGGCATTATGCTTCCATCGTTACCAATGCTTTCTGCCTCTGTATCTCCAGTAAGATCATATTTTGCTCCATTTTCTAGAGAAGTCGAAGGGTTTGCGACTTCGGTTGTAGCATCCTCAACAGAATTATCCGCAACAGGGTCCTGCTCCTCGGGCTTAGAGCGAATTTCTCGCCCAAACTCATCAGTCCCGTCTGGATTGGGAGCAACATCAGCCTTCGGGCCAGTAGGGATTGTCGATGATTCACCAAGCAATCCATTTTGCTGCTGGCCAGGCCCATTCTGGTAGGGGAATTGCTGAGAAGCGTCATTCGAGCCATAGGCGTGACCCCCTCGACTACTGTAAGCACCTCCACGGCCTCTCCCTCGTCCACGGAACCCTTGGGAACCGAAGTTGTTCTGGTAGTCATTGTACTGGTTTCCACGGCCATAGCCATTACCTTGATTAAAGCCATTAGAGTGGGAAGGGTTTCCGAAGTTATTTGCTCCATAATCACCTTGACCCATTCCTTGTGCATTTGGATTGAAATTATCGTTATTCCAAGATTGTTGGCCATTCCAGCCATTATTGAATCCTGCGCCCATTCCACCATCGAAGCCTCCCATTCCCATTCCCATGGGCATACCACCCATGCCCATGCCAGCCGCACCAAATCCACCATTCATGAACATGTTTTGCATGGCCATTGGATCCATATTCATACCCGGCATCCCTATTATGATAATGAGCTTACAATTATGAACGCGTAGAGTAAACTGCTTACCCATCATTGGAAAATTACCAAAGCCTGCTGGTGCCATGCCATTCTGCATCATCATCATCATTTGTTGCTGCATTGGGTTCATATCGCCCCCAAATCCCATAGGAAAGCCGCCCATGGCAGAGCCATCGAATCCAAATCCAGCCATAGCATTAGGTTTACCTTCACCATCAGGTCCATCGTCCCCATCTTTCTGGTTATCTTCCACAACATCTTCGACGTTTGTGACACCTTCTTCTTGAGTAGACTCCTGACCTGGTGCGATTTCCTTCCCGTCGTCAGCAGTAGTTCCAATGAGTTCAGCGCAGTTAACAAACCTCTATTGACTGATGTGGAACATCCTCCTCAGCCTGATCTTGCTGTGCTCCATTTTCACCATCTGATGGAGGCTGATCCTGTGCGCGTTCGGTCTCGCTGGTTTCCACTGGAGGTAATGGCTCATTATTTGCGTTTGCGACGCTTTCGGCAGCAGGTGTGGGCTCTGCCGCTGCAGTTGGCTCTAGTGGTCGGGGTTCTACTTCGAGGGGAGTCGCAGGAGGAGTATCTTTCACTTCTTTTTGTCGTAGAGCTTCGCGTTTCTTCTCTTCCGTACGGAGGAAAGCTTTGATTGTGGTTCGGAGAGCTTTGTTTGGTTTACAGTCTTCTGCAGAAACTGGAGTGTGCTCGCATACAGGACAAGAAGGTGGCAAAGTAGATTGGCCTGATTTCAATAGTCAGACCCAAAGTTTGAGTTTCTCATATCAACATCACATACAGCTCTCGCATATAATTTGGTCGCAACATGGTAATCGGAACGCGTTAAGTGCGAGCTTGCTACAAATTGCGCAACGGAGTTTGATGGGTATTTCGTCTAGAGTCAAAGAACTACATTCGAATTAGCAGAGATATGCCATTTGCGACCCGTCCAGCGTACCTGATCAGCTCCAGCTGAGCAGCCGTGGCTGTGGAATTTGACATGACGATGCGGGCAAACGTATTTTACAAGAAAGCTTGAATCGGAAGTTGTGGCATCCTGCCTTGGAAGTTAAAGGAACAGAAAAATTAGCAGTGTAGATGTAGAGAACCGCGCAGGTCCATATTGGCGGAATTCAGAGCTTCGCAATTCAATTTTGAATTGAGTCTGAGTCTGATCAATCTTCCCAACCTGGTCCCACTTATCGCGCTAGCGTCAAACTGAAGCACGTGAGCGCTCATCCACCATTGAGTTTATCACTTCTACAACTTCAACAAAGTTAGGTAGATCAGGGTCTAGGAATACTAAATCCATCTCAGTTCCATGAGTATTTCGTTAATTGAAGTTGCTGTATGAGTCTTGATTTATATTCATAAAAGCACATTTTCAACAAGGATGCTCTATCGAATGTGGCTAGGCACTTTCATTACCTAGGACCTGCGGCTTGTACTAATGTCATCATTCATTTGCGACTGTCCCGTACGCCGCCATATGAATAGCTAGATCGTGGTACACGATACTATAATTTCCTTTCTATTTATCACTTTCGATTGAACATGATACTCGGACAAGTTTCCTGGCTGGACTGCATCGTTTTTCTGGTTTTCCTTGCTCCCCATTTGATTTGGCATGTCGGATTTTTTCCTACCCTATTCTGTGGAATACAAGCACTTCCATTTCTACGTAAGACCATGCATTTTTCATCCCTAACTACTACACTCATGTTTCCCCACGAAATCCAAAGTAACTAATGATTGGTAGTAATAAAATTGCCTTACGGATTTCTATATGACCATATCTATCTCAACCAGCAGCATCGATCACCGTTTGTGCAGCAAGCATCGTGGTTCGAGGATGTCGTAATTAGATGCGTCAGATATGCTTTCGCCAATATTCCAGCGAAAATTGGAAGGGTATTTTTCTCCAAATTCGTCTCACTTCCATTCTTGAGATTCCGGATGCTCCGACATGGATACATTCGTTCCCCAGTCCATTGGCATGAAGTAAAGAGACCCGACTTCACTGGCATTTGGATTATCAACGACGAAACCAAGGAGCCGGATATTGTAGTGTATTACGCCCATGGAGGTGGGTTCTCTATGGGGTCGAGTTACTTCTATCTGGAGTTTCTCATGGCGTGGCTTGAGCTTCTTCAAACTACGGGCGGCTTCAAAAATCCAGCTATTTTCGCGTTAGAATATACGCTTGTACCAGATGAATCATATCCGGTACAACTTCGAGAAGTAGTTTCAGGATACAAGCACGTGCTCTCAATCACAAAAGATAGCTCAAAGATATGCGTCGGCGGGGACTCTGCTGGTGGTACACTCATCCTTAGTCTTCTCCTCCATCTTGCCACAATATCCAGCATCGGCAATGCTGAGTCCCTGGCCGGGGAACTATTTCAAAAGCGAATAAGCTCCAATCTCACGAATGGCGAAAAGAAGCCTCCAATATTGCCAGAGATGGCAGTCTTGATCTCGCCGTGGGTCACGCTTCAATCCCCACACGACAAAGACACGCCTAGCGACTATCTAAATGCTGCAAACCTCCATCAATACGGATCTGACTATGCGGGAAGTAAAATCTCAGTTAACGATCCCATCATTTCACCGGGAAATTGCAAAGCTGCATCATGGTGGCGGAAGGCGTGCCCATCGAAAGGGTTTTTCGTCATGTATGGGGCTGAAGAGGTCTTCGCATATGAGACACGATCATTGATTAAGTTATGGGAGGAAGCTAAGTTACCAGTGGATAGTGTTGAAGAGGAGGGAGGAATCCATGTAAGCAATGATTTTTCTCTTTCACCAATGCGAAGTCGAGAGTCCTCAAAGGTATTAAGTTAGCTGCTAACTGAATCAGGCTTGGCCAGTCGCGTGTTTGTTCCTCAGCAGCACTAGGGGCGAGAGACAGAAGGGACTCAAGGTTATTGTTCATGAGATGAGGAAAAGGATGAACTCTAAATCCATCTCCTAGTTGTCTCGAGATGAATTTGTACTATATCTGAATGTGGAATTGGTATCATAATTCTTCATATCAATGTTTCCCATGGAATCATGTTCTAGAGCTTCATTTATAGCTCCCGTCAGACGTGAGGCTGATGCTTCCAGAACGAACTATATGTGATTCGCGTATGTAACGAATTCCTTCTCCGCGCCTCCCTCCCGCATCTCATCCAAATTGTGATACTTTGTTTCCAAGCTGCAGAAACGGTGGGAGATCATGTTAGCTGCTTGTAGCCTGCTTCTGAATTTCGACATTTTAGCCCTCAACCGCAAGCAGTGTGATTCTCGCTCTTCCCTTCATTTGCAAGCTACATCTCGGGTGTGTTACGTGACTGTTATGTGACACGAGCAGAGCGCAACTTCTTGACAGTCTTGCTGATGAAGTGTTCATAACGTAGACTTGTACAAATAGAACAAGTCCAGACAATGGTTATGCGTGAGAGTAAGCCGGCTCGGGGTATCTTAGAACGTAAACAAATGCCAGCAAGTCCTTATTCATGATTCATTTCTTTGAAACAAAAAAGCCCTTGGAGAAAGGTTTCCTATTGGTGCCGAATTTAGTTCCCGCACGACCTTGAAGCCAAGCTTCTTTTGTTTTCCGGGCTTGCGTTAATGATGGTGGTGCTAGATTAGAATTCCTGACTTTCGTAACCTTATATGTTGTGGAGCCGATTCGGCGATCTTTGGGTATTGGTGCTAGATCCGCAAATGTAGTCTTTTTCGCTTTGACAGGGACACTTGACAGTTGCAGAGCCTTCATTTCTACCTCCTCCTCTTCATCGTCCTCATCATCTTGCAGGAATTCCTCCGGTAACAAACCAGGCGTATCAAACGGTGTGTTTGCTGGAATGGGAACTGGTGGTTGGGTTTTTGATGGGGTCGGCTGTTCTCTCAAATCGGATGGTTGCGGACTGCCGCTCTTCGGCGTAGTCTGTATATCTAGTTGTGATACAGGTACCTCAAACGACATTGATATAGAAGCATTTGCAGTATTGACTTCTCCAGCATCCTCCTCCATTTCAGACTCCTCATTCGGTACAACGATCTTCACCGCCTCTGCAGTCGGCGTACTTAACTCAGATACTGGAATTGGGTCCATAAATGGTATTTCTACAACGGGCCGAGTATCTTTCGTTCTGATTTCAAGCTTCTTTACGGGTGTTCCTATCGACTTGCCCGTTCTTCTTCGCTTTGCTGTACTTGAGACTACTTCTGGGGGCTCATCATTATCTTCCTCGGCGACAACAGGGCTGGTTATCTCCATCGATCTCCTTTTTCGCGTTCTTGGTGTACTGATTGAACCATCGTGCTGCGTTGCAGACTCCCCTAAGGGTGGTAGCTCACCACGCCGTCTTGTTGCAACCACTATTTCATCAGCATTTTCCAACCGACTGGGCCTGCCAAGCCACTTACTCGAGGTGTTAATTCTTGAGGCTAGCTGAGGCTCTTCTTTCTCACTTTCTGGTGTAGTAGAAAGAAATCCCCGAGCTGTGCTGAAAATTCTTGCAAACATCGGGCCTGTAATTCTAGAGGGGTTGTCTGCACACGACTTGTGGGCCATGCCGGACATTTTTCATGCGGGTACTTTTTCTGCCTCAAAATACATTCACCGCCCTGCAATGTGACGCGTGGGAAGAAATATGTGGATTGGGAACAAAGCAAACAACAAAAACCTTCACTTCAGCATTTCTACTATTTTTCACGGATTTTTTTCAATGCTTCTTTGCTAAACCACAGATCGCCATGACTGATTGGACTAAACTCAAGGTCGTTGACCTAAAAGCAGAGTTGAAGAAGAGAGGTCTTGCTCAAACGGGTCTCAAACCTGCTCTCGTTGCGCGACTGGCTTCAGCGGAAAATGAAGATGGAGAGGAAAGTGAAACAACGGTACAAGGAGATGGCGCGAAGCAAGATGCTAGCTCTGCAACGTCCCCTGACACGGTATCACCTGTGTTGCCATCGGCAGATTTAGGCGCAGAAACGGTACAAGATGGGTCGACTCAGGGGGAAACTTCTCAGCAGCCTCTTGAGATCAGCGATAGTATCCAGGAAAGCGCCAGTGTTGAGCCGCATATTACTTCGAAAGCGCCAGAAACATCAACGGAGCCTTCCGCTACAATCGAACAGCCCGTCCAAATTCCACAAACCCATCAGTCGACCTTACCATCCGTCGAGCCCCAAGAAGCGCGAGATGATGGACAGAAGCGCAAGAGGAGATCGCAAAGCCCACCACCGGCTGGTACCGAGTCGGCGCGCAAACGAGCTCGACAGGATGTGGATATGGATGGCGTGGATAATAGTTTGCTTGAACTCGCTGAGCCTCTAACTCAAAACAATAACACTATCGACCCAGAGGAAAAAATTGGCGAAGGTGAAATGGCGTTGGCTGATACTTCGCCTGGGTCCGCGCCGGACAAATTGAAATATCAAAGTCCACCTGCCTCGAACCTTAATCTGCCAGCTGGTGACAAGATGGTCATCGACACGGAAGACCAAACAAAAAGAGATAGCGATCCTATCATGGATTCTCCTTCACGGCCGAAATCATCGAAATACAAGGAGATATTCACGTCACACCAGAGAAGGTTATCTGTAGACAAATCCGTTTCGCGCGATATACCGGACATGATGGATACCGAACCAGATCGTATAATTGATCCCGCTATTCATCCTGCGACCGCATCCTTATACATTAGGGACTTCATGCGGCCTCTTAACGAGAGCCAGCTCAAAGCTTACCTCGCAGATCTCGCTACAGCACCCGGTCAAGATCCCGATCTAGATGTGATTACCAGATTCTATGTCGATTCGATTCGAACACATGCATTTATATCCTTTACCAGTATATCTGCCGCCTCTCGGGTGCGCTCAGCAATTCACGGTCGCAAATGGCCAGAGGAAACAACCAGGAAGCCTTTGTGGGCTGATTTTGTACCGGTGGATAGGGTGGAAACCTGGATCCAAGAGGAACTTTCGACTCAAGGTGGCGGGCGCCCCGCGAGCAAGAGGTGGGAAGTCAACTATGATGTGGATGAAGACCGAAATGTGACCGCTTCATTACAAGAGTCAGCGAACTTTAATAGACCACAAGTTACTCCGCGACAGCCATCCATCTCAGTACCAACGCCTACCATTCCCACACAACCGAGGGGTATTGAAGGTGCCCCATTGGGACCTCGATCGGACAAATTCAAAGGTGCAAGGGCTGCAACCAATTTTGCAACTCTCGATCAGCTATTCAAATGCACAACCGCGAAACCAGCTTTGTATTGGCAGCCCGTGGCCAAAGAAATTGCTGATAAGCGACTTGACAATATTGACTTTGCCACTTCGAAGGCAGCGCAAGGCCAGCGGGTGAGTGGCGAAATCAACAGATATACTTTTGAGGACGGTGATGTACTAGTAGATCGCGGGCCAGAGATATTCCCCGGCATACGGCCTCCTCCAGGACATCCAAGCTCAAGAGGTGGCGGGTATCGTGGTGGTGGAAGAGGAGGAAATAGAGATGGGCGAGGACTTCATCGAGCTCCGGATCGGTATGACGGTTACAGAGGAGGAGATAGGAGAAGAGATGAGCGACGATATTGAAAGGGTTTCGGCCATTGTAATAAGCATTAAGGGGAGTTTATGGATGTCTGCTCGAATAAGCAGTTTGATATTTCGCTGGTAGCGATGTCACTTGTATGATTATAAAATGAGATTTGATGCCAGATGGATATCTTTTTATAAGGTGGTATTGGCGATAGTAGCTATTGCGCGCCTAAAACCACCGCCAAAAAGAAGTAAGGTTATTCTATTTTTTAAGACCAACGTCGGTAGTCTTGTGAGTTTAGAAGACATACTAAACGATTTGTATCTTCTAATGAAGGCGCTGTGAAGAAATTCAAGAAAGAATCACAAAGTTAACTCCTTAGACGATGACTTTCAACCAAGGCACGCTATAAGAGTTGTACGCGATCGGAAAGGGGGAACCGTTGCCGTAAGGCTGAAAGGTACCTAAGCTTCGGCACGGGCCGCAATGTACAGAAAAGTGTAACTCTGAACGACAACGACTGCCTGTGAAGTATTGACGCAAACAACTGGGAGATGTCGCACTTATCCAATCCACTTGCGACTGCTGATCAGCTATACAAGAAAGTTTCTTTCAAAGCTCTTCCCATTGAGCTGCAAGATAGCATTCGTTTCTACACAGCGCGACTTACCCAAGCCGCAGGCATTCTCCTACGTCTTCCCCAAGACATCACCGCACAAGCCAATGTTCTCCTATTTAGATACTGGGGCGTAGATGACCTTTTGGCTCATGAATTTAGTGTAGGCTAGCTTCTCTCACATATTCATACAAGGCTAACCAACCTAGGACGTCTCAGCAGCAACTATCTACCTCACAGCCAAAATATCGGCCTCTCCTCGCTCTACACGGAGTATAGCGAACGTATATACCTACCTCCTGGCCTGCCCGTCTCTCCCTCTTTCCAAATCGCTACCTCCGCCGGACCCAGACTCGTACTATCTCTCCGAAGGGCTTTATGAGAGGTTCCGCGACCGAATTCTTAACGTCGAAGGCCAAATACTCAACGCGATCGGCTTTAATACCCATGTATCGCTGCCACATCCGTTAGCCATTACATACCTCCAAACGCTCGATGTGTTCAACTCAAAAGAGAAAGGAAAGGCGGTCGCAAAGAGGACAATCGAGTACCTGAATACGGCGTTGTTGAGTCCTCAGATGTTATATCTGACACATCAGCCTAGCAGTCTGGCAACAGCCGCAATCTATTTGGCGGCAAGAGATCTTGATCATAAGCTGGTGGGTGTGGAATGGTGGGAGGTATTTGATTGCGAAAGAGAGGAGCTGGGATTCTTGGTTGTGGGGATGGGTAGTCTGGAGGGTATCGTGAGAAGGGAGATGGAGAGGTGGGGTGAGCGTGGAATGATTACACGATTAGCTGTTCGAGACGAAGCCAAAAATCTGGGTATGGCTGCTGGTGGAAATGGGGTTGAGGAAGAAGATGAAGAGACAGAGATGGCGAGGTTGATGGACGAGAAGGTTAAAGAGGGTTGAAGTCACAAAAATGCTCCTTTTGCTCTATCGCTTTTGAGAAGCAAACGTTTGAATTTGGAAAGATGCTCATGATACCTCAAGGTATGTAGAACCCATGGAATACGTACACATACACTAACGCATCTTTGTGGCAGAAGTATTGAGAATATGACCTTGTCACCATAGGTTACCCCCCGGTCCTCTTCGATAGCGCCCAGGAGGCTTTTACAGCCAGCTGATAGCGTGGTAGACCTCAACGTTGAGATTGAGCGTTGTGGTTGTCATCCCTGTTACTCAGGGACTGATCGCACAAAGATCAATTTCGCAAGGCCAATCACCTCCAATTTTCAATTGACCGTACATTCTGTCTCGGATTATTGTCACATTGAGCTATTTAGTCACAACCGCTGAGATTCATCATGTCTAAACATAAATCTTTGGTCACAGAAAAGTAGCACAGCGCCTCAAATAACTAAGGATGACGGTTATTTACACACTTAAATGAGAGCTTGTTCCATCAACGGAGCCAAAGATATTTAAGGGTAATCAAATAATCTTCTAACACTGTGCTCGAATGCTGTTTGAGTTGTCACCTTGTAATACCTGCATCTAATTCCAATCTGCTGATAGACCTACTTTATGGGATTTTGCTACTTTGTTGTCACTGTATACCGGATAGCTACATCCCCCTTTTGTGATATCGTACATAACACGAAACTTAGCTTGATGATAATCAGATTCCTCAATTAACAATCACAACGAATTACCATCCCTCATTACACAAAAACATATATATATATATGCATATATACCTCTCCTCGCCACCATCCACAGCTCAAATCGATCGTCCCACCTACCAAACCATATCCCTTTCTACAATACACTACCAAGTTTTCCACCAATAACCCATCACCTCCCCACGATCTCTCATCTCGTAAAATGCTGCTCATCTGCCACGTCGTAAGTCCTCTCCTATCTCTACCGCCTTCATTTTGTCTCATCCCACAGCATCCACTGACTCATTACAGTGTAACGCCCAAACACCATACTTCGAGATCACAGAATATTGCGATTCCTGCGGTCATGTGCCAAATGATGTTGCGGAGTCGAGTTGTGGTTGTGATGTCGTGTGGAACTAGATATCCTGCAAACCCTCAAAGAAAGAGCATAAGGATAGGAGGAAAAGGAGTAGAGGGGTCTCATAGTAATACGTTGCCTTAGCAGATCGAGGTTGATATGTGATAAATGTGGTTTCTATGTTATAAAGTGCAACGCTATTTAGATCTCCGAATCCTACGCTGATTCTGCAGATGTCTGACTCTTACTTCCCACTTCCCCCGATTTCAAAGCCGTCTTTACATCCACATCTCTTGCCTCTCTAACAGGAAGCCCATCACCCCCAGCAGCCACTCCACTCGCCGCAGAAACACCAGCCCGCTCAATCTCAGGCACAAACTCCTCCGGACTCCCAACCACCAAATCGCCCTGATGCCTGATAGGACTTCCTGGACCTCTCCCACCAGCCCTCCCCTGATTCTTCCCTAGAAAACTATCAATCTCCTTGGGCGCCGTACCTCTAGGACTAGTCGCGCCTTTCCCCGCAATAGCCTCCGTCCAATTCCATCCGCCCTTCTTAGCACCCGACGGACTCGACGCTCGTGCTTTATCGTTTTTAGCTTTCTGTCCAGGAACCATGTCATCTTCGAAATCATCACTATCGTCTGCGCTATCAACCCAATCACGTTCGCTCCATCCTTCGCTTTCATTGCCGCTCGCTTGGGCTTTATTCATTGCTTTGCCCAGACTTCTGGGGTGAGAGCTATGATTCATCTCCGGTACATCGTCTGATGCTTCTCGCACTTCGGAGTCTGTTCTGTCTTGTCGTTTTAGAGTAGTAATTGGATCATCCCGAGTTTCTCTGCCTACTCGATCAGGGTTCTCTTCGGTGCCCTTGGCACGTTCAGCGTTACTATCATCCTCATCGCGGACTTTAGCAACGGCCGAATCACTGAAGTGCGTATCGCAGAGATGCTTCACAACAGGCCAGCCATACGCATTTGCAAACATACGACGCACAATCATGTTGTTATGAGCATCTGGTTCCAGTCTCACGAGCACTTTTCGCCATGATAAATCCTTGTGGTAAGCACGTGCAATTTTTTCTTCGACTTTCATCGCGGAACCATCCACGACTTCGTTGGGTGCAATTTCAGGATTGGTGTTCCTGGTGTCATCGTAGTCTGCGGTTGAAAGATTGCTTCCAGCACGAGGAGGTGGGGTGAAAGCGCTAGACGATGAGCTACCTGAGGAGTGAGCAATATTCGAACTTGAGCGGCGAGTTAGCAGAGAGGTCGTAGGGCGTTTCTTGAGTGGTGGAGGTGGGATATCCGAAGGATGATAGACACGGTCGTGGAAGATAGTTCGTGCCCGTGACTCAGGATTGATAAGAAATTCAACTGTTGCGAGTGGTGGCTTGAGAAGATCGCCAGCGGCCTCAAAGAAAGTTGTTTTTGGTGGTGCTGACATATGTCCTGAGTTTTCGTCATCGGAATGATTAGCTGTTGCTTTCCCGCGCGTTCTCTTAGGCGATGAAGGCTGCCTTGCAATCTTTGGTACCGATTCGCCAGACTCGTCATCTATTCGAAGTGTTTGGCTTCGTTTGTATATCTTGTTTGGTTTTGGTCCTTGACTTTCGACTTTGGAAGAGGGCTTCGATCCCGTATTGGGTTGAAAGAATTTCACGATACTCGAGAACGGACCTTCCTGCTGTGGCTGTGAGGGATCACCGTCGCTATTGACAGATCTCATAGAACCAGATCTTTCCCGGACGGCCCTGATACTCCGGTTATCATCCTGAGTAGCATAAGGAGGCGGCTGTGGAACGTCTTCTCCATGCCCGTGCTGAGTTGGTGTGTTGGTTCCCGGAGTATCACTGTCACTACCAACAGGATTGTCGTGGGATTCAGAGAATGTGCGACCCATTGGTGATACTGTGTTCTGGCCTGTGAGCTCTGCCCATCCCCAGCTTGTAATAGTGCCTACAAGACCGTTCTCTCGACGGGCCTTTTCCACGCGGCCAAGGCCCTGCCAATCAAGGAATAATAAACAGCTTGTGCGTAACGGTACGACGCCGTCGTTAACTACGTTGGAGTACACTGTTCGATTGCGAAACTTCTTCAATACAGTATGAGCAGGTCCAGTCGGTAGGATTCGAAGAAGCGGCTTAGACTCAGGTGGTGCTTCACCCTCAATCTTCTTGTGTGCACTATCAGTCATGCCACCGACTATAGCACCCCATCCACTTCTAGCAATCGTTGGAGCTCGCCATGTGAGGCCCAAATCCTGCCCAGTTCTTCCAACGAGACCGAAATCGAGGGCAAACTTGACGTAAAGTGGGTTTTCGTTGCTCAACCCAAGAAATGGAGATGCCAAAGCAATGAAATTTATCGGTTTGATGATATCAAAGAACTCTGGCGAGTGTTTCTGAATATACGCGACAGCATACGTTTGTACCAGTCCACCTAGAGAGTGAGCAATAAAGCTTATACTGGTAAACTTAAAAGCAGAATTGCTGTCCGAGGTTGGTTCTTTCTGGATAGTACTATCTTTATGGCTTGGTGATCCTTTTGATGCGGTCCCCCCTTGTGATGAAGTACTAGGCTTCATCGCATGAGATATAGCTTCGGCAGCAGTCTTCTTTGTGACTGGTCGATATGGTTGGTCCGGGTATGTCATCGTAAGTACATATTTTGCGAGACGTTTCCCCAGATACTTGATACCCCGTTCTGTCCTCGTAGCATTGCCAGAAAATCCTCTTACTATGACCTCCTCTTCATCATCATCTGAGTCGATATCCTCCTCTAGCTTCTCTGCCGGGGATTTGTCCTTATCGGCTTCTGATTTGTGGTCCTCGTCCACCTTTTGCCGTGCTTCATCATCACCCGCTTTCTGTCTCTGCTCCTCTCTTCGTTTGGCTCGTCGAGCTTTAGCATCTATCCTCGCCTGTCTAGCAGATGCATCAATACTTTCTTTCATATATAACATATCCGCACCAAGATTACTGTGCAACCCATGGGTCAAAACAACAAGATGAACTTTCTTTTGTCTCTTTCCTCTATGTTTATCCGACTTATTTATATCATCTGCGCTATCGGCAGCTCTTTCCACGGGGATCCCTTTCTGCTTCTCCTTTTCTACATGCTCTTCATCCCATTCCGGCATTTTAGGAGTGTTCCACAAACTCGCCGTATCGTCAACCTTCAGCTTCACCGCCTTACTGAATATCCCTTTCGGTTGTGCATTATGATGGCCATCCTTCGCTGCAGAACTTTGTTGATGGTCGCTAATATGGCCAGGAACTGGCGCGGGAGTGCCTCCGACAAGAGGATTGACATATCCTAGCTGTAGACTCTTCTCATCCCTTCCAAGGAGCACCTCATAGTGTACAGCAGCACTGGTAGAAAAGATAACCTGACTGCTGACCTCTATAATCCAGCTCACGTTCTCCTCTCCTCCTTTGCTCTCTTGTCCAGCGCTGTGTCCATCCCGATCCGCACTTCCCGCAGTCTTCCTCACATGTTCCGGTACGGCGAGCTTTGTAGTGAACGTCCCCCCAGCCTTCAAATTTGGTTCAAACTCTGGCACACCATACGCCCTTGGATTTTCGAATTTCTCATTCGGGTTGAAGTTCGCAGGGTAGGCAGAGGCATAAAGAGTATAAGGGCCATGGACAAAAGCGGCACGGAGGGCGATGGCGGACGTGTTCTTGATGCGCAAGAAGAGATGAGTTGGCGACGGCAGAATCCTATCGTGGGAGGGCGTATAGGTTACTTCGTATCGTACTAGCTCGCCAATCTTGACGCTGCCCGTCTGGTAAAGAAGAAGCATCTTGAGAGGGGCGACGGGTGGGCTCTTGACTGAGAGTGGTTGTTCTAGATGACTGGAGAGAGGCTATGCGCGGTATTTCGAGTGTTATAAAGAGGCCATATTATCATTCTAGACTCAAAGGCCATGTATTCCATTACACCCCGTCTGAAGAGGAATAAGTGTTGGTGTTTCCTCTATATTAATTCTTTGAATCCCACAAAATCCGGCAGCGCCCGAGCTTCAAGGACGGGCGGGTGACCGAATACGACGATGACGATGTGTGGCTGAAACACGGACCCCTAAGGGTTTGCTCTACAAGTCAAGTGCCGACAGCAACAGCGTCGTGAAGCTGGGAACTGGTGAAGCTTCAACAAATGTCATTAGGACCTGCTTCGAAGTAAATCGAAAAATGCAATGCAGTGTTAATAGTAAGTGTGCTCTGCTGATAATAATACTTATATAATTATGTTCGTATATCCTGAAAGACATCTACTACAAATTGGTATAAACAAAGTATTTGGCGGAGCGTCTAATAGCATCGCCATATGGAAGTATACGTTAACTAAGCCATCCAGAGCCAACAACGACCCGGTTTTAAACATTCAAACAAGAGAAGCCAATAATGCCAGTCTGCTTGCATTAACCAAAATACTCCCAGACACGGGTATTAAAAACAAATCCGACAAATTTGTACAAGACATAGTCCCAAATACCAACATTTGCGTATATACTTCCCAAGAAAAAGCTTCAAACAAATGATAGCACTCCTTCTTCGGGTTCCACACCCGGCTCAACAAAACTTCTCCAGGCGCCGACTCGATCGCCGCCACGGCGTGTACCTAGACCTGCTAAGACAGACCTTTTTGTGGACGCTTCCCGATCTGAACTCCTCGTTGAAGCTGTCCTTTCAACAGCCCTTAGGGGGATAATTCGGTTTGGACCTTCTCGCGTAGATACTTCCCTATCAAGTCGTCTTGAGTAAGGCGTGTGGACAGCCACCTCACTCTCGTAATCCGTCCGAGTCCTTCGGGGTACAACTCTTTCTGACGGCCGCGTGCTTGGAGCATTATTGTAGACTTCCTCCATCATCGTATGCCTTCTCAGCATAGGCGGAGGTGGAGGAGGAGCGGGAGCTGCTACAGGGTAGCGTTCTGACATTCTTCTAGGCGGTGGTGGGGGGCCTCCACGTGCCTGTCGTACTCCCATTACATAGTTGGCTGCCGCGGTTGCGTGGTCAAAGGTACCGGTCAGAATATTATGAGCTGCTCTTATATAATCCTGATTCATGAAATGTCCGGCACCATTTCCAACTCCGTGGATATCCCCGATTCCACCTTGATAGTCATCACTCATGTCAAAGTTCTGTAAACGGCGAGCCAGTCCTTCATCTTCCCTCTCTTGTCGGCGTCTTTCGTCTATTTCTTCTACATAAGTATTTGGTCGAGGTCTGCGTTGACGATCCCGAGGAGGTCGTGGTACTGGGTCATCTTGTGGCGGAACTGGTTGCGGTATCTGCATGTGATTGAGGCGATCTGCTTCAACGGCATCGTAATTAAACCAGGGGCAATTACAAGACTTCCATTTCAGTCCACATATCATACAGAACTCGGCCGTACAGTGACTGGGAGCTGTTAGCCTACGTTTCAAAAACAAATCAATGTCTGTCATACCATGTCATATGATTGCAGCCCTCCTTCAGCTCCACCATCGTCCTACAGCTATAGCATCGTTGCCAGCCAGCTTCTTTTGCTGCTGCCAGAAGTTTGTTGGTTTCTTCATCCTTTGGACAGTCACGAGAGCCATGCCATTTACCGTTGCACAAACAACAGACTTTGGTTTTGCATCGACCACACTTACCATACTTTTTTCCATCCTCTGAATGAATATTTCCTGGCTTGATCCATTCGCCACACCGTCGTGCTGGGCAATATATACGATTCTTTGTAGAATACTCTTGAAACTTGCGATTCCACTTTTTCTTGAAATTGAGATCAAAAAGTCTCTCGACATGTTTGAGGGGTATGTGGTCAGTGGTACAGCATTTTGGAGGCATATGCTGTGGGTCGGTAACAGAGAGTTTAAAAATGCGACGCAAGCAATCGTGGCACATGCGATGGCCACATTTCAGCTTAGCAGACTTGGATCTTGGAATGTCATCAGACAGACAGGTCAAGCATTCAACCCTAGCACATGTTAGCATCAGGTAGAAAAACAGTTAAGCAATTTGACTTACAGTCTCTCGGGTTCCTGGGTATGATGGACAGGAGGCCCGAAAAAGTTGTTTATGAAGTGTGATGATGCCCTCTTCCCGGTTGCATTGGAAGCCGTCGTGGTAAGCGATGGAGCGTGCTGTTTTGTTGACTTTATATGGGAACTCGTAGAATGCCCCCTCCGCAAGCTAGGGGCGCGATTTGGAACTTCTCTTATTGATGAAGACCTATTAGAGGGTGGTGCAACTGTTGGTTCGGCGACAGATTTCCGAGAACGATGCGTCCTGGACCTTCGTACACTGTCGTCTTCTTTCGCACTCTCGACACGCTTTCTGTCTGTCCTCTGCCCCCTTTCTTTCTGCTTGGAGGAATGATAGTCTTCCTCTGTGATATATACGACCTTCACCTTGCGCTTGCGAGGACTTTTGTGGCTCGTCCCAGACCGTCTGCTAACTTCCTCCTCCGAGTCACTCGATTCTTCATCTGACTCCAGCCTTCTCGTCCCACTTTCTGCGACGGGGGAGCGTCTCGATGTCCTTGACGGCGTGCCATGAAGATATCTTGAAGGAGACTCGTCTCTCGAAATCGACGCTCGTTTGCCAGGGGATTCATCGTCTGGACTTCTGTGATGGTGCCGTCTCCTCCTGTGGCTCGATAAACTTTCTTCGCTGGGTTGCGTCGCATACGACTCAGAGGCTATTTTCCTAGATGATGCGCTCCTACGTCTTTCAGTGTCGCGCCCATCTTGTCTTTCGACTCTGATCCTTCGTACTCCAGGAATTGATAGCTCCGAGTCCTGTGCAATCCTTTCCCTACGACTCGACGGTGCGGCATGCTCGTTTGCCCATTCGTTGTCACTATCACGGCGCCTGTAGCTCCTTCTCTCTTCTCGCTGGGAATCTGCCATTCCACTGTTGAAACTGAATTGATCTCGAGTTTGCGACCCAAAACCCGGTCATAAAGGGGGCGGGTGGCGATCAGCAGAAGAATATATCGAGAGACATTTGCTCGTGCGGGATAGGATGCTAATTCTCAGCTGACGACTTGATTGATTGGCAACATCGACACTGCATCCTGCAGCAACCAATGCGGTGCATGGGCAAGGCGGGCGCTGTGACTGAGGACACTCCCAGTGATTCCCAAAATGAGGCTGACTCGATAAGATACTTTATTGTTATTGTTGACCGACCATAAGAGAGGCCGCGGAGGCGGTTGGCAAATAGGTCCCCTATCAACAAGGCTCTGGCTCGCCCTGATGGACCCCAAAATCTGCAAGACTAAGGCCGGGAGGCAAGCGCCGCCGGCGACGGAGACGGGTCATCTGGAGCCGGTTCGAACGTCCCTCACACCTCCCTTAGACTTCTTCTTCACAAGTGAGCTAGTTTTGTGGGCTTTGTTTAATACAAGTCTTCCATATTGCCCCTGTTCTTGCATACGAGCTCAATAGCCATTCTACTAGATCGTTGGATACCTTTGATTATGCTTTGTACTAAAGCGATTTTGCCGGGCAATTGGAAAGCTATTGGATCATCACCACTCAGCATGAAAATCTTCGCGCCATAGATATTAGATATGAAGTACATGTTAGACAATGGAATTGTTTGGAATGTTATGCTTGCGGGGTACTCTGTTTGATGCTTCAATTCACTGATTCGCTCCTATCTGTATAACATCAAGCGCTTCTCATTCACCTTGGTGACCCCTTCCATATTGAGCCTCAACCTTTTTGTTTCTGACTCGGAAATCTAGAGTGTACTTCTTTCCGCTATCAATAAGTAAGCTCTCTTCTGAAAAGATAGGCTTCGACCCCAAGGATTCGACAAGACTCTGCTATCATGTCGTGGCGACCAGACTCTCCTGTGGAACTAGCAAACGGGCAACTCGTCTGCAAGAGGCATGGGATGATTCGCTGTGAATCATGTTGGGTTGATTACAGCTTCAGTACTCCAGATGCCGCTGGCACAGGCTACGAATACAACGACATGGACGACGATGACTTCACAATTGTGATCCCGAGAGAGTTTCACCCACCGCGTTTAGCAGATACACCTGACTCCCTCTTCAGTCAGCGCGTACTTCCTGGTATGGCAAGACCCCGATTTGTTCGCAAGACCGACAAAAATCAAGTTATTTTCTGGACGGACGGAGCATGCCTCAATAATGGCAAAGCAAACCCATCAGCGGGCGGTGGATTTGTCTTTTCAACCCCAAATGTCAAACACGATGGCAAATACCACGGGATTCACTTTCGTCTCGAGAATGAAGGGCCCAACGGCAACATCGAAGCACAAACTAGCAATCGTGCCGAACTTCGTGCTGTAATCGCCGCTTTGGAATTCAAAGATCGGAGCCCGGAAGGATGGAAAAGTCTCGTCATTGCCACCGATTCGGAGTATGTCGTACATGGAGCCACTGACTGGATTACGAAGTGGATGGACAACAACTGGAAGAGAAGTAGTGGAGACGCTGTGAAGAATAGAGATCTATGGGAGCTCTTGATGGATAACATTTCACGTTATGAGGAGCTTGGCATCGAAATTCTGTTTTGGAAGATACCCAGGGAGCTGAACAAACTGGCGGATCAAAAGGCCAAGGAGGGTGCTGCCCTGCCAGCTATTGACGAGTGGAATCCCGTCTATGTGTGCGACTGTTGTGCGCCGAATGTTTGAGCGAATTTTCACACTTGGCCTGTTTACGATTTGATACTCTCTTACGCCAGTCGACAGCTTCTTTACTGTATTCTATTATTCAGTAATCTGATGATGAATTGATTATAGAGTGCTCTCAATGAGCCCATCAAGCTTAAAACTCCAATGTTGTTCACTGTTCTGCAGTCTCTGTATACTAAATAAAGTGGAATCAATCCAACTATTAGTTTTTCCCCGCAGGATCTTCACATACGTATCTATACCCTACTAGTAGAAATTTCGTACTGATCTATACTTGTGAAGGGATAGTACCAGTCCATACTGACAACAACAAAAATAACTGGTCATCATTCAATTGCAGCCCTAATTATACATCAATATACTTGCACAATAGCAGACGTCGGACTTTCGGGATACTTGCAACTGTCCTCTTCAACAAAACTTAATTTTGAAAGTTCAATCTTAGAATATACCAACAGATTACCATTTTCGTCGCCTGGAAGTAGCGATTGCTTAGTACGTTGCTAGGCAAATTACTATCAATGTCGTTCATGTATATTGCTTCGTAGATTTTACAAAATTGTGAAGAAAATCATTCTCAGAAGTTACAGATTATTTTCATTACAAGCGCTACAGTCTCAATATATTTTCAGCTCGACAGATACAAGTAAAGTTCTTTGGGGCAAAGGCTCGAATGCAGAGGTGGTCCTTCACTGAATTGAACCTTGCCAAATACCTTGTGGCCTCTTGTAAACTAGACATAAGAGAATATTAGACAGTTACAAGCGTTTTTCCACAGTAGAAGTAAATGATACCGTTTGATGACAGTGTTAAATTTTCCAACCCCCAGCGTGACTTCACAAGTTTGGATGAGATTAGATATTTACACCACAGAAGTAAAATCCTCAAATAAACTGTGAGTGGAGCTTGCGTCATCAACCTCTTTAAATCTGGTTATACCTAGCAGCAGATCACCAGCAACGAGTGGCTCAACATCCTCGTCAAGCAATATCAAACACCTCGCACGTTCCCCTCGATCAGCCTCCTTTCCACCCTTTATAAACCGAAATAAAAACACGATTTTCCTCGCAACATGCTCTAGAGTTGAGCCACTGGTTTAAACGGGATTCTCTGACTCGCTCGAGAAATCCATCACCAAAGAGGGGGAACCGACCGTTGAGACGCCTTGAGATCCCCTTAAGCACAAGGCATTAGAAGTTCTTTGGATTTTCAATGCTGCGAGGCTCAAGGACGTAGACATGGCACACCATGTTGAACCTCTTGCTATGTACCGTGATTGAAGAGTTAATTTGGGGGTTTCTGAGGGACAGCTGGACGTTTCGTTGAATTTTTGGACTTTTGTCAGGCTGGGAGTTAAGCGAGGTTCAGGTGTAGACTTGAGATAGACAAAGTAGAAAGCAATAGAAACACATCAATAGTCGAATGACTTTGACTGAATGTGATGTGTCTCTCTATGGTCGACCTAGTCATACCTCGTTATGTTTCGGGTTTATTATTCTTTTGTGTTAGGTTGATAGCTTGAGTATAACTAATGGCAGATCCGCAATTTTAGAGAACGCGAAAAGTTTGCCTAACACTGATGGATATAAGGACGTAACCCATCAATTTACTTTAAGAAATCTCACACAGCATAGCCATATTTTCAATAATGTTATACGTTGTTAGTCAAAAGTTCAACTCCCAAGTAAACCCACTCCACCAGACAGGCGACTTCTCGCCCCCCCCCTCCTCACCGTCTCTTCATCTTTATAACATGAAGCAAAGCATTTTTCCACCGCAATACACCCAATCAACGGGTTGAGCACAGACAAGTGAGCTGGAACAGACACCCAGATGGGAAACGTCCTTCACATTGGAACACACAGGACACACGTCCTAGCTTCCGCGAACGTACACTGCATCAGACCGGGCTCATAACCGTCGCAATAGAACATAGGATGTAGAGCCGCTGAGGCTCGAACCTTTTGTAGTTCTAATGAAGCGAATGTTTTGTCTCTTTAGGTAGGGTTCTTTGTTTGGCATGTAGCAATTCAACTCTAAGGCGTTTTTTGGCTTCCGTTTCTTTTAGTCGTTATGTGACTGAAAATGGTAAGCGATTGGTGGAGTAACTGTATTTACTTTACCTAGCACTTAATCATCAAAAAACTATAAGTTAAACTTTGCAACAACTGATTCTATTTTCCCATTAACCAGATATCCAAATCTTAACTGTCCCTCAACTCAACGCTCGACCCCCTTCACAGGCGACTTTTCGGCGCCCCTTTTCCATATGTCCCACTCTTTATATTTTCAACAAAGTATGTTCTTCCGCAATATACCCAATCAAGGGGTTGAGCACAAAAGTGAATTGAACATTGCCCATGATGGGACAAGTCTTTCACGATTTGGAAATGGGACATGGTCCCCGCTTCCGCTGTCGCACATTGTATCTGACCGGGCTCATAACTGTCGATGAATTGCAAAGGATGTAGGGCCCTGGAGTAGTTAGACTCACCGTATTGCTCGAACCTTTTTGCTGTTTTGTCTAGAGAGTGTTTCCTTTTTATTCGAGAGAATGGCTTTTTAGGGAAACGGCGATACAAACTCAAGATGATTTAGAGCATGCGCAGTCTACTTTGGCAAGTGAGTCCAGCTGATTGTACTGAATCTGCAAATACTATGGTTGATCTTTTATAATAAAAGAATTTCTACTACATCACTACCTCTTCGAATTCCCATGAACCAGAAATCGTCTCCAGCTCCGCAACGTCCGACCCACTCACAGGCGACTTCTCGGCGCCCCACAACTTTTGCACTTTATAAATAGAAACAGAACTAAATTTGCCACCATATTGAGCACAAAGTGAATCGACGAAAGTCTTCACACAGTGAATTGACAATTGAGTCTTCACAAAAGCGAATGACTTGTCTCTTCACAGTTTGGAATGCGATGTATATCCCGCTTCCCGCTCATGCATTCTGTATCAGGCCCGGCTTTCGCCGTCGATCGATTGCAAAGGACGTAGAGCCTTGAAGCTCGAACCCTTTTGGATATTCTGGAGGTCTTCTTCAAGGAGATAGTTTTTTTTCTTTTTGCGAATGTGGGGGCCGGGGACTTTAATAATGCATGTTTTCTTATCTTCTACTTCGCAAGTGGCTGAGAAGAAAAGAATCGAGAATTGTCACTGTACGAAAGGTACCTGAAGTGATATATCCTTCTATACTCACCGGCAACTCCTCGGCTCACCCCCTCATTGCCCATATATAAACCCAAAAACCCCGCATTTTCTCAGTAAGAAACCCATAGTGGTTGAGCTGAGTGTGAAGAGAATAAAACCCACTGTGGTAAGGTCCTTCACAGTGAAATGGAACAGTTTCCCATAGGGGTAAAGTCCGCGAGTATTTCACAATAAAGTTCGGGGGACGCCCCGTTTCTTGTACAAGCGCGCATCACATCAAACAGTCATGACTGACGATGGATGGCGGAGGATGTAGAGCGGGAGTCTAGAAGATTGCCCTGATACTCGAACCTTTTGGAGCTTTGATGGAAGGGAGTTTTGATCGAGAGTGATGTTTTTGATTGCTTTTTTTGGAAGAGGGAGGGGAGAGGGGAAGGTAAGCGAGTATCACGAGCTGACTTCGAGTACGTTTTCGAGGAGGTAAATTTTAGGTACTGTTTTCTTGCTTCGGCCTTTTCTGTTTAAACAAAATTGTGTAAACTCATGAGATTAGACACCCTAGAGGATGCAGACAGTGGCTAGTCCTATTTATACAGTACAGCAATCGGGGATTCTATAACGTATCTTTGCTAGTCGGCTTCCCTCCAGATTTCTGATTGGGCTGCCTCAGATCTACACTGCAATTTTAGCGCGAAAGAAGTTGTTCGACGTAATTTAGAGTAAGGAGACCCGAGAACTTCGTTCTAAACTTGCACACTACATTTTTATAGCCGAACCCTTACTAGAATAATTCAAACGCGTGTTATTTTATTCTTTGGGGAAAAAATGTAGAGGAAATAGAAATAAGAAAGATGGAAATAACGAGCGCTTTCTATTTAGTCTCTTCTGGGTCGAAAAGGGGGAAGGCCGGCTAAGCGAGTGCGAATGTCTTGATGACATTTGAAAGTAGCTGTGGATATTCAAATATAGCAAGAGATTCTAGAAAAGTAAGTTACTACTTCTTTTACTTTCTATTACCCAAAACCCTAACTCAAAACATCCTTTATCCCCTTCCATTCTCTCCCATCTTCCTCTCGACTCGGCACATCCTCGGTTCCAGCCCCACTTATCTTGTCTCCATCATTATATAAATCCAAAAACGCCAAGAGTCTTTAGCAATACACCGCATGGTTGAGCACAGCTCGTGTCGTCCGATATCTGGTCCTTGGGGAGACTATCCGAGATGAGATCGTGATGTGCATGCTGTAACGTGTACGATGGGGTATCCTAGTACATGCGTCATTCTATCAGGAGATCGATGGCGGAGGATGTAGAGAAGTAGCGATCTAGCGAAGATCTGACTTCTCGAACCTTTTTGTGTTTTGAGGGATGGGAGGTCTGTTTTTTTTAAAGGGGGGGTGGAAAGATGTCTCAGTAGTAGGGGAATTCTAAACAATATGCCTATTAAGTACAGGAAATACTACCCTAAAAGTACCTTTTGTTATTAGTCGAAGTTTATAGGAAACTAAACTTCCAAGCTATTGCGTAAATTCCTCGTTCATTCATTTTTTGCTCTAAAGGTACTTAAGGGGGATGGGTTACTTCCAATCCTTCCACTTACTATCCCTAAGTAAGATAATCCAAAACAGCATCCCCACTAAGTACTAAACATCGCCCCAAAAGTACCTCTTATTATTGATCGAAGCTTGCTAAAACCTACAATTCCATTAGATCTATTACTTATTTATATAAAGTATAACTTTGCTCTAAAGGCATTCTAATCGCACTTCATCGGTATAGAATACCACTACTTATTCTACTCACTACACAAAAGAACCTATCCCCCAAAACCCTAACACCTACACTCTAATCTCCCCTAACTCATTCACCACCTCCCATCCCATACTATCCTATTCACCTCATTCCACCACTCCACCGGCAATTCCACGGCCCTCCATTAAATACAACCCTTTATATATTTAAAAACGACACATTTATCCCGCAAAATACCGATTAGCGCGTTGAGCATTTAAGGCAACAACAGAGCAGTCTCTGGTCCTTGGGGAGACTACCCGAGATGAGACTACTCTGTCGAGCTGAAGGATGTAGAGTAGGCGATCTGATATATAGACCGTACTTGAACCTTTTTTGTGGTTTTGGGGGGGGGGGGGGTTGGAAAGGATGTCGATTTTCTTTTGTAGGTTTGTTGTTGGAGGAGAGGAGAGGTTGTGATTTTCTTTGGTAAATGGAGGGTGGGGAAAGATAAGTGAATATTGCAAATTGTATGTAAACTTTTTTTTAAAGGTTTCATTTTAGGCAATGTTTTCATTACCTACCTTGTTTTGTTCACGTTCCAATAGAATTATTATGTGTTACAATAGTCCAAGTATTGCTCAATACTAACTAGAATAAACTACTACCAAACAACCTCAGATGCCGGCCAATACTATCTTCACAAAAACACAGATACACCAGTTTGTGAAGTCCATCCCCTTTACAAAATCCCCTCCAACCAGATAGTGAAGAGAAAAACAATTACCAACCTGTATCTCCCAAATCCAAACAACCACCCGTAAACCCAAAAATTCTGGGAATTCAAAATAAAAACAACCCAAACAGCTCCATGATGAAAGGAAAACAAAAACAAACCAGGAAAACTCCACTGAAATGAAAAAGAACGATACAGGGTATACGCTCCGTGTCAAAAACTCCACAAATGAACTGATGGTGACAATAGAGAAATGATTATTGCTCTTGGGTTTAGAAGGCAACCACGTCAAGTGTCGTGATATTGGTGAGAACTGATGGCTGATATAAGTGTAAGCCAAGCGAGGAGCAAAGAAGCAAGTTTGTGCAAGTCTGATGAACAAAGAGCGAAGTTGCTAGAGCCAAGTTGTTGGAAGATGGTTCATATGTCGGTTTGTTGAAAGAGTGTGAAGTTTTCATAGCAACTAGAGAGATAAGTGGATATTATCTATAGTCCAAGATGATCCAAGAATCTTGCGTGTTATCTCATGCGGTCTTCTTGATAACCTTCTTCACAGCGGTTGTCTCGACTGTGTAGCTTTCGGTGGTTTTTTTGACCGTTTTAGAAGAAGACCCAGGGTGATCACTTGTTCGAGCAGAATCTGGCGTCTTGCCCACTTTGGAAGATGCAGCAAGTTTGCTACCAGATGCAGCAGTCTTTGGTTGGAAAGCAAGAATCTTCGTGCGCTTTACCTGAGGAACACTCTCCGTGACAGCATCCTCCGCAATTCTCTTTCCGCTTGAGATAATTGGGCAGGGGGTGATGGGAGACCCTGACGACGAGACTGGCTCTTCACTTGCCGCTAGCTGAGAACTAGACTCAGAAGACCCCTGTTCTGTCGATGCGGTGGTCAAACCTGAAGGTGTAGGCACAAGACCTTTCTTCGCAGATGCCATGGACTTTCGACGGATTCTATCCTCTTTGGCCTTCCTCTTGCGCAGTGCTTGAGCTTCCTCGTATGTTGGAGGCGCAGGATGAGGGTCAGGAATTTCCTCTTCGTCAGCCGATTCAGGCTCCTCTTCCTCGTCCTCACCATCGTGGACTGACTCTGCATTCTGATAGGTTTTTCTCCTCCTCTGATTTTGCAATACTTCGTACTCTGACCATTTGAACGCGGCGTGCTTGATCGAATCGCTTGTACGCCATGGTGCTGGACGGTCGCATTGAAGTGCCTTTGCTTTTTTATTCTCTTTGCTCAATAAAGGTGATCCCTTGGGCTGGATTGCACCCATATTATCAGCATTGAATTTGTTGGTCAAAGTCTTCCAATGGATATTTGTATGGTCCTCATAACGCTGGGCAATGAGCGCTAAGATCTGCTGTTTTTCGAGCTCTAGCCAGTATTCTCGCTTTTTGGCAGTGGGTGGGAAATTCCGACCGATGATCTGAGACCGCCACTGATTCAATCGAGTGACCGATGCATGATCAGCAAAGTTGACCGGGTGTGCATATCTATTGATGACCGGTATCCCTGCCGCTTTGCTATATTGCCCTGAGCCAGGAGGGCTTTCGGCCTCTGTATGAAAGTCCAAATTCAACTTTGACGGGTCGAATACTTTATACTTGGCATGTAAACGATCCACTCCCTCTTCGAGTGCTCGATGATTCCGAGGGCGCCGGGGGGTGTGCTTGTACCTGTCAGTAGATGCGATAGATTTAGAACACCTACTACTTACACTGCGTTGTTTGGGTTTTTTACCATTTACCTTGGCCGGATAAGCCCACCAGGTTTTAGGTTCAGCTTTGATAGCAGATGACTGAGCTTGATCATGACCATCAGTCTGTTTGGCTGACGAAATTGAATTCACATCTTCTGTGTCGTCTTCGTCTTGTTCACCTTCATCCTCTTCAGACTCTTCATCCTCCTCGTTCTCTTCGCCCCCTTCGTCTTCGGTGAGATTCTCGTCTTCAATCTCTGTATCCCCACTGGAATCCGAAGGAGAATGGAAAACCGTAGGTACTCCAGCTTTAGATGGATACTTTAATAGCATAGGAGATTCTGTCACGGGTCTAGTCGATTGCTGCGAGAAATTGTTGCGATTTGCAGGTGTTTCTGGCAACGGCGACGGAGATACGAGCTCCTGGACAGTCAAGGGACCACGCTTAGGAGTCATGCTGACCATTTTGTATCGACGAGTGTTGAAATCGGCCATTTTTCTGTTGATGATCGAGCGCAAATCAGTAATTGCAGTTACCAATGAAGAGCTCAAGTGAGCCACTGTGATCTTACCAAAACGAGCAGTTGAAAGAAGACTATGGTACGGTACACGAGAGTAACAGTCGGAGAGAACCAAAGAACTGTGGACAATGCCTAATAAGCAGGTTAGCCGTTATCGGTGCCTGACCTACTTGTGGAGGATACTCACCTGATAGCAGACTGACAAAGTTGAGCTAAAGTCGTTGTAAACTGGGTACAATGATTGACAGTGATTGAAGTCAGAGCAAATGTTGTAGGTACAAATGATGTTACAAAAATTCTGTTGTAGAGGTGCAAGATCGTTGGAGGTTTAGGTGTGTAGAGGGGTTGATGTTGTGGATGAGGAATGGAGGTTCCAAAAAAGTTGTAGTTGGAAGAAATTTATGTTGAGAAGAATGGTTCGAGGGAAAGGCTTTGTAGACAGGCGACTCGCGCTAACTGTCAGGAAGACAGAGAGTGATGGTGAATATGTGAATTAAAACCTTTACAGCAATTTCAAAAAGGTGAAGTGGTGGGCAAGTGGAGCCGAATTTGGTAAATGGTGAAATTTGGGTTACTGTTCGCTGTTTTCACCTTTCATGTATGTGTTTTCTTTATGTTCAATGTAACTTTAACGGATTGATAGTAGGAAGCATCTTCTGTTCTTACACTTCTCAAACATTGAGAAATAATCTCAGAGTAACTTCAACGTTCATTTTGTAAATTCCGATTTTGGAGGCAACTGAGAATTGGTACAACGAAACCGACCATAGTGAATGTAGGTCTAAAGCAACCTCGAAAGCAAGGGCTCATGAATCACCTGAGTCAAATTTTAGCTTTATCTCGGGGTATCTTGTTTCTGGGAAGTTGTAAACGAGCAAAACTCACCAGATAATTCATCTCTACTTTACCCAATCTCATCACAAGCACAACTTGCCTTTTTAGTGTGAATTTGCAGTCACTCTAGGGAAAAGAAAAACAGTACATGTTCTAACCAAAGCTGTCTAGTAGTCAATCGCATGTTAATTAATATACCCTCACCTAACACTCACCTTCTGTGTCTATTTGAAAAACCCCCCTTCTCCCTCGCGTAAACTCTTGGCATCGAAGAAGAATTTAAGGTCTCGTGCAAGTCAGTTCCAAGAACCTTCTCAAATTCAAGCATAATTCACTTAGCTAGCTGCCTACAATTAGCACAATCACTATTTTTAGGTCACTTATCTATACGTACCACCTAGTACCTAAGTACTATCCATCATCAAATGTGAATAACAGTATTGCTCTGAAGGCCAATTCACTTCTCAGCAAAGTGCTCTGTAAAGCCAATATTCACATGACTACTATCGTCCGTTCCCGGAGCTCAGTTGTGGTTGTAGTAGAGTTTATCTGCGATGAACTTGATAAAATGTAACCTTGTAAGGGAATTAAAGCGTACTAACACACTACCTCATATCAAAACGAATGGTGAAGATTGAGATGATATGCATGGATTCTGTTGAGGTGATAATCGAGTCTTATGATAGCCTAACAGTGAGGTCCCCCGTGTTGATGAAATGGAGTGTTCTGGCGAAGTATCGATTTCGGTAGCGGTATTGTTATTTGAAGAGTCTTATAAAAAACTACTTAAAGAGATTTCGTATCGCTACCTGCTCTCATTAATTTTGATATGATTTACTTTTCAACATAGAATAGGTTACCATGGTACCTACCCAAGCAGGTACATGCCGACATCAACCAGAAGACCTAAGACCTCTATATTGCCTCTCTTTATAGTCAGAGCTAACACCAGAAATGCTTTATAGCCAAGAAACGGTATTAGTTACACAATCAAATACTGCAATCAAACATGAGAAGATTATGTGCCATATAGTTGATTGTTGTCAATCAGACCAACGAGGTACATCGCCCATGGGTATCAAACGCCGTAAAATCCAGTGTATCAATGCTCATCGCAACAAGCCTCCAAGATCCCTTTCCATGCCGCTCACTCGTTCCTCCAGCTCGCGTTTCTTTCGTTCTAGTTCTCGAATTTCCTCCTCCTCCTGTCTCAGATCTTCATCTGTGACTTCTACCTCCTCTTCCTGTTCCCGGTATCCATCTTCAGCGTCCTCTTCGTCTTCATCTTCCCATCTGTCGCTGCGATTTATGCCATCCAGCTCTCTGCCTAATCTTTGCACCCTTTTCTCGTAGTGATTTACACTATCCTGCAACCTGCCGTATCTTGATCGAATGTTTTGTATCCGCTGTGGAACTCCCTGAACCTCATACACAGCATTGAGCTTTTCCACACCACGCAACAGTACCTCAATGTCAAATTCTCCCTTTCCTTCCGCTTTCCGTACCTCTGAGTGTAGCTCCGGGCCAAGTACTGCAGCAACCGCAGTATTCCGTCTCGGTACCCGTGAAGTCGCGCTCGCAGCAGTCGTTACCTCTCCTCCGGACGCGACACTGAAGATGGTCTGCCGTCGTGCTTTGACATCTGGGAAAGGATTCGAAGAGGAAACGAGTGGAGGTGGAGGAGGAACCGAGAATAGAGCTCGTTCGTGAGGTTCAGTGTCTCGTATCAGAGATGTTATATCGGGAGTGGAAAGGAGCGCATTCGTAAAGATTTTGGGCGGGGGGAATCTGTTTAGCGGGGTTAGTTGCAATTTGTTTACCATCAATTGGCGATTGCAATTGTACAGCTGGCTTACGGTAACGTGGCTATTGATTCTGCGGAGAGAGATATTTGCTCGAGATGCCGAGATAGCAGTGACATGATTTGTTTGCTCGGAGGGGATGTTTGTGTGTTTGTATTCTGTCAAGTCAAACGCGTCGGTTGGCTTATGGATGTCCACATCCCAGATTCCCCACGCCCTACGGTGGGCCAGACTCACCTCACCGGCTTCTCGACCAGCACTTCTGCAATCAAAACGTTAATTGACGGTGATGTGCATACCCGTCAGCCGTAAGTCCATACATCGGATCACCGTCATGGCAAAGATCCCAGTCAAATTAATTTTCTTCCTGCGTCTTTTTCTTCAATCCCTTCTTTCTGTTGCCTCACAACCAGCGCATCTCTGTCGACGTCTCCCCACCATTGGCCACGGTCACGATGCGGAGAATGCACACAATCATGTTGAACCGGCCCTGCAGCAGCCAGACCGGCCCTCACAGGATGCGTTTTTCGCCGGCAGCACGATTGGACGTCTCAGCGCGTTGAAGAAGCATTTGGGACCCTCTGCGACCCTCTCCATCCCGGTTCGTACCTTCGCTCTACTGCTCGTCGAGCGTTTTTATTTATTTTGCTGCTTCTGTTTCCTCCGTTTTCCGAAAATGGCCCCGGTAATCTCACTCGCGCCCATTATGAGCACTGCTGTCTGGCGACTAGTTCTGTATGCAGATCCAGTCGCTGTGAATAGCTGCCAGCGCATCGCATCCTTCGTAATATAACAGTTATGTCGTTTTTCAGGGGCAGCTGCCATACCGCCGCGACAGACGAGTCGCCATGTACGGTCTGCATCTGCTCGAGGACATACACTCGCTCGCAATGCCTCGTCTATTCCGAGGAATGCTTCAGCTGCATTGAGAAAGCGCCAGACCGACCTGTGCCAGGACAACGGTGCTCGTCTGCAACATCTGCGACATCAATTTGTGCCCTTTCGCCGTGACGGTTTGACGTCTTACGACTGGGACCATTTGATCAACACCACGGCGAAAGAGAACCCGCCAAAGTGCATTTCCACTCTGTGTGGTGGCAGTCTCTCCTCGCTTTGCCATCCGGCGCCGGGCAACCAAGGGGGCACACCCTGTTGAGTGAGAGCATTTGCATTGCTGCCCGACAACCGTGGACAGGCTGAACCCGGAACCACCACAGAACCTCCTCGACGAGCATCGTAGGTCTGACTGCTTGAATCCGCCTGCTGGGTCCGTTTTATTGGAATCGTTTCGAACGTTTTCGTGCCGCTGGCCAACGACGAGTCCGGGCAAACGAACACCATCACCGGCACTCCAGAATTTGCCTGCCAACAGACCAAAATACCCAGCATCACATCATCCCGCCAGACGCAACACCAGTACCAGCGACCGGCGATCATAGTCAGACTAGAGCAGGAGCCTCTTCTCTATTTTCGGTGCACATATCACACAGCACACATCACACATCCCACATCCCACACATCACTTTCGTCCCGACGAGTCTTGTCGTGACCCGTTCGTATATTCTCTCACCAGTGGTTCCAGCAAAGTTCTGCCACTCACTCTCTCTCCACGGCGAATAAGATCGGTGTTGGCTCTGCTGGCCCTCGGCTGCCTTGGTCAAATTTCTGCCTCAACGGGACAATATCCACTGAAGTATAAATCCTCGGCTTGCCGCACCTTTGCTTCCACACCTACATTCATCCTTGAGATTAATACCTCGGACACTACACCACGTCGTCTTTCACCCACGCTATCTTCCACTGCCCTTCCCTGCGGAAACAAGACAAACTCCGCCTCTTTTTCTCTTGAAACAAGAAACGAGTCCGTTTGTCTTGTTTGCTCCCCTTTGCCCGGCTTGCAATTGGGTGCCCTGCCGGACATTTCTTTTTGATCTTCCACGGCTTATCCTTACACATCCGCACAAGTGGACTCCTCGCATTATATCGAGAGTACTCGATATTCGACGCCCCTTTACAAATCCAGAACCAGACCGGAAATTCGGTTTGCGAACTGTTTGTTATTCAAATTTATGCTGCTTATCATGAACTGCAATCCTCCTCGTCTTTTCTCTCCTTGTTGGAGATATTTACCGCGGGCATTGACGCCTTGACCTACATATTATCATCATACACTGGTGCCAAAGCACTTCTGCGAGATCAACAAAAATCCAAGATAGATACAGCCATGCGGCCTGCGACGCCCAACTTTAACTTTGCCCAGCAAGCAGGGCCTTCCTCCCCGCCGCAAACACCAAATCCTGCAAACTCAGCATATAGCTTTGGAAAGAACCGCAGACATGGCCAACATTTCCAAAAAATTCCTCCCGAGTTGGAAACTGGAATCCTCCCCAATGGACCAGGTCCAACCTTCAGCTATATGCCAACGGCGCGAGCCGTAGACCTTTCACCACGATCTTCGTCCCCCACTTCTTCAGTCCAGTCGTCTGCATCTGGCAACCCTCCACGATCGATGTCTTCCTCACCGGTCCAGAATCATAAAGATGATCCGCCATTACGGAAAGAAGTTCGTCTCGCGGAAGGCACATTCACGATTGACGAGTTTGAAGACTCGGATTATGCAGATTTCGACAGCGACGAAGACTCGGTCATAAGACCGCACGAATACGAAGACGCCGAATCGGAGCGAGCGCTCTCGGTCAAGGCTGCCTCTGAACTTGAACCTAGTCTCTACGACGACATGCAAAACCTACATTGCGAAACCGATGACATACTCCCAGAAGAATTAGAGAGGGAGGCATGGCACTTGAAGATGCGGGCCGAAAAGAGGCGAAAGAGACGTAGTTCTGGAAGCGTACAAAAGAGGACGTTAAGTCAAAGCATTGGCAGTGACACGGACGACGAAGATATCCAGCCTGTCACATTTGAGGGTGCCAACAGCGCTAGGAGATTGAGGAGGAAGGTTGAAGATCGTGGTAGCCTGATATTCGACGACCCACCACCTAGAATCGACGAATTGGAGGAACCAGAGTCCTGCGAAGAATTAGTCGAGGTCACACACAGCGATATCGAGGGACAGGGTCTACGAGAATTGCCATATTATGTGCAGGACATGGACGTGGATTCGGAAGATGAGGATGAATACGGCGACTAGACATGAGTCACCATTTCCCGGGATGAAAATCAAAAAAAGACAATACGTTCAGGAGGCAGATTTGAATATACGTTTGGAACGATGGATATGACAGCAACGATTGCATGACACATAGATAGACTTTTCGGATGGGAAACCATGGGCGTTTACATTAGCATACCATAGCATTATAGGAGGGAGGAAATTCTTCGATCGAGCATAGCGGCAGCCTTTAGTTAGATTTGTTTTCATGGCAACTTTGAATTTTCTTGCTTTTCACAACACCTCTCTATCTTCCAGAGTAACTTGCTACAACATCTACCTATCTATTCTCCCCAGTGCTTCCTTGTTATTTTTCTGCTAATATATTTGGTACTCTAGAAAAGAGATTAAAATCTACAGATTTGTCCGAACTCGACCCGCGGTGGTACAATCATCATGGGTGTATATTTTCGGTAGAGCGGAATGTGGATTGGGCAGTTCATCCGTCGGTAGTATTGCCGCCCCAATGCCGCGTTTGCTGAAGATGTTGTAGCCCAAAGTTTCGTTCGTATGTTTTCGGCGATATATGAGCTATATAGATGACTGACAATTTCTTAGTCGGATTAAGAATAGTGTTTGCAATCATTAATGGTATTTCCTCTCTGCGTGTAGGGCAAGGGCAGTGGCCTAAATACAATTACACAATATGACCCCTATCGGCGCATAACAACTTCACACACGCTCTCGATCTTCCAGCGCACATCTCTTCAAGCAACGCTGCAGGACCCAAGGCTCTGCAGTTCAACGCTCTACAACTCGATCAGTATTCACAACCGTCTAATCCTCGTCCTCGTCCTCGTCGGACTTCTCCTCGTCTTCATCTTCTTCCTCTTCCTCGTCCTCATCCTCGTTCTTAGCAGCCAACGCTCGCCTCTCCTTCTCCTCCTTCTCTAGAGCTTCCCACTGTGCGTCTCTATCTTCTTTCAAATAATCAACGGCGGTTCTCAGTGTCGTATGTTCCGCGCTCACGATCTGACCTCGGCCAACCAAGGTAAAGACAATCGAAGCTCCAACGATAAAGGTAAGGACGAAACGGTATGTACCGTACCAAGCTGGAAACCATCCCTTGGCAGTCGCACGCGCGTCGGCGAAATAGAGGAAGTTGAAGGTAAGGAACTGGGTGATCAGAGCGTATTCCACAGGCATGAAAATAGTTGGCCATGCGATTGCAGGTGCTGCAACACCGTATACGTAGCGACGGTAGCTGTGATATCCTCCGTATCCGGCATATTCTAATCCCCAATGAATGGCGCCTAAGAAAGAAATAATCTATTCCATGTTGTTAGTTTCGTCTCCTTTTCTAAATGTACTAAACTTACAATGGCACCCCATCCAATTTGCACAGGCGTAATCAGTTCCAAATAATGCTGCGCCTGCTCTGGACTGAACAAAACTCCAGCACCGTTTGTAGCATGACTTTGGTTAATATCCCATGCTAGGTATACCGTTGACAAAGATGTGACAGCATAAGGTATGGCTCCAGCTGCACCAAGTAAGAGCGTGTCTCTTGGCACGTCGGCCAAAGTAAAAGTCTCTTTGATTGTTTTCAGATCCGCCTTGATCCCAGCCATCATATCCTCATCATCATGGTGACTTCGTTCCTCGAATACAGGACGGACACTCGAATCGGCTGAGATTTCCTCAGGATGTGGTTGCAAGGTCTTTCCAGCAATTTTCTCTTCTACCTTTACATCTTTCCTGTCGTATGGAGGACCAGTTGCGTAGAACGAGATCTGGGTTGGTCGGGCGAGTAAGAGGATCTGGGGACGCGATAACGGTGTCAATTGACGAGGTGTGGCATTCCGAAACTTGGTGGAAGCTGCAGTGAAGCTTGCTCGTGATGTTGTAGGTTTCGGGAAGCTCTTCAGTAACGATCGCGTGGCTGCGTTACGAAGCATCTTGTCGTGTTGCTCGTATAGAGCTTCCCCGCAATCTGTTGCGATAAGGAACGTCTTCGTCGAGAGCAATTGAAAAGATCTGAGATCCCCACGGAAATCCAAATCTGAACGCGGTGCTGAAAGGACGGGATTTCCGGACTGTGCAACGAGATGGTCTGAAAGAGGAGAGGAGAGCTGAGTTGTTGTGGTTCCAAACTCAAAGAGCTCTTTGGCTTGAGCTTTCCCCAATTCAGCAAGCTTGTACTTGACGTCAGGGAAATCTTAAGCGAGAAATTCAACCAGGATTGATTCCAGGTCTGAAGTGCTTTGCAAGATTATCGTCGGATATTTAATTTATCGAAGAGTGATATAACAAACAGATCAGTGTATTTCTTCTACAACAGTGATTAAATCTTCGATTTGACTGCCAACAAGTTACTTTACAAGGCACTTGGATATTGGTTACACAGGATATCGACAGGGGTTTGAGATCGATCTACTTGGATCTCATTGGCTATTCAACACTTACTGAACTTTCGGATTGGAGATGGCATCCAAACAGTATGAAACGGAGTTTGTCACTTCACCATCTGAACATACTAATTGTCATAAAGTCTGCATGCACTATACATCCACAAGCTTCTGCTCCTGAGCTACAAGTACCTTGGTCACAGGTTACTGAGCGAGCAGTTTGATCTAATACTCACTCTTTGAGACAGAAAATGGAAGGAATTTGGAAGGAACTAGAATATGGTAAAGCCTCAACTCTTAGCCTTTATTTTAGATCTTGACTGTCTCCAATGTAGTTGTCTTGACTACTGTACTAGTAGCGTCACGAAAACCATTACGGAAAGTAGTATTTCGCCAAAAGAATTACAACGTAGAAGTCCTTAACGGTGCTTTCTGATGAGTCTGAGTTATTACGTTTCGATCCGCAAACTCAATAACCTTTTTCCAACGGTTGACAATACTGGTGAGGCCCTTTTCCTTGCTGATCAGTAGAACATATCTTCGTAATGTTATAACTTTAGAGCAGGAAACCTACTCGTCGAGAATACCTCACGTTAAAGGGTTTTCAGACTAATTCCAATCGTAAGAATCACTGTTCTTGCGGAAATATGTCCGTGATCATCTGATAAGATACCATCTCAAAGAATCTCCTAGCGGAAGTTAAACCGACTTCCGCAGACGATCCTATTTCTAGAATGTAAAGCATGATTTATACATCTTCCAGCAAATTTCCCAACTCTGCTAACAGGTTTACTGAAACATGCCGGCTTGTCAGCCTCAACAATGCGTTCAGACGAACAGCACACTCTACTGACGCCTGGACCTTGCTGCAAATAGTGGAGCTGGTGTTGTACTGTTTTAGATTTCAAAACAAGCTACACCCTGCGAAAAACAAGTGGGTTCAACACTTCGGGTGATTGACGTAGGGGTATTAAGGAGATGTATAGGGATGACGAGAGAATCTAGACCTAGAATATTCGATCTGGGAAACCATATTGGTGGTAAATAGATCGCAGTATCTGTAGACTCAAAAGCTAGAAGCCACAAGTCGAGAGGCTTTCTGGAGTGCAGCAGCTAGCACAAGAGTAAAGCAGTTCTTATCAAATTCAGAAGTCAACTACAAATTTCATGAGCATCGTATATCTGTTAAAAATGTTGAATTGCTAATAGCTCATTCTGGCAAGAAGGCTGTAATGGTATACTAACGACAATTAAAGTCCTAATGAGAACAGGTATCCAGTCTTGAACGCCACCGCTACCACAAGCCATCGAAAATTACGACTTGCAAACAATCTGACGGGCTTCCAGTCCGTTGTCTCCATGAAGAAGCCCCAAAAAACAAAACTCCGAATGCGCTCAATGCTTTTCCTGGTGAAAAAATCGCTAAAATTCCGAACCGGTCTGATTCCAAGTTGAAGCTGGTGATCTCGCTTGACAGACCTCGACATGATCATTTAAAATCCCTACGATAAGAAAGTCCAGAATCCAGTGGCCGACGAAGTGATTAAGCAACATAACCGCCGTTATGTGCTTCAATCCAACTCTGCAAACTCTCGTTTAACAGATCCAAGCACAATCTACTTGCTAAAATATTGATTAGCATGTTTTCGAATTTAACCTGCACAAGTGCTTTACTTACGAACAGGAACATTGGTCTCTCCTCTCTCCTCAGCCTCTACTGCGGCGCTCAACCTCGCTGAGTTATAGCAGTGATATTCCCTCTGTATCCGTAACATTCTTTGCCAGCACTGTGCATCCGTCTCTCCAATCACTTCGCTAAAAAGTTCGCTTCCAGCTCCTGAATTGCTTCCATTGCGGCTTCCATTTTCCGACGTTGGAGTGCTTGTATAACTTGAATTTCTTGTAGTACCAGTGGGTAGTGTGAGAGTTGCAGCTTGAAGCTTTGGTGATGATGGTGCTGGTGAGGTGGAAGTTGAGGAGCGAGCTGAAGAACGACGGGAAGAGAGATATCGTCGATGTGGAGAAGAATTACGGAGGAATGTTGGAGTTGAAATCATTTTGAACGTTTGTAATCCTCGAATCAGGTGATGAATTTGACTGATCTCAAGATATTCGAGGAATGTTGATCCACGTGATGGCTGAAGTTGTCGGTACTGTTGCGAAATCTTTGCAGTTGAAAAATACTTCAGGGCGACTAGCTTTCATATAAAGAAGCAGCTAACAAGACTCACAAAGAAAACAAGATAACCACTGAGTCATGCGGGGAGGATAATCCTAAAGCATACAACAAAAAAATAAAGGAGGTGTGCGAGGAAAGGGGAACCCAGCATTCTTAAACCACGGATGCATTTGGGTGTCGTGTGCACGGAATCCATCAGCCCACCCAAACCTATCAAAAATCCTTATGTCAACCACATAAGACAGCCGTATGTTACAATTTACTAGGAAAAAGGTATTCTTCCTACCCAGGATTCTCGACTCCGCTGGATCCGAAGATGATGCGTGGTCAGCACGACTGCACCAAACACGACAGATACATACAGGACAGCTAAGCCCACTGTGCTTACGATATTCAATCTCAACCTATCGTGACTCGGTGACCGATTGTCCTTGTGGGGCGGTGAAAGAATGTTTGCCGATGATATAACAGCTATGTGTAAATCAAAGTTTGACGACTCGAATCACGTAGGCTGTCAACAAACGGCATGACGTTTGGTATGAAAGGTTTTGCGTTTTTCGAGTACATTTCTGCATGGTGAGGGTCGGCGTAGGAAGCAGTCAAGCGAGGAAAAAAGGGATGACTGCCGAGACAGGGGTTCCATCCAGTCATGAGCTTGTACTTGCGGTACAAGTGTCGAAGTGGATGCCGTTTTGGAGTTGCAAAAGAATCTTCGAAGTGGAATCATGGCTTCAAACGTCCAAAGCGGGTTATTCCCGTGACAGTTCTAGACCGTCAAGAGATGATGATCTGAGATGAGTTGTCAGGCCCCATATGTCATCAGGTCAACATAGCCGCACGGGCCGCTGTCAAACTTCAGAAAACTAGCCCTATGACAGGTTTGCAAATTCTGGACTGAGACTACGTTATCAGTGTTTTTGATTTGCCCTTCTTATCTTTAATCTTCAACATCTGGTTCTTAATCATCCCATCCATCTTCGAATCTGGTCATAGCGTTGGCCGCATGGTTGCATCCAGACTTTTGTTACAACCGCTTGCGGGGTCAATCCTGCCACAAGCGAGATCGGCTTTGTGCCATCACGCAGGCTAGTTTTGATCTGTAACACCGCACTTGTCTAAAAATGGCTTGGATATTACATAGTATAATTATCTACTTTTAGGTAGAAGGCAGATTTCGGGAGTTATAGGGCCTTTGAATGTTTGCAGTTCACAGATTTGAAGTGTCCTAAATACATGGTATGGCAAATGTTTATCATCACCAGCTTTATTTTCAACCCACCTCTTGAAGTAAGGCTTCTTTTCAAGTGAAGGAAATCGCAGCTTCTTTCCCTGACAGCTTTCTTTGATTCGTCACCCAAGTTTTTCAATCGACAACAAATACGGAACCAACTGAACCGCTTCCTGCCGAACCAAGATGGCATCTAGCAGTCCGACGATTCGTATTTGTTCAGAAGCTTCAGAGATGTTATTCAGGTGGCTGTTTGTGACATCTGAAATGTGATAACTAGTTTTGTTATCACATTTCCATCCAGCCTTCCGGCTTAGTATGCTAGCAGGCAATACAAAGTCATCGTGAGAAAATTTGAAGTTCCGCTATGGAACGTCCCCAGAATCCATGACTTCCCGTGACGTCCACCAGAAATCGCTCTGGGTTTCTTGTGGGGTGGTATGATTAGTATAATGTGCAGGGCGAATCCAAAAGCATATACTTATTCATCATTATCCCAGACGTGAAATGCTGGTTAGTAAGTGTCCCCGGGATGCGGCTCGAACATCTATCTTCGCACTCGAATTTGGTCTTCAATTCGCTAATCAAAACAATAATACGACGGGATGGTCCCGATAGGTCAGGTAGTAGAATACTTTCAGGGTCCCTCAATGATCTTCCCTGAGAAGGAGAGGCGTACATGCTGGCTGTTCGACGGTTAGTGATTTCTTCTAGAGTGTTGATCTTCATTCTAAACAGTCTACATTAAGCTATTTTGACTGATATTTTGACTTATTCTTTGAAAATTCTCATAATTCTAAAATAGCCCAAGTTGTCCTGACATGGATGGTTTTTGGAAAACAAGTATAACCTCTCTCATAGTCTGATGATATGCGAGCAATGTTGAGCTTAAGATCAGTTAGATGAAAGATGTGTAAGACTAAAGGTAACTATAGGCTAAGTTTTAGCGTTTCAGAATACCATTGAGATGTTGTACCTTGAAAGTCTACACTGTTTAGACTAGAACCTTTCATATGCTTGCAGTCTCTTAGGTCGGCAGCACTTCTAGCAGGGTTAGCACTTGGGGCCCAAAAACCAGACGGTAACGGCTTAGACTAAATAGATAAAATGCTTGAGTCATTTAAAGTTATGACAATAAATCTAGTGTAACAAATTCTAGACACTATTGCGCCTGTAGTAAGAGATACGTTTCCAACAGTGTATTGCGAGAATGAGGGGACACTTACCTCCAGGCAAAGTTCATGAATTGTACCTGACGTGCTGTATTAAGTCAAATTACTCAGTAGTTACTAGGATAAGGTGTTCCGTCAGTCTTACAATACACTGATATTTACCAAAAGCTGGGAGTTGGTTTCCCAACCACTTTCAATCAGGCTCCAAACCACAACTGTGTATCTAAAGATAATTTTCCTAACAAATAACAATTACACTGTGTCTAAAATTCAGCACTCGTCTCTTTAAAACATGTGAAAGCCACATGGTCTCATGCCGCGAACCCTTGCAATAAAAACAAAAGATACGCACCGACTCACAGCTTTTCGGGAAATAATACCCCACGTTCTCATGCGGCACGCGCAAAGGGGTTGAAACATATAAATTTCCAAAAAGAAGACTCTATTTTGAGATGGACTCCTCATGAACGTCATCGGCGATCTTGCTGAAGAACAAGAAGCGACTGAGCTAAAAACGATTTCGAGGACGTTCCCAAGGTCATGTGATCGTCGATAAGCGAGAATGTTCCCCTGCTCTTCGCAACCTCGTCTCTGACCTTTTGATCTGAACATGCCTCCGCGAGGTTACATGACTTCTACAGGATACGAATCAATCGCAAGCAACTCCCCCGGTACACGACAGCAAGAGCAGGATGCGAACCACGATTCTGCAGGAGACGCACCCAACCTAGGTGCAGATCCGTGCTTCAGATCCTCAAGTCTCGGCAACGCCCGCAGCGACGGCAATGACATCCACGCGAGGCTACACTCAGCGAGAGGAGCACAGAATAACTGTCCAGGCTTTCGACGCCCAGTGTTTCTTTTCCATTTCCTTCTGTTGATCTATCATTTGGAGACCACAGCCTCCGGACAAAAGAAGCCGCGTACGCCCGCGGAATCTCTCCATTATCGTCGATATGCTTGCAAAATGAAGTTAATGAACTCTTGGATGCGGCAGACTGCATCTCAGCCACCCATATTACATTTCATTTCTTCTTGAATTTCAAATTCCGCTTTCATTCAAACTCCACATTGCACAACTCCAGTCGAGTAAGCTGACGGGCTGGTCGAGGTCTTCTTGCATTAGTTCAGCAGCGTGGCATATTCAACGGTCAGTAGTCTGCTTGATCTTGGACGCCCGGTATCTCTACGGTCAATAGCACATTCACATGGCCTCCGCGGTGGCCCGGCTTGAGAGGAAGCGTGTTACCGTGCAACCACTATAGACCGAATCAGAATGGTATCACTCAGCCACGCGACCTGGTGCTAGCTGCTTAGATGAGAGCTGATGCTTCAGACGTGTAAGGAATCAGCAATTTACACGTCACGTATCTGACTGGAACGATTGATTTGCATATGCTTTCAAAATGCCTCTTGGAAAATACCTGCAAAAGTATGTACCTATGGGAGGCTCATCGTCTCTGTTATCTGCCCACGTTCATGTTCTTATATGAGAGAGACCAAACTCATCTCCACACATGGCATATCGTCTCTTCGATGGGAATTGGAAACAAACAAGCCAATGAAACCCTACCCTGTGGGCTTATTTTTCGACGAGTACAGAATTTCAGTTACACGATCCCGCGATGTATGACCAGGCTATTGAACAACAGGCGGAGCGCACTCCCCTCATTGCCTCTGTGCAATGGCATCTGCAACGAGGCAGCCACGACATTGGAATCCGATGTAGCGAGAACTATGACCCTCAACTTGGACCACAGAGCGCTCTCTTTCGTGGGGAGCCGCAGAAATATCTCGTGGCAAGCGAATATCGCGAACGATATCGTTGACGCTGCCGTTGGTCTGCTTGATTTCCTAGTTGATGGTTTAAAGTGCAAGCTATGTTATAAGAGCTTCACCCTGCCACACGCTCAGCGCGGGATCTAAGCGTAATTAGAAGCCAGAGCAACGCCGCCGAACCCGACAAATGGTTTAATGTGACGATATCCCTGGATCCCAAGCATGCGGGATGGGAAAGAGAAGACGAAAACCTGCACCATGGCGCCGTGATAGAACAATGTCCCCGCGGCGGCCCTGCATCAATGAGATTGCAGGGATCGAGATAACAATTGCTTGCTTTTTCCGACCCAACAAGCTCCACCAGACTGATGAACACAAGGCCACTTTCCCCCATAATGCCACTTTTCGGATCTGCCCCAGAAACGACCACGGCTCTCACACAGAGCGTCACCCATGCCGCTTGCACAGCAGCTCGCCTGTGTTTGCAGCTGGACACCACAACTTGGGTCAAAATTGAGTCGATGCCCGGCTGTAGTTTGGAGATTTTTCCATCTCCTAGACTTTTCTTTTCGTGACCTGCAGCTTCGCCCCTCTGTTATGCGCTCTTTTCCTGAAGTCTCGCCTCACTCATGACACCAGTGGCTCGTGGATTCAATAACCGAGTTCGATTTAATATCTCATCCCACGCAACGCTGCGACACCCCCCTCCCACACCCCAGATTGTTGGTGGCGCTTATCTTTAACCCACAATTCACCAATCAGAATAAATAATCCTTCTCGGTTCTAGCCAGTAGGAGCCGGGCGATTTTCCCGATGGACTATCGCCGGACGTCGCTGGTGGTGAACAGGAAACAGCAGGCTATCGCAAATGCTCATATATATGCCAGTTTCGCCGGGCCCGCTGGAACAAACAACGCAAATGGAATTCTTGCCGAAACACCAACAATGTGGTGGGATGAAGATCGGATCGAGACGACGGTTACTCGTCAGTTCGTCTTAGCGAACCTACGACCTGACGAACAACTGCGATTAGACGAGCCTTTGCGGTTCGGCGAGGGTTTAACAGATGATACGTATATGGAATGGATCGAATCGAAGGCGAAGCGGATATTTCTGATCTTGGTCGACCTGGGGGTTCCTGATCAAATATTCGGTGTTCTTGACGACTCGTGGGATGATGATGATTTGCCTGTTCCGCTGGATCATGTTGAGCGACTTCGGCTGACGTACGAGAAAGACGAGCGGATGGATAAGCGATTTTTCCAAAGACAATTTGTCTACTTGCTTCGTGGTTTGCAAAAAGGAGCCCAACTCGTCTATGCGGACGATGAGGTAGTTCCATTAGAGCTCACAGAGAAAAGGCCAGTGGGCGCAGTACCTGGACTTACCCAAAGCAACTTCGATAAGGTTCATCTCCCAGGACGACCAGATGATATCTTCATTCGACGAAAGATACCCATTGGAACGACGCCAGGTCGGTTGCCGATGGAAGACTTCCTCGCTGGAGTCGAATCTCTGAAGAATGTTGAGCATGACCATTTAACATGCCTTTGGGCATCATATACGCACTTGGAACATGGCTACCTCATCATGAATCCAGTCGACAATAGTTCACTGAAATCTTTCCTGACTGTTACACCACAATCGTACAAGATCCTCGCGAAGCAGGAACGTCGCATAATGATGATGAACTGGATGCATTGTCTCGCTGATGCACTTTCCTTCTTGCACAGCAAAGGCTTGTCACACCGCAACATCAAGCCTTCAAATATCATGCTTGATATTGATAATCACATTTTTCTAAGTGATTGCAGCATTTTCAATAGCTCTCCAATGCTGAACACAAAGCAAGGATTTGACAAGGAGACTTACGATTATTCCGCACCAGAAAAAGCCGCAAGAACAGAAAAGGCAGCACCAGTTTACTCACCAAACACTCGCTCAACTACAAGAGGGACGATGGCGCGAAGGTCAACAGGTCCCAGTACAAACGGAGTTCCTGTGTCTCCGACAATAACCACGTCTGCCACATTCTTTTCTGACACCGCATCGATAAGAACGTCCTCGACGGGATCAAATCCACCCAGTTCCCCCACAAAATCTTCCTCGAGGTTGGAATCGACTCACGACCCTCAAAAGTCAGATATTTTCTCTCTAGGTACGATTTTCCTCGAGATCATCACGTTTCTCTTGAAAAGGGCATCTCGTAACTTTGCCTCGCACCGAGCTTCGAAGAACAAGACTCCTGGTCGTGGTGGCGGCCTTCCAGATTCATCATTCCACAAGAATCTAGGACAAGTTGAGAGCTGGATGAGTACTCTCGCTAGAGATGCTTCGAAAAAGGAGGATCAGATATTTAGAGGCGTCAGTCATATTTTATTACTGGTGAACAACATGCTATCAGTTCACCCGGATGATCGGCCCACCGCCAAAGAGGTACAGGAAAGTCTGTATGCTATTCTCTCGGAATACAGTGGGATGGGACAACCCAAAGCTGGACCTCCAGACGAGAACCGTGGTCGTATACACTGCGAGACCCGCGAAAACAAAGCCACCGAATGGAATTTCGGCTTCGATGAGCTCCGTCTCGCTTCTCAGCGTGCGGCCGCAGCAGCTTGTGCCTCTGTCGCTCCGGTGAGCACGCTCATCGGTAATATCAGCAGTAACACTACCGTCATTTATCCTACAATGAATTTGGAAAAGCTGATTGCAGACCGGACTGTCTTGCGTAGTCCAGCACCTAGGGGAAGAAGTGACAAGGATGGAGATAAATCGAGTATTCATACTAAGAATAGCAAGAGTAGTGAAGGCAAATCGAGAGCGGGAAGTGGTAACGGAGGAGGGAAAATCAAGCCGAAACCAAAGGCCTGGCAGGCGCCAGTTTATGCCGGTGGGTAAGCTCTGTCCTCGCGAGATGTGCTTTCGATTGCTGACTTGGTAGCAGAAATGACTTGGGGATATTGAGTGCTGAGAGGGAATGAAAGTGGCACTGGAAAAGCTTAGGATGGCCGTAACGGGAACGGATGTTGTATTGATTCGACCCAAATTCAGGCCGAATGCTTCAGTCAGTTGGCAATCTTGCTTCAAGAAGTTCACATTACTTCTCAAAAGCAGAGCAACAGAACGGCAGGGTAGGGTACATGGAGTAAATAGGTGGTGTTCTGATATATCTTTTCGTCTTGCGTACCGGTGCAGGTGGAGTTCAACGGCAGAGCTATGAGGAGCAACAGGAGTGAGCGTTTTACGCAGGAGTTGGTCGGCTTGATTCAATACCTTCTTGTATTACCCACTAATTTCTGATTTTGATTTTGTATAATATGATCGTTTGTGCGTCTGAAGCAAGAGTTTCACATTGCTTAGTTCAATGGTACTCAGTAGTATCGCTCAAATTAATCAAAAATGATAAACTCTCTATGGGGAGTACAACTTTCGATTTATGAACAAACTATTACATATGCCACAAATAATCAACGAGTGAGAGATTGTAGATCGCTATCTTTCGGCTTCTACAGCTCGAGGAACCTCTTCTTCTTGGGGCAATGGAAAACCAAACATACGTCTATTTTCCACAAAACATGTCGATCAAGGGGGGTCAACGGAGACATCACCTTAGCGGAAGGGAACTGAGCAAATGAAAAGATGTAAAAGTTCACTTGAATATGCGATGTGCAACAAAAACTTCTCCAATGTCCAAATGGGATAGATGAATTTACAAAACCCTCTTAACGAGACGAACCATATTTCATCCAGACAAAACCGACGTGCTTATGTAGGCTCAATTTCCTGCAAAGACTGAAGTTGGACGGCCGAAGATATCTACTCGAAGCATGACACTAATGTCAAGGATATGTGTAGGATATAAAATTTCCATTCCCAGCACCACGCTGCGCCATCTAAATGCTTCTCGCATGCTATGTAGTCAACCCAAAACACAGTCTAACAACACATGCACCTTGAATTTTCAATCTCGAATTTTAGGTCAACAGAAAGATTTGTGTTTAGTAGACACTCCCTCTCAAACTTTTATCCCTCTTCTCCTCCTTCTCCAATTTCACCAAACTTTCCTCAAGCTCCGCGCTTGCTTCGTTCTCAGGTTCCGCTTCAGAGCCAGCATCACTCCCGACGTCAATCTGGTCGCCCAGAGCATCAGCCATCGCGCTCTTCCTCATCCCACTCTGTTCTCTCTTTTCGCTTTTGAGGTGCGCGAAACCTCTTCCATTCGCTAGACGCTTGCGAGCGTCCTCTTCAGCGCTGAATTCCGTGTCAGAGCCCGCCTGACTCGTATTTCCAGACGCAGATCCGCCAAAATCGCGACCACCTCGTACAAGAAGGGTGTCTTTATTAAGGGGCGGAGAGTGGATGTGGTTCCGTAGACGACCGTCGACCGTGATGAAGGAAGGTGTTCCATCAGGACTTGAAATTACTTCGTCTAATGATCTTTGCACATCGACAGCTGGGGGACCCAGACGGCCCCTAGGGTCGTCTTCTTCTTCGCTAGACGATTGCCAGCGGCGAGCAGCTGGACGGCGTGAGGCGAGAGACTCGCCAGGTCCGGCAATTGGTGAAGTGCCAGGAGAGCTGTGATTCAGTGGCTTGCCATTGAGCTGCATGGCATGCATGGAGTTTTCTTTCTTGTAGTAATGTTTTCCATGATCACATCCATTTGGGCATCCTCCCCACTTCTTACGAACTGGTATAGGCGATGAAGTTCCAGCTGCAGCATCAAGTAGTTTCTTCTCCTTTTCCTTGTCTTTTTCAGATAGATGGGTACTTGAGCCGGACTTTTCCTTCGTTGCCGCAGCGGCTATGCGTTCTCGCTTCAGTTCTGACCAAGTTCGTAGGTTATTCTCAAGGATGTATTTCCCTGAATCCTCCTTCTTTCGCATAATCAGGAATTCGCAGTGATTGACGTTTCTGAGATCTTCAAAGTATTCGACGCTGAAATGGTACCATTTCATCAGAAAAACACGACTCATCAGTCCGTGAGTCACTATTTGCAAATGTCAGTGTTAAGATTCTTGAGAGAGCAAAATACGGGAAGATGTAAAACCTTACCAAGAACACACACGCTCGCACAATCCTCTTCCCCAAACTGCCTCCAGAGACTCTCATTGAAACCACTAACACGATCATACGCATCGGCCGCAGACTCGCCGTTAGGAATTCTATAAAAGAAATGACCATAATCTGCACGCTCCTGCCACATCCTCTCCATCTCCGCACTACATGGCTGGAAGTTTCCAAAGTCCTGTTCTCTCAGCCGTGGTTCTTCATACACCTTTATAGAATGTCTGGGGAACGGGGATGGGGAGGGTTCGTCTGAGGTGAGGGTAGAGAGAATTCCTTCTGTAGTTTCTCGCGTACGTCGATATGGAGAAGTAAAGAAGTGAAGGGTGTCATCGGCGCGGAGAAGAGTGCGTAGACGTCGTCCGGCCTCGTAGGCTTGTGTCCACCCATCCTGGGTTAGTTTTACTCGGTGATCAGGGATTGTCTGGTGGATATCGCGGTTTTCTATGTGGAATTAGTTGCTGATTCTTTTATAGAAACCACAAATATTTGGGAGCGTAGAATGCTAAGAACTTAAGCTTGTGGCAACGTACTGTTTCCTTCACTCTGAGCATGTCGAATAAGTATAATCATGCGAGGCTTCCCCATCCTGACTTTTTTCCCGCCTCGAGCCTTGCGAGTGGTACTTGGAATATGCGATTTAAATCTCACAAGATATAAGTTTTATGTGTTCTTTGAAGGTCAGAATTATGATATGTGTCAAAGAAAAGTTCCTGCAGCAATTTTGCAATGTTTAAATCCAGAAGAACAGAGGGGCGCTCTTGTCTCGAGAGCTGTTTCAAAGCAAATCGTGGCAAGGCTTATCGGGCTGCGCTGGAGGCGATATCGCTTCTAGAACGTAGGGGTGCCTCGAGGAGGGGTCGGCTTAGTGAATCGAGAGGCTTGAATTAGTAATATATTTCCGACGAGCTCAGGTCAACTTCAATGTTGGACTACAACAACTTTGTCTTCACGCCTAAGTCGCTCATAACGCTGACACTACTACCACATACCCCCACGTAGTAGAGCAACCAAGTATCTTACCGCAGGGACGGAAACATCCATTGTAAATCCCGGAGTACGAGGAAGGTGTCTCCAGGCGCAATTGGAAACAAACTATACACACCTCAGCCAAAGCCACAGCATACTCCCTCTTCTCACTTCCACGATGTCAGAACCAATTCCCGAATCCGTCCCAACATCCTTCGATCCTCGCAACAAACGCCCAACCAAAAAGCGCGCTTTAACACCACGCTCAGAAACCGCATCTTCAATATCCGCCCTCTTCGCGAAACCAGACCAAGTAATCCAAGTTCCAGGCTCCACGTCCCTAAGCACACACCATGGCGGTGCGCCTCCAGAAATAGTAGCCAACGTCCAGGGAAGTAGTGCTGGAGCTGGAAGCGGAGAGTTCCATGTGTATAAGGCGAGTAGGAGGAGGGAATATGAGAGGATGAGGGCGATGGATGAGGAGGTTAAGCAGGGGGAGGAGGGGAAGTTGTGGGAGAAGGAGAAGGCGGAGAGGGAGGAGAGGGATAGGGAGAAGACTAGGAAGAATAGGGAGAAGAGGGAGAGGCTGAAGAATAAGAAGAAGGGGGGCAAGGCTGATGAGAAGGCCGATGGCGAGGGGAAAGTAGGCGGGATGAAGCCGAGAGTCAGCAAGTTGGGTGGTGATGAAAATGATCGGTCTGTTGGAGCAGGAATGGAGGAGCATGTCGGAATTGAGCCCGTGGGGGTTATAATTCATGATGATGATTGAGATGGCCTTTGTATTACGTCCAGATTTGGCGACACATACACACTTAGGGAGGTGGTCACTTTGACCATCAGGTGGGATGAGAGCTTTGGCATCATAAATTCTCGCATGCTTTTGCCCGAGATTCTATACTATGATACAGGGGTATGCGCTTCATATCATCATTTGCTTTTTATTATTACACTAACAAGCAAGCAAAGCCATCTACTCATCTCCTCCACCACCGCCACCGGCTTGTCGAGCAGCCTTCGCGCTGCATATATCATCAACTCGAAGAAGCAGGCACGCAGACTACAATAGATTAGTATACATCTAAATAGTGGACTGAATGGACGTACCTCAATAGCTGTTTTAATACTTTGAAGCTTGACAGCTTCTGGTTCCCAAACTCCGTATTCCTTCATGTCGACAAGCTTGCCTACATCTCCATCGATACCCCAGGAGCTACCACCTTCGGCGTGCTTGGCTCTCAATTCTGTCAATACTCTCACAGGGCTGTTACCGGCATTCTGGATAAGTGTCCTTGGGATGACTTCCATCGCCTCTGCAACAGCCTTGTACGGCCACTGCTGAACACCCTCGATGCTCTTTGCTAGTTGTCCTAATCTGACTGCAACAGCCATCTCTGTAGCACCACCACCTGGTGATAATCTTGGGTGAAACATGACATTTCGAGCAACAGCCATAGCATCAGCCAGATTTCGATCAATCTCGTTCAAGATATCCTTCGATGGTCCACGGAGAAGAATGGTGCATGCTTTAGGGTTTTTGCACTTAGTAAGGAATGTGAAATACTCGTCTCCAATCTTCTCGATCTCAAATAGACCACAAAGCGTACCCACATCGGACTCCTGGAGATCATCCACTCTGTTGACAACAGTTGCGCCCGTAGCACGTGCAATTCTGTTGTTATCGGTCTTACGAACACGACGTATAGCTGTTACATTAGCTTTTACGAAATAGTGCTGGGCAAGATCTAAGAATGTTAGCAGTCGTTTCTCCTGAAAAGTGGCATGAACTTACCAGAAACACCCTTCTCTGTGATGACCAAGTCAGGCTTGAGCGCAAGAACTGCCTCACACATAAGCTTGACCTGCTCCTCCTCGATTTCCAAAATCTTATTCCAGTCTTCCTCCTTTGTGATCTCAATGTTGGTCTGTGATTCTCCTTTTCTGTACTCCAGCCCAGCGTCAAGCAAAACAATTCTTGGATTTTCGATCCGTCTCCTCATCTTGGGATGAGTGATATCTTTGTTAACCATGACTCCGTCTAACACTCTGCTGTCCTCAATCTCCCCTCCTGGAATCTTCTCTACCCGCGCATAACGCTTGATGTCCACCTCCATCTTTCCACCACCTGCCTCATGCTGCACTGTCCGTACTGCCTTGAGCGCAAGACTACACATAAGTTCTGACCACCGCGAGACGAATTTTGTGCCGATCGAGGACGAAATTAGTTGGTACATGGCTTTGTCATCATTAATATCAACGGGGAGAGAAATCTCATCAATAATTTCGAGAGCATCTTTTAGGGCAGCCTTGAAGGCAGAGATGATTACAACGGGGTGGATGTTTCGCTCGAGTTGCGGAAGTGCTTGCGCAAGGATCTCTCCAGCTTGAAAATTGTCAGATGGATTCCACATTCAAACGGAGAGTGCATACCCAGAATGATAACTGTCGTCGTTCCATCTCCAACTTCTTCATCTTGTGTTCTGCTGAGCTCGATCATGCTCTTCGCCGCTGGATGTGAAACTTCGATTTCTCGCAGAATAGCGTGGCCATCATTTGTTAAAACAATACCGCCCATAGGATCCAACAACATCTTCAGCATAGCCTTTGGACCTAGACATGATCGGATGATATCTGCGACACTGTTTATATAAGTTTCCTGTCAGGTATAAAATATTGTGCCCAGCTTACGTCTTAGCAGCCGTAATATTCGATAACTGAGCTTTTCTTCCAGTTTGTCTATCGTTATTCTGCGTGTCTGATAGCTGAGTTAGTAGGAGACCAAGCTTGTAGAATGTGGAAGAGCTTAGAAGCTATAAAAACATACTCATAACCAGCACCGGGGCCTGCATCTTGACGGCTGTACAGAAAACAGGATATGGGTATCTTTAAATTATAAACTGATGTGCTGCCGGGTAGTGAACAATTTGGATGTAATTTGGATGACTGGCGGGGACTTCTATGTTATTTTTGTGTTTCTGGGGTGCTGAGAATCGCGACTCCAGACGCGAATTTTTTGCCGAACTTGAGCCGGGATTTTGAATAGCTTCAACTGGGCTGACGCCTGATGCCACATGGCTTTAGAAAAGCAATGTGGTAGAATACGCAGTTGATCAGATATACATTATCATAGTTCAGACAAAGATTCATATTTTACATGTCTAAACATTATCCAGGCGCCGGCACCATACTAGGGTATCATATCAAGGACTCCTTATTTCCCTTTCTTCCGATAAACGACTTCATGCCAGTGTCCACACCACTGAACTTCCTCAGAATTGTCTGTACTCCTACAGGCATCACATTCATCCAGCCAACCCACCTAGCATACAAGGGCATAGACAGCTCCATGCTACTACCTGCGTCTATCGCCGCAATGACTTCCTTCGCAACTTCCACGGGTTCTAGTTCTGGCGCGAAGAAGGAAGAAGGTGTTTTCACGCCGTGAAATAGTGGTGTCGTTAGTTGCCCCGGTGTCACTAACACAGTCTTGACATTGGGAGTAGAATTCAGCTCCTGCTCAAGAGATTTGTGCATAGCTGTGATGGCGGCCTTCGACGCAGCATAATCGCTTAATTGAGCAGCTCCCAGCTGTCCAAGAACGCTGGAAATAGTAACTATAGTGCCATTTCCAGCAATCATGTTGGGGAGAAATCTCTTGATGGTGTAGAAGTGCGAGAGTAGGTTCACTCTGAAATTTTGATCAATTTCCTCTGCCGACAGCTCCAGAAGTGGTTTCCCGTTGACGATAGCTGCGTTATTGATCAGGACAGTTGGAGCCCCAAGCTACACACACGTCAGTAAAGCCCATTTCGGGGTTTTGAAATCCTCACATCTCTCTCAATTTCCAATGCGGCTTTTGCGACCTGCTCTTTGTCTCCCACATCGCATTGATATACCGAAACTCCTCGCGCTTCCCCGGAATCCAGTCCCTTGATGTCCAACACGGCAACAGAAGCTCCTCGCATCCCATAAACTTCTGCGATCAACAACCCCAATCCGCTTGCACCGCCAGTAATCACAATTACTTCGTCCGAATGCTTGACCTTGCGTGGCTTCGAATATGCGATCTGTTTATTCAGGATGTTGGCGAAGAATAGGAACGTCAAGAACGATGCGTATCCGATGGCTGCTTGAATATACGGATTGTTCCACCGCATAGCTTGCGCGCGCATACACAGCGGAATCATCCACGCCACGAACGGGTGTAGAAATGTTACATTGAGGACTTTAAGAAGTAGGTCGATCGAAAGAGGCTTTGCCCAGGACAGCTCTTGGTCTGGCGGTAGAGAAGACATGATTTGAATAGGGAGTAAAGATTATAGGTGAAAGTTAAATGCCAGATTGAAGAAATGAAAACAATGTCAGGAAACTGAAAGATCAGACATCTGGCTACATTTTGTAGATCGGATGAGGTTTTGAAACGGAGGGGTTCGCAGGAGTTTGTTTCAAGACGGAGTGTGTGTAAGGCCAATCGTCGCACGGGCATCCTCGACCTCATTCGTTCCTCGCAGGCTCGTCAGCTCAGCGATTCGCACCAAACATATTCCTTTCGGGCTCCTTCTGGACAACATATTAACCGAACTACAGTATCAGTCTATTTCGTGTCTATCGCATTTCTTACTCTACCAAAGCGACAGGTGCTGGATCCTTCTTTTACGAGGCTAACGTGTCATTGCGCCCGTTCGCAAAACACTGTGCAAGCGGACTCCTCTATGGCTTGCAATCTGTAAATTGTATGCAGGGCATCCAACTGAGGCGCTTGTGTGACTACTCTTGGTATACAGCAGAATTGTGTTGGTTTTTTGACCACCAACCTGTCTGTCATTCCAATAGTTGACGCCATCATTCAGGCAGACTCAAGGCAAGAGAGACATCTTAGCCCGCTTTTATTAGGGGTGGCGTATAAATACAGAAGCATTGCTTCGAACGTTCTCAGGTTGTCTCTGTGAACAGTAATACGAACTGAAATCATATACTCATTGCTCCTTTTTCACAAACTGGCCTCATCATGCTTCAAGCCAATGTGTTGAGATACATCAGACCACTCCCCAATCAATTTGCTTCGTTGCAGAGCGCATATTCATCACGTTCTCACAGTGATGAGGAAGCAGATTACGAGGCAGCCAGACAGTGGTTCGCAAAATTCCACTCCAAGGACCAGAATCCCAGCCCAATGTCAAAATCAACCGGAATGACTGAGCAACAATCAAATATGCTTTCGCTAAAACAAGCCAGGACAAGATTCGTTAGACCAGGCGGGCCTGGAGGTCAGAAAACCAATAAGTAAGTTGTCATTCTCATGTCGATATGTGTTGGAGAATGTATGAGTCTAATGCTCTCCAAGGACAAGCACCAAAGCAGACACAGAATGGAGTATGAAGGACCTGGAAACCGTCGTGCCAAAAATACTCTACCAAGGTCTTCGAGCGAGCTCCTATTATGTCGCGTCCAGCGACTCAATAAGGATAAAGTGCGATGAGCAAAGAAGCCAGACGCAAAACAAACTGACGTGTTACCAACGGCTAGCCCACGAGATTGAGAAAATCTATAAAACCAATGTACCAGGCGTGACTACAGCCGTAAAGCAAGAAAGAGTAGTAGCACTGTAAGTAGCCATTTTCTCTTTCTCGAATCACCAGGCGGTTGATACTCTTGCTTCCATGCGTTCTGGGGTGGGATTTGCATCATTGTTACTTGCCATAACCTCTGATACCACACATTTGCCTCACAGAACGCGGCATGACTATCGCTTGGAGGGCAAAGAGCAGAAGAAATACAAGCAATTGCTGCAAGCGCGGAAGAAAGAGAGAAAAAAAGAACTTTTCGCTATGCAGTGTAAGAAAAATCGGAAAGCGAATTTTACTCCTGCTCCAGAAAGCAGCAAAAACGTCAAATCCCCACGAAAGTGAAAAGTGACACACACACAGTCATCGAGCATAACATTACAACTCGATGAGGTGCACACATCATCATTCATCTGCAACACACTTGCTAACACTCCCTCACAGACAAAAAGCAGAGAATCTCAATAGGTTGAAATTCAAGAAAATGCACGGCGACAAAAAGCGATCTCGAAAAGGTGGTGGGCCGGTGTAATTGGTGTTTGGAATTGGGGGCTTCATGGGTCTGAGCGGCTTTTGGGAAATGTATCTGGGATTTAATGTCGTGGTTTTATTATGGGTTGATACCAGTATATGGACTTGGGACGGTCTGGCATGGAGCTACTAGTGTGCGAATCCTTTTAGATGTGGAATAATAGTGTGTTTTTATTAAGCTTCGCACATTAGAGGCGTTGAGATCAAGGCAAGATGGGATCATATTCCCTGTTATACTTTTGTGTATTCCGAAATTCGAATGTATGCTTGGAGGGTGAAGTACTTTGTTGCTGAAATGTATGTTTATTTCTTACGAATTGGAAAAGCCGAAGGCTGTAAAGGAGTTTGGAGTTTGCATAAACTGGTCTGCTTCGAATTTACATACCAGATTTCCCACGGAAGGTTGTCCTCAAACGAGCTCACTGCTCAAAGCATCCATTGCTTTTCATTCTAACCCCCAGTGGTCGATCCAGTGGCTGAATTACTTTGGCTTGATGTGGAAATATGAAGCAGCAAATTTAGCTCAGATGTATTTCCGATTACCGAAATGCTACATCAAGTAAGTCGAAAATCAGACAAATTGCACTGGTACAACTAATAATGTATATATTATCACACCACTGATCTATACCTATCATCCCTAAAGTACACCACGACCCTTCACGATCAAAGCATCCAACCTCATAGACAGGTAGGGACCCAGGTATCCATGCCCCTCAAAATTCCCACCCAATACCCTATTCCCGCTACCCAAGCCCAGAGAAAGATGCTCCATCAAATCCTCCAACCGATTGATGGGACCAATAAAAATTAGAAAACACCAGCATACCGTTGTGTTTTCATGCTAAAATATCCCCATAACTTCCAGTCTATCTCCTCGAAACATATCCCCATGTTTCTGCATATATCTTATCCCCTACTCCAAGTGATATAGGGAAAATTCTTCTATCTTCCTGCGTTTGTTGATGATTCCCAAAACTCCACTGAACAGAACATGGTCCGCGAATAAGGCTCGTAGTACATATTAAAAGCTTTCTCACACAAGAAAGGTATTGGTAAATCGAAGGTCGAGCCCCGGAGATTGACGATGGCGTAATCTCCAGATGTACGTAATTAGATTTGAACGAGTGTGTAAGCGGATTAATGTCCCTGTAATGAGTCCAGGAACCGAGTGGGGGCAAAAAATGCCTTAAAGCAAAGTACTAAATATCATGGAATTTTCATCTTTCGATGCTTTCCGGGCTCATCATACCGACAGCAGAGGTGTCATCTTTCTCTGTATGAACGCTGCCTTGTCCGCTTTCTCCCCTTTCCATTGAAATTCCATTCGGAAGGTTTAACTTCGCTTTCTTTGTAGCAGCTGCTCCACCTTTCTCGGGACTACCATTGACACCACCAGGCTTTGCAGATGTATCCATGGCTGTGCCATTATCAAGCTTCTTCTTCTTCTTCGAATTTCCGCCTTGCTCTTTTAGAGGTCTCTTGCGTGGACTTGTGATCTTCCCTGTAGGGCCAAGACGAGGGCGCGATGGTCGTTGTTTGGGAGGAAGTTCTTCGTCTTCGAGAAGAGGCTCATCATCGTTGGCATGCAGTTTTGCCAGGAAGAAGTTTTTGATAAGGCCAATTTGGTCCTGAAGGTTCTCACGAGTGACTGGCTCCAACGGAGGTAAGGGTGGGAATATCTCCGCGGACTGTACTGCTGCCGCAGGTCCCGGATAGCTTCGATGTATTTTGGCGTGCAGTAGATGCAGTGGTACTGAGAGACTTGACATCCCAAATTCTGAGTCGAGGCCGAGAGCCTTGAATCCGAAGAAATCTTCTCCCAATTCTTCTGCAAAGTCACCACCAACGAATTGTTCACTTCCATCATGAAAAGCCCCTGACCCGTCGGTGCCAGCATCTGTAAGAGCAGGCCGTAGAAGATCAGAAAGATGAGCTTTCATACGTTCGTGCATGACCCCAAGCTTTGTGCCTTGGCGCTCAACATCATCCTTGACGTAGCCCTCCAAGCTTTCGACTTCCAGACCATTTTCGCTAAGCGCATGAAGCAGGACTTCCTCATCGGTGAACCGTTCTTGCCATCTTTGTCCAGCTGCCGCAGCTAAACCTGTTGCAGGAACTTTTGGTGTCTCCCTATATACACTAACCGTCCGTACCAGTTTAGTGAAAAAGTCTCCTGCAATTTCAGTGATCACATCAAGAGCACTAGGCTGGAGTTCTTCAAATCCAGCATGATAACAAAGCTCGGCTACGGAGCGCTGTAAAGCTGCTTGGCAGACCCAAGGTGACATGATAGGTCCATCGTCAGAAGTAACATGAGGTTCTATATCAGCTTCGATAAATGGCTCCGGGTCGTATTTTGGAAATTGGTTATTGTACATCTGATATATGGTTAGCTTGTTTTTATCGTATTAGAGCTCTAGACTCACCTGAGCTTGGATCTGCATCTGCTTTATGACGCTAATCTTCGAGCAAAGTTTCCTCGTCTCCTGCATTTGCCTCATGTTGGCCCCGATTTTGCTGGCCAGGAAGCTCTTTGGTGCTGTAAAATGGCCAGCTGGGACCAAACGAAGAAATTCAGAGTTCTGGTCTATCACGTGCCCTTCTGAATCTTCAATCCATTGGTTTCTGAGTGGGATATCTGGGATTGCTGACAAGGGTTCGTAATAATCAGGTAGCATCTTTTCTTCTTCGCCTTCCATACCTTCTGCAAGAGTCTCAGCAGCTTGGGGTGCTGCGTCTTTGCCATCTTTACCAATTGCCTCGGCTCGAGAGACATCACCATGAGCCTGCTTTTGTTGTCGAAGCCACCTCCTCATGCCAGCTTTAGTTCTTATCAGGGCAGGCTCCTCTGGGTTAAGTTTGTCGCCCTTAAACAGTCGATGTCTCTCCTTAGCCACAAGTGCTCGGTCCTTCTTTGTCACTTGCTTCCAGGTCTTATATTCTTCATCTTCTCGTAGGTTGTCGGCAGCGGCTCCCAGTGCTTGGCCCAGGGAAAGTCCGTTGACTGAAGGCCCATCTACGTCCATGCCATCAGCCTGACTACCAAGGCCCGGTACGCCATTCATGCCTCCTGGTGTAATGGAACCAATCGGCGGGGTAGCAAATCCGTTGCTGCCATCAAACCCTGCTTCCGAGCCTTCATGCTGGAGACTGCTTAATACGCCATTGACTTGGAGTGACGGCTTCTGGTCAACTCCAGGGGTTCCCTCGTCCCGAATTGATTTCCTGGCCTTTGTTGATCCCTTGACACCAGCTTTGCGACCTCTTGATGACATGATCGGCTCGTCATCACTGTCATCAACCGCTTCATCGTCGCCGCCATTCTGCTTTCGCCTTTCCTCTGCTTCGACTTCTGCTCTAGGTCTTACAACAAGATCAGGAATGAGCGGGACCAATTTCTCAGCTTCTTTCCTCATCGCATTCGCATTGCGTCTTAATGGATGCGTCATTTCAGCATTATACTTGAGGCAATTTGACCATATGAGATCCAAATCAGACACAAACTCAGCCTTAGACTTATAGCCGAGTGACTTCAACTTCTTGGTCATGCTACCAAGGTCCATGGGATTTTTGATTACTGGACATATTAGCTTGCACTTATTGACGAGAGCAGAAAGACTCACTGTTGTAATAGTCGGGTGCCTCTCTTTTATTTACTCTCGTTAAGAACGGTGCCGAATACTCGGTCATAGCTTTGAGCTCGCTCAAGACCTTCTCAGCTGCCTCGTATAACTCTTCCTGGTTTACGTTTTCTTCGCTTGCCCATTTACTTCGATTTTTACGAACCTCATTCATCAAGGCTCGCAATTCAGCGTCGGAGGCCGCGACCAGGTCGCGCTTGAGATCGATCCGGGCGATGAGATGCTTTAATGTCAAACTTGACGCGCCAAGGTTGGCACTACTTAGAGTACCATGGTGTTCGCCATTGGTGCCACTTGTGTTGGGCTCGTTTCCATTGTTGTCCATCTCTGCATTAATCTGCTTTTCCGCCTCCTCAAGCTTTTGCTGTTCCAACATAGCTACCCGGTCGTTTTCCAACGTATAGAACATAGTATGGAAGCTGCGCTTTGCTGCCTCCTCCGTAGCTTTTTTCTGTTCCTCCAGCTGCTTCCGCGCATCTTCCGAGGACTTGGGTTGATCCCGCGATCCATCTGCCTTTGACTCAACGTTAGACTTGACAGGAGATATGTCCGAAGAGACAGGCGAGCTCCCGGATTTCGAAGGCGACATCAATGCATTAGCGTTCTTGTTTTTGACAGCGGAGATTGGCAGGTCTTCTTCGTCTTCGTCCTCATCGTCATCATCATAGTTGTCCTCGTCAATCACCCGCGCGGCCTTCTTGGGAGCTTCCTGCTTTGGAGGTTCAACAACACCTAACTGCTCCGCCAATTGGTCCTCGTCCGCCGCGGCTGCATCTTCCACAGACTCGCTGGCTATATATTCTCCTCCGCCGAAGATTGCAGCGATGCGCGCCTCACTGCGCCGGTATAGGTCCTGGAAGAGGGCCTTCTGATGCTCCTCCTCCGCGTTGTCTCCCTCAGATTGTACGGCGGTCGGTTCTGCCATTGTGGCATCTTCGCGCAAATGATTGGGAGTAATGGTGTTTGAACGTGCGGGAGAATCGTCGCGATGGTGGAAAGACTTGAGATGTGACGATGAAGGCAGCCAGTGGTGTTGGGCGTGATGAGCGGCGCCGTTGGTGATGGAAACCGTGGGTCCTTGAAGCCCAGGTCTCGACATGTTCTCCCCCTCCCACGCGCACCAGCGCGGAAAATGGGCGTTCGCGACAATGCACCAACTTTCGTAAAAACGTCGCTGGAAGTTCGTTACTTCTCGAAATCGCGAATTTCCCACATTGGTTGGTCTGCTTCCGTTGAATTAATCTCGAAATTCGATGGTTGTGGTCGCTTTCTTGATGGCTGAAATTCGTCGTTTTTGGCACAGGAGTTGAGGTGTCGTCAGGACGGCCGTCGTTGCGGACCTTTGGGGAAGGGGTTTAGCGGCTCATCATTTTGGAGCCAGAACTACACGTTTGCAGCAAGCGCAAGCACAATTGTGAATGTTTTTATTATTTTGGGGCTGCACATGTGGCTACGGTCTGGAGATCCAAGCTACATCCAGACAAGCAACGTTTTTCGCATTCCAAGGTGGTTATATAAACTGTTCTGCTTCTATCTGCGCTTTCCCGAACCATGTTCAAGAATCGTTCGTGGAAGGGCGGCAAGTGATCTCTCCGCATGGGGAATTCGATGCGAGAAGCAAGATTCTGCTATACTGCCAAAAACAAACTTAATTGCAAGTTCCTCTCTATGGCCAGCTTAACTGCATTGTACTCGGCCGTTTGAAACTCATTAATGATACCTACCAATGATGCACACATCTACTACTAATGTACATGGACTGCCGCTTTTCCCGCACATCGCGATGCACTTTCTGCCTCACATTCGAGGAATCCATATACAAGCATCAATTGCGTCGTAGCAGGTAACACAGAGGACCAGTTGAACACGCACCATAAGCTGGAGCTCCGAGTATCACAATCTACACAATTCCAACGATCAGCTATGAATCCAAGTTGATTCTAGGCCAGCCTCGAACCAACCTAACCCCTCACAATGCGCATAAGACTGCCCTTCGCAGGTAAGTTCAGCCCATCACGGTGCTCCATTTGATGCAGCTGGAGCTCCCCATTCTCTACCATCTCCTAGTCCTAATACCCCACCTCCTGTAGGCGCCTTCCTCTTCCTCATCGCAACAGCAGGCTACGCTGGCCTCACCTCTCTGCAGCTAGAGAACTTCCCAGTCAACGATAAAGTCTTACACAGCTTGACATTCTTCGCGCTGACGACATGTTTCTACTGGATCCTTGATACCTCGCGAAGGCGGAATCTCAACTTGACATTTATCTTTTGCACAGGCATCCTCGGAGTCGGTTCTGAGTTTCTTCAGTACTTTTTGCCGAATGACAGAAAATTCGATGTCTATGATATAGTAGCCAATGTAGTGGGGAGTTTGGCCGCTTTGGCGTTGAGCTCATGGTACCACACGAGGATGTTGGAAAGGAAACGGCTTGCGAAGAATTACCAAATCATCCCAGGCGATGAGGATGTCGAGCTTGGAGAAGGTGTTGGAGTACAAGAGAGTGGAACGGTTGGGGTTACAAGGTCGCTCGAGCAGGAGGTTGATAATTGGGACGAGAATGTTGCGGATAATTGGGATGATGATGAACCTACGGGGACGGACGAGGGCGACGGTCCTAAGACTCCGAGTGCCAGCAGTGCTGGGGAAGCAGAGGAAACTAAAAAGAGAGCTGACTAGGTGGCAGGGGCATGAATGTACGAGTGAGACGATTTTATGGTATGCCAGGCGAACAGGGTTATAGGTTTAGGGTCAGTCTGCTCATGTGTTTCTATTCAGGAACGGCGTTTGTAACAGCCATACCATGCTGACATTTTCATCATTCGTGGACTCTGCAATAGGAGTCTGACCATAATTCATAAAGATGTCACTTTGTATATCTGATCGTTCTGAGGGGAACTCACCATATTCAATTTTTCTTAGCATTCTCGATCATTCAGGCATTGTATAATAGGTAGTGACTAAACTAGCGTAGTCGTATCTCACTCCAGCAATCCATTTCCTCTGCCTTTTGGAGGCAGCATGGTAGTCTAAATGCAATTAGCTATGAAGAGTCCCAATATCGAATACTGAAATAGTAACATTATATCAACCATGGTATTATAATCTCATTGTTGCACTATGGAATTTCTAGCTATTACTGTATATGATCTTAATATGATATTGCAAGTATCAGTAACTTTGGAGGGGAGTATCGTCACGTGGAAGTCTAAAGGTCCCTGCCGCTAGTGGTTAGCGTGCAGCCCGCAGATCCAATCGCACCGCCGCGAGAAAATTTCCAGAGAGCTTCGAGAAATTTTGGGAGCAAAAGACGATCACGACCAAACCCACGCAACAAATATCAAACTGCAGGATCGACCTGTCAATGTGGTGTAGAGGGACGGCATAAGGAAGCAAACCTTACTGTGTTTTTGCAACATGTCGGATATCAATTACTTGCTCCACGAGAGCTCGGTGGGGTATGCGATCTTTGAAGTCGTTCACCAAGGCGATACGGTGGGAAACCGATTGAAGGAGGTTCAGGATGCGACTCAGGACCTTGCCAAGTTCGGGAAGATGGTGAAGCTTGTAAACTTTGCGCCATACAGGTACGCTGCGAAAATTAATGTTACAAGAGTGAGAACTGACAGGATTTCTCAGAGGAGCTGCCGAAGCTCTTGAAAACATAAATCTTGTTTCTGAAGGTGTCCTGTCTGAGTATCTACGATCGAACCTCGAGTTGAACCTCCCAAAAACTTCCAAGAAGAAGAAGGTCGTACTGGGTGTGTCGGATAAGAATCTGGCTGGTAGTATCAAGGCTGCATTCTCAGGTGTCGAGTGCGAAACTGGCGAGACCTCCGAGGTCTGCGCAGACTTGCTCCGAGGATTGCGATTTCATGCAGGAAAACTGTTGAAGGGCCTTCAAGAGGGAGATGTTGAGCGGGCTCAGCTTGGTCTTGGTCACGCATACTCTCGTGCAAAGGTCAAGTTCTCAGTCCAGAAGAACGACAACCACATTATCCAAGCTATCGCTACGCTTGACCACCTCGACAAGGCTGTCAACACCTTTTCTATGCGCGTCAGAGAATGGTATGGATGGCATTTCCCAGAACTTGTCCGTATCGTCTCCGACAACCATACATACGCAAAACTTGCGTTAGCAATTGGCGACAAACAGACTTTATCCCAAGAGTCGTTACATGATATCGCAGCGATTGTTAACGATGATGGAGATATCGCACAGGCTATCATCGATGCTGCTCGTGTAAGTATGGGCCAGGAAATCTCTGTGACTGATATGGAGAATGTGTCGTCATTCGCGAACAGAGTCGTCAAGCTTGCCGAATACCGCCGGTCACTCTTTCAATACCTAGTCAACAAGATGGCCATCGTCGCGCCAAATTTGGCTTCCCTGATTGGCGAGGTTGTTGCTGCCAGACTTATTTCCCATGCTGGATCTCTCACCAATTTGTCCAAGTACCCAGCTTCCACTGTTCAAATTCTGGGTGCTGAGAAGGCCCTTTTCCGAGCACTGAAAACCAAGGGAAACACACCGAAATATGGACTGATTTACCACTCAAGTTTCATTGGTCGTGCCGGAGCCAAGAATAAGGGCCGTATTTCAAGATTCCTTGCCAACAAATGCAGTATTGCAAGCAGAATTGACAACTTTTCCGAAGAGCCATCTACCAAATTTGGAGAGGCTTTAAGAAAACAGGTTGAGGAGAGATTAGATTTCTATGCTACCGGCGCTGCGCCAACAAAGAATGAGGATGCTATGGTAATTACTGACTTTCGCAAAATAATGCATCCACTAACGTCTTGCAGAAATCAGCAATGGATGCGGTTCTAGGTGACATCAACATTGCAGACCCAACAGCGGACACTGAAATGGCTGATGTCGCCCCAAGAGCGGTAGGCAAGCAGGAAAAGAAAGCCAAAGACAAGAAAGAGAAGAAGGAAAAGTCCAAAGACAAGGATGCCAAAAAAGATAAGAAAGACAAGAAGCGAAGACATAGTGAAGTAAACGGTGATCAGGAGCCATCAGAAAAGAAGAGTAAGAAGAAGAGCAAGAAAGAATCTGCCGACTCTGAATAGAACAAGTTTGGCGCATGATTTATCTAACACTTTTGCTTTTGTATATTTTGGGTGGGGCTTCTGGCACGGAGTTGGACGATTCATCTGGTTTGTTTCCTGTGTTGAATAACATCAACTTGGCGCTTGGGGACATGGCTTGTTTATTTGTAATGAAAAATGCACCTCATGGTATGGATTGCGATTTAGAGCATGATACTTTAGTAGATACCTTGTATTTAAAGTATTTGCAATGTCTTTCAATCCACAATCACCTCTACTTGTCGTTTTGCTTCGTTGTAGTCTGCTATACTTCTATATGACATTTCACCCATTGCTCCGTCACCCGCTCGTGGATGCAAGAAAATCCTTGACTCCTATAAGAACGCCATGCTTCACCATTGCATACATGTTCAAAATTCCTCTCCCAGGTGTACGTCCTTGAGATCGGCTCTAGAATCCCATCAAACTCCCTCACTACCGAACTCCTGGGTCCACTCTTTACTCCTAATGATATCCTCCTGACTGACCGTCGGTCTCGCACCTTTAACGGCCTTTTCGAAATCGGATAAGCGGAGTGGTGGTTCTAAAAGCTTGTCGGAGTCTACTTCAGTCCAATTCATTTCCATAGCTCCTTGCGCGCCGGGAGAGCAGGGTGTCAGTTTCTCGACATCTCCATCCATCACCTAGACAAATTGTTAGTCGGTGGCTCAATGGAGAAAGGGAATACATACCTTTTTATAATGAGTGGCTGTCTGAATGAGTCGGACAGGTTGCATGAGTGCATCTTGTACAGCAATACTGATATCGCTTCCAGAATATCCATCGCTCAACTCTCCCAGTCTCTTGAAGTCTGCTTTCTTGAGGTCACATGGTGTGGTGCCTACTGCAAGCTCGAACATGGTAGTTCGCGCCGCGGCATCAGGAAGAGAGATGTGTACACGACGTTGGAAACGGCGACGAATAGCCGCATCTAGCTGCCAAGGGATGTTGGTTGCTCCTAGTACTAGAACTCCTTTACTATCACGGCCTACTCCGTCCATCTGAACAAGCATCTCCGTTTTGATACGTCGGGACGCCTCAGATTCTCCTTCTCCTCTTGGACCGCATAGAGCGTCAATTTCGTCGATGAAGATGATAGAGGGTTTGTTTTCCCGCGCCATTGCGAACAGCTGTTTCACCAACCTAACATCGTGTGAGCTACTTCACAGGCCAAATCATCGTACCAGCTTACCTTTCTGACTCTCCCATCCACTTACTGACCAAATCCGAACTGCTTACACTGAAGAAAGTGCTGTTCGCTTCTGTGGCAACTGCTTTTGCAAGATATGACTTTCCGGTTCCTGGTGGTCCATAGAGTAGAATTCCTTTCCAAGGTTGTCTCTTCCCGGTAAATAGATGAGGAAATTTTATAGGCAGTACAACCGCCTCCTTTAACGCCTCTTTCGCAGCCTCTAACCCTGCTACATCCTCCCATCGGACGTTAGGTTTATCCTGCAAAATCGCACCCGCAAGCGCATTTCTCAATTTCTTGCTATCAGCATCTTCGCCCTCCTTCTCCTCCCCCTTTCCAGCGCCTCCCGTTGTCGCACCATTACTGCCTACCATCCCAGGTTTCTTTTTACCGCCGTCTGTGTCTAAATGCGTTTTTAACTTTTCAGCTCGCTCCATGTATTCCCCTGCCTTCGCGCGGATCATCTCCTTTGATTTCGCATTCTTTTCCCATTTGAGAGCTAGCATAAAAAGTTCCAGGGACTGATAGTATAACTGGTACGCCTTCTCATATTCAGCAGCTGTGTCTGCTTCGATTGCCTTCTTCACAATGTCTATGGCACGACCCAGAAAGTCGGTATTCGACATCTTGGGGGTGGGGTAATCGAATCGCGGGGGCGGAGGTGATCGAGACCAGAGGCGATTACGGTGTAAACCTTCACAGTAATGCTTGTCTAGAATGCGGAATAGCGTTTGCAGCTCTTCTGAGGCCTGTCGAACTCGTTGCGAAGCTACTCTTCTGATGACGGTGCTGTGGGCGGAAGTGTGGTGATTCTTTCCAAAGATCTTGGCACGCGGTTGCGGTTTTGAGACTCGCAGAACCAGTTCTCATATATCGTTTGCAGGCGGATGAGAGTCCGAGATATTGAAGGGATTCAGGTCTGTATTCTTTTGATTGAGAAAATCAGTCACAGAGTACGGTGTACAGGATGTTTACTTCCATGGTCGAAGTCCCCGTTGCCTTGCCCCGCCATGCGGCAACCGCGCTAGCGGGACGTGATTAGCATCCAGACCATCGAATTGCGATTCTGTGAGCTAAGAATTTCAAAAGCAACGAATTTGTCTATACTATCTCTCTTCGACATAAGACATTAATCGAGATTTTTATTGCTATTTTGCCGCGGCTCTTGGTCTTTTTGAACATTTCTAGTGGACAACCTCAAAATATGGCAGAAGTCCAGCAACAGCTTCAAGCTCTCAGTGCCGAATATCAAGCAGTTCAGCAAGGTACCCTTATGCGCCGTCATGGGAGTGAACACAAAAATCTAATTTTCTGTGCAGAGCTTCAGAACCATGTAAACTCACGGCAGAAACTCGAGTCCCAGCAACAAGAAAACCGCGCCGTTCAGAAGGTTCGAGGAATGGAATACGATGAATGAGTCGGCGGCTAAGAGATGTAGGAATTTTCAGGCCTGGCAGATGACGCGAAGATCTATAAATTGGTTGGGCCTGTGCTCTTGAAGCAGGAGAAGACCGAGGCGGTACTGGCGGTGGACGGACGGCTCGACTACATTGTGAACGAGATGTATGGCATCTCTGTCTCTGAATGGGTGATGGAAGCTAATTCCTGGGTAGCAAGAGGGTTGAGAAACAGATCAAGGATACCGAGGATAAGAGTGATGCTGTTAGATCAAAGGTGTGTCTTTTCGTTCTGAAGTGGTTCTGTACACATTTAACGATATTCCAGATAATACAGGTTCAGTCACAAGCGCAGCCACAGGATCAGGGTTCGCAAGCTCAAGTTGCAGCATAACAGTTTCGATGTTGCAAGATTCATTGCTTTCGGTATTTGCATTGCTTGGCGTATAAAAAGTGTCTCCATCATAGACGACGGATATCTAGATCAGATCAGGAACACAAGTCGCGAAGGAGCGTGAGCATGGGGTTAGCTTTCTTGTTTCGAGATTGTTGTTATCGATTCCATCCTATACCCAGCCGAACACGTCAGAAGCAGAGCCACTGGCAAGAATGAGATTCATCAAGTAGAAACAACCGGGTTCTGCTACAGTAGAGGCCTATGTGTCGGCGGATGAACTCGTTTAATGCCAGTGTTGAATATAGTCGTGCAGACATGGAGAATCTACATACTTCTAGATTTTGTCGTATGTTTTGAATTCAAGGAGATCAATGTCTCATGCGAGAATGTGAAAGTCACGTCTTGGTTGGAGACTTGAATATAGAAGTTTCCACCTGCCTTGAAATTCTCTGACTTATAGCAAAAGTTTAGGTATATCTCAAGCGAATTCTTGGATGCAGTGCGTACTTGTATAAATTGTTTCTGCCATTAAGAGTCAACGATTCGTTCATGCTGTCATCCTACAAGCTATTTCAGAGACACAAGCAAGTATTGGATGATTTCCCACTTTCAAAGTTGTCAGTTGGGCGGTCAAATTTCAAATTTCTAGATATCAATTCCCTTTAGTGTTCATTTACCCATGTGGAGTATCTATTCCTCGACCTTTACTATAGTTTGTTGCGTTAAGTGCAGTCCTCACTTTCGCTTCAACCCAGAATAAATTCTAGTTGGAGAACAAAGGTCTCTCCGAAGAAGTTTCTCACTTGAACTTCATGTTTGGAGTTCGTATTGATTATTCAGTTCATCCCAGTTCGAGAGCCATCGTCTACCTTTGCAACGAGTCACTTCTGGGCTTATCTATCAATTAGCTGGGTTGATAAACTTTGACATTGTTTATACAGATTCAAGTCGACCCTTCTTTAAGTCAGCAACTAGTTCCATTGATCGAAGCCTGACTTGGAATATAGTTCTCTCTTGTAGGCCATACAATCGGGCTCCTGTTGAGCCTTCTACCTCGACCGAGCTTCGGTTCGCTCCATTTCATCCTAGCAAGACTACCGAACATGTAGAATAGAAAACATTGGAGGAAGAAAGTATCCGATATAAGGAATAATAAGGAATCTAAGGCAGGCCGCGCCGTTCCAGGGTTTAAAGCTTCCGTCCCAAAAACAATGTTCCCTCCAACGGTGTGTCATAATAAGCTTCAATTCTCTGGAACCCAAACTTCCCATACAATCTTACAGCACCTTCCATCTTAGCATCCAACGTATCCAATACCATCTCTTCATATCCTAACTTCCTCGCTTCCTCCAGGACCCTGTCAATTAAAGCTTTTCCCACACCAAGACCCCGAGCTTCAGATACCGTGTACAGACGTTTCATCTCGCACGTCTTTGACGGAGACGTGGATTTGAGTGGTCTCAGAGCCACGCAACCTATTGCCGAGCCCTCGGGTAGTGATGAAGATGACGACGTCGAGGTGGCGATGAGTAAGGCACCAGTTGGAGGCTTGTATACGCCAGGCAGTGAAGCGAGTTCGGCTTCGTAGCCCTGAAAGCTAAGGTCAAGGTCGAGCCATGATGTGTATGCTGTGAAGAGGTCTCGGATCTGGGTGATTTCTGTGAATGTCGTTGCCTGTTTAATTTGGAAACCTGGATGTTCCGAATTTGAAATGAAATCGGTCATGGTACGATATGATAATGTTTAATTCTGGGACCTTGTCGATAATTTATTTTAATGGTGCTAAACAAATGTTATTTGCTTGTGTACCTACTCTTGTCTTCGTCTGACTCATGCTTCGCTTATTCAAACTATATTGCTTATATAAAATCGTATGTTTGTCAAGTGTTCCAAGAATGGGGTTAAGCAGTGATAATTCCCAAAATTACGTCTTGTCATTATATCCACACCTCAAATGTAGAAGTACTTCTAAGTCAGACTCAAGTCAAAGCTTCAGTTTATTAGAACATGTAACAACCACTGATTAAAGGCTCAAATCCAATAAAAACATTTAGGCAAATCCGTGCAAAAATCTCAGCAACTTCTTTTTTGGACATAGGTTTGTCTTAATGGCCAAAATCCACGATAGAGGAACTTTTGCTTTACTCAAGTTTTAAGAATTTGCTTATATCTCTTTTCCCCATAGTATACGAAATGAGCTTTAAGTTTATATGTAACAACACAAACGTGGGTTGAGTCTGTAGCCATTGATCTAAGGTATCAACAAGCTGGGTGATTAGTGTCACTTATGTTGATTGGACTTCAAAGGCAGCTAGAAGTATTTCAGAGCTCCCATGTCGGTTTCATCAAGAAACCACAGATATCAGCATATCAGAGAATACAGTCGGTACAGTAACTAATTGCCGTTGTATTCACAGGTTTGAAAGCCGTCTTTTAAGGTACTTCAAATTTTGAGTTTCGTTTCCACCTAACGTTTGTCACAGCAAGCTCAAAGTGTTTTATGGGGTATGTTTTGGCTAATTGAAATCAATTTCATTAGTAAAGTGAATACACCTTTCTAAATTAAATGTATTGACCAAAATATTGATCGAGGGTAGAAGTCCCATGCAGCCATTAAAAGTTCATCTCAGAGCCGAACGAACACCCACGGGCTGTGGATTTTATGGAGTGAGAGGAGGTGAGGAGGGTATGAGTATTTCAAACCTCTTATACGTTTTCTATATACGTGAGAAAGAAGAGCCTTATTTGTCAAGTGTTTTTGGAATTTGGGAATTTTCCCTCCCCAAGTTCAGAAGACACAGTTTCATAATCTCGCATAAGAAGAGCGGTACGAGTCAAATTATACTCTCATTTCGACAAGATGAAGGAAACTGTTCAACAATGCTCAACGTTGCAACCAGTTGTCAAAAGAAAAGTTAAGTTTCTTTGTTCATCTGAATTTGTAAATCAACATGCGCTTTGATTGTTTGCATGCATCCATTACCCAAAGCAAACATAAGTCCCAAACAACAAAGACAACCTAGAAAAAAGTTTCTAGTGTCACTTAGATCGGTTGAAAATCTGAAAGGTTTACAATCGTAACAAAAACCCAAGACCAGTTTTGGCAACCCATTCCGACCCTCACTCTACAACCTTATTACTCTTCGGCAGGCGATGATTGACAAATAGTTTAACTTCTCTTAAAGCAGTGTGGACCAAATCTTGGAATTATGCTTTTGGTGGCAGATAACTCCGCAAAGAATTTGAGGCATGTGTCCCAACAATGTTTTCCTCGAGCGAATACCGACCAGCAAATCGAGCACAATACCAAAATCAAAAGAAGCGGACGGATTTGGACAGGCACTTTAGTACACAATCAGTTCCGAAACTTCGCACAACTTCCATATGAGATAAGGTGCCAAATATGGGAGATTGCATTCGAAGACCACTTCCAGAGTGCAATTGTGTATTTGCCAAACAGCGTCACGGTGAAGAAACTTGACCACCCCAGGCGGGGAAACACGCTTTGGCAATTCAACGCATCCACAGAGTCTCGCAGAGAGTTTTTCTGACTGCTTTTTAAACTTCCAAATATAAAACACGCTGAATCGAACGCTGCAATCCTTCGTTCTTGGGCAGGCCACGGATTCAGATCAGAAAGGCGATATGCTTTAACGTTTATGGCAAATCTAGCTACACCTCTATACCTCGCACGCCCATGGCAGGTTGAGTGTCCACGTAGTATGATCGGTTGTACGAATATTAAGCATCTGGTGCTGGAAGAACTCATACTCAGGCCCAAATCGAAAGTGTTTGCCTATGCATATGGCGATGGTATATGTGTCACTCAGCCAGAATCGAGATGGCTGTTGAGCTTCAAGCAGTTCCCACACCTAGAGATATTAGTGATTAAGAAGTTGTATGATGGGAACATGTTCGGACGATCTGGACCGTTGCTCAAGATGGAAACACAACAAATAACAAAAGTGGTTGAGCACATCACAAGCAGCTTGAGGAATACAAAATCAACCCACCCGGAATGGAAGGTGCCCCTGGTATTCATCGATTCGTTTGCGAAGCATGCTATCCAAGTTCCAGAACTAATCAGCTCATAAGTCCCGACATGAAAGCAAGATCCAGAGGTTCTGAGCTTATCCAATTCCCGAGAAATAGAAAAGTGACACGCAAGTCCTAACACGGAAGCATGATGGAGCTTAAGGGCTAAATCGATTACTCCGAGGCATAGAACGACAAGACATGCTCCAGATAGATGAGAAGTTCGCAGCTAAAGCCTTATAAAGCTGCTCAGTACTCGAAGAGGATCATGTTAAAATGATAGTGTAAAAATATGCCATGGATATCAAAGTTTCAGAAGCTTTTTTCCCCTGTAACTCTGCATATTTTGATCAGAGATCTTATGCCCCCGACGGGGCTGTATTATCATCGATTAAATCAAAGGACCTTGATGGATAAGATGTTAGTCTTTGGGGGTTTTTGAGAAGGTTTAAGTGGTCTAATAAGGATGGAGAATAGCAACGGGCGGATCACATGATGACGTGGTGGGGAAAGACCCTGCGCCAGCTTGACCCCTCCACAAAACACCTCTACGCAATCGCGACAAGTCACACAAAAAAACATGAACCCTTTGCCCCAAGAACGGCAGCGCTCAACCTCAAGAATACTGTCAGGACTTTCCCTCATCAGTATCACTCACATGATGATCGTCAATCCTTCGACCATTATACTGTTAGACCGAGCGGTCCAACAGGTTTGTACGAAAGCGTATTATTGTGCCCTCCGCATAGGCCACCGAGACGTGGAAGGGCAAGTATTCAATACTACAACATCACAAGGAATCCTATGCGCTTACGGTACGCATCGTCCGTACCCAATGACCAAACGAAACGAAAAGGGCATTGTCGCACGAGCGTACCGCTGCTGCCACAGATGCGACAACTACGAGGGTCCCGGTAAAAGCCCACAGTTTTGAGATTATTGAGCAATTTCACGAACCACAAAACAACACGGAGCAAAACAATACGGAGTACGAAGAGTACCAAACCTTTCCCGGTCCACCAACACAATCTCGTTTCCTCGGATAATATGAAGCTATTTGCTTCACACGCGTATGGGGTCATGGAAGGGCCATAGAAAATCGATAGTACAGCATGGCTAGTACGCCAGCCCAAGTTGCATATTTAATCGGCTTGGGAATTATTTCATGGGAGAACTTCATCTTGGCGGTGAGTTTCAGGGCTGGTTCGGGAATTTCGTCAGAAGCGATCGATTAAGAATTGCTTGAAGAGGGAAACGGCTGAAGCAAGTGCCGAATTGCGACGTTTCTATTTCGAACGGCTAAGAAGATTTGCAGTCACAGCGCTCAGCTCAGAGGATGCTCTCCATACACAATTATGCCTTTTGATCGATCAAAAGCTCCGAAGCTTGGGGAAAACATCAAACGAATTGTTCCCTGGACCCTGGTGCACCAGACAGCATTCTCTCTGCATATAATCAGCGATGACAATTGAGAGGGTGACTCTGACCCATGAGTACGTACCGTACCGTACAAGCATAGACTTATGCAATAAATAATGCAGTCGCCTTAATTAGTTTATATAACACGGGAGGCGAATTCTGTCACGGAAGCATTGTTATTGGCCAGAAGGATATAATGGTGGATAACTACTCCGTATTCGCAACTGTGACACACAGATGGAAAGGAGAATTATTATTACAGGTCATGTTTCCATAACTTTCATACCTGGTCAAAAACTAACTCTCGTGCAGTAGTCGCCTAGCCCTCCACACCCATACATAATCTTAGACCAATCAATCACAATACACCAGCCCCGAAACCGTGAGCAGCCTCACTATGGCCCAGTCAAGACCCATGATTGGTGATCGCTGGGAAAATAGAACTTCGAGAATGACCAGTGTGGCTGCGAGTAGTCGTCAACAGGGCTGTCACACCGATCGGGCGCAGCGCCGTACACGAATTACACGATACAAACATGCTCCACAACTAGATCTTACAGGAAGCGAGTGCTAGACGGACGATACACGCTGAAGGCAGCGGGGAGTTTACACCGGCGGCAGATTTGTAGCCAGTCACAGCCAGGAAATGGGGACATTGAACCTTTGATAATCATGCAACGCTCTGCTATTGGTTTTACACAATTGTTAATCTCTGCTACCACACGGCGCTTTAACGCTTGCCGGTCTGGAAGGATCGAGTCGGAGATTGGTTATCGTGATGCGTTTGGGTGGTTTGGCAGCTTGATGGAGATCCTACACTTTCTTTGAGACGAGCAGCAGTGGAGCGTACGGTCGACACATCATGATGCAGCAGCGCAATTCCCCTACCATGCATACCGGCCTATGAGCGTCTCCTTGGATCAGCAGGAGGTGGAAGAGACTTGTCGAACTGGAAAGGAAGCTTGGAACAATCTTGTGGAGATGGAACTTCCTTGTATGACCAATCATAACCGCGCGGCCATAACAGAGTTTGCAAGATGTCGCATTGATCGCTGAGAGCCACGAGGGACAGCGTGGATGGCGAACAAAGTGTCCCAAAGTTGAGAGACCCGTCACCTGGTCTTTGCTGGTCTCGCCTGTGCTCAGTGTGCTGGCTTGTGGTGAAAAATCTCCTGGTCCTGGCTGGGCGCAGGTCTCAAGTCTCGGGTCTGTGGTTTCTGGTGCAAGCTCGATTCATGCGCCCGATCAGACCAATTCCTTGCACGGCACAGGGCAAAGAGCAGCAGTCGAGCAACCCGCCACCGGGCCACCTTGATGCTTTTCTCACCTAAACCAATCACACAGGCGCGGCGGCCTCTTCCCTGTCCGAATCACCGATGCCTCTGAGTCTCTGACCAGCTCTGTTTTGGGGCGTCTGCATCTGTGCCTCCTCAATGGCGTGCCGTGAATAACATCCTGGCAGGCTCGGGTTAACACAGAACCCAGCAGCAGGCTGCCAGTCACTGCCAGTGCCAAACTCAGCAGCAAAGGACAAGCAGAAGCCTTCCCATTTCTCAGTCGAGGGGCAGAGCAGGATTCTGCAGTAGTCAGACAGGCCACCGCTCAGTGGTCACTTCATCTGCAAGCGTGCAGTTTGACCGGAATTGTCGGTTGGCGTGATTCAACTTCACCCGTCGCCAGCCTTCTCCGACCACCTGCTATTTTTATGTCGAATCGAGCATCTATGTCATACCCATCGGCACAGAGCTATTGGGATGGTTGCGGTTGTGTGCGTACGTGGAAACGAAATAGCCTTTTCTTTACTGTACCGTAGTCGCTGTGCCGATGGGGTCCAAGGCGTCGACGGCGGGATGGGCAAGAAACTAACGTAGTAGCGGGCCACTTACTCGAAGTAGTGATCTGCTGCTACGCTTCCCGCTTGGGAGTCTAATTCGTTCTTTCTAGATCGTATTTAGCTCATTCTGCCACCTGGGCAGCCCTTGCATGGGACCAACACCACGCAAGCAGGGCTGCTTATTGGCGTGACTAGAGTGACATACAGCCACACCCTGTTGCCCTAGCCTAGCCCGCCTAGCCCGCCTAGCCCACCTGCAATCCAGCGATATTGGAATTGGCCCACGCTATGACTATGCGCATCTTCCTGCTCCCAATGGTCCATCGTCGACTTAACTACTCTGGACCTTCCCCTCCACGATAGTAGTCCATCCACCACCTAACCTCACCTCCACCTCCACCTCCACCTCAACTTACTCTCGTCACGAATACCATCACTACTCCTTCTCCGTCGCATCTATCTAGCCACTACTTCCAGTTCACTTCCTCCGTCTGGAACTTTCCACCTGCTCTCTCTCTCCTGGGCTGCGATCGAATTCGACGACACATCCAGGTCCTGTTCTGTTCCTCAGATCTATATATTGGCCCTTTTCTTTTCTGTTCTTTGGGAACCAGATAACAGTGCCATTCCTTTCGACGATTTAATATTTGGATTCCCTTTCTTGCCATGCATAATGTTCAGTTCCCCCCTTCACCACCACAATCCCCAGCCGGCTCAGAATCAGTAAACTTCCGTGGACCACGAGGTTGTTCCGCAGACTATCCTACACCTGCCTCTTCCCAACCCGGGTACAAAGCACGCCAACCTCAACAAGCGAAAGCAAGTCGATATTCTCTTCCTCCCACGCCAGAGTCGAGAATAGGTATCATCCTGGGAAAGTCGCTACAGCTTCGAAGTATCCTCGGGACTGGTGCCTACGGAGTTGTTTATTCTGCGTTCGACTACGTTTCTAATACCTGGTATGCTGTCAAGGCCCTGAGCAAAACCAACCCAAATGGAGAACCCTTGGACAGGAGACAGCGAGAGTTCCAATCCCGGGAAATCCAACTTCACTATGCGGCGTCTGCACATCCTAACATAGTCTCTATGCTCAAGATTGTGGATGACCCAGAGTGTATCTACGTTATTCTGGAATTCTGTCCAGAAGGAGACCTTTTCTCAAACATCACTGAGAAGGGCATATACGTGAGTAATGACACTCTTGTCCAGAGAGCCTTCCTCCAGATCTTGGATGCGGTTGAGCATTGCCATCGACTTGGGATCTACCATCGAGACCTGAAGCCCGAGAATATCTTGGTTTCCAACGGTGGCCATGATGTCCTGCTTGCGGATTTTGGCTTGGCGACCACCGAAGAGGACTCCGAGGACCATGGTTGCGGATCCACGTTTTATATGAGCCCAGGTAGGCCCGTTCGAGAGTCCCGAATATCTCTTTCACCTACTGACATCCTTTCTTCTCAGAATGCCTGGATCAATCTTCAAGAAAACCATCATATAAATCTGCCCCTAACGATGTCTGGTCTCTTGGCGTCATTCTGGTCAACCTTGCCTGTGGCCGTAATCCATGGAAGCAAGCTTCTGATGAAGATTCCACCTACAAGGCGTTCAAGAAGGACCCGAATTTCTTGAAGACCATCTTGCCTCTATCAGATGAGCTGAACGACATTCTTGGTGAGGTCTTCCAGAGCGACCCAAGGGACAGGATTAGCGTTTCCGAGCTGAAGAGTCGCATTTTCCACTGCCAGAGTTTCTCCGCCCCACCACAGCAAACTGGACGCATCTCGCTTGCGACACCACCCGCCTCACCACACGCCGCTCAATTCAATGTCTCCAACATATCATCCACCTCTTCTGGCTCACAGTCATCGTATGATTCGGATGAAGGCTCCATGCTCTCGTCTGGGTCATCTTCCTCGGACGAGTCTGATTTCTGTGACAGTCCGGAGACCTCTCCTACTTCAATGGATGTTGAACCCCCTACACAACCCTTGGATGAGAGCTCGACCTCTGCCCTGACTACAGGTCCCACCCACCGTCAGCCTTTGGCTGATGTTACGAACCAGATGCCTATGCAATATTACTCGCTTCCGCCACACGGCAACACTTTTCAGAAACCCACTGCTCATTGCTACTCGCCGTATGAGCAGCCTTACTCGTATGGCAACTTCAACCATGGGCAACCGTTCTACTACCATCCACACAACTTTTACAGCCAACAGGCTCAAGCATACTGATGGATGGTGTCCTGTCCTGGACATTGGTTGAGTATGGCCTTGACCCTTGTGACCTTCCCATTCGTTTTGGACTAGTCTATGGATGCCGGCTTTACCCCATATGCGTCGGCTGAGATTGATTAGACTCATCTTCATGTTGCGTCACTCAGAGTCGACTCAACAAATTAATTATTCGAGGACCGTCGCCACATGAACCTAGACAATACGGACCACGCGCTGGCTGTTTCACATTTTATACCTGTACAGACCGCAAATTTTCATTTCGCATATAAGGTGCACTGGAAAATATGGCAATTCTTCCACACTTTCTTTTTCCTGCGGATGAACTTCAGATCTTTTTACTATTTCCTGGATCGGAAGTTTCTGCCGCGGAGCCTGGCTTGCTCGTCCGCTCATTTGAAAGAGGACGACAAAAGATGGGCATTGCATCATGCAGCGGGAGAATTCGCTTGCATTGGAGTTTGGGGCTTTTACACTTCTTATTTGTCTATAGATGTTTGGGATGTTTCTCTTCGTTTTGCTTGGATATATATACTGGTGGTTTATTTTCGCGGTGTTCGGACGGATTTTTATGGCAACAGATACCCTGGTGTGTGCGTTGAAGTGGAAGAGGCTTGATTGCAGTTTATCTGCCGAAAAGGATCGCTAGCGATACCTGAATGAAATACGTTGGTGTTGAGCTTGAAAGCTCACACCTTTTAGATATGTACTATTCTATATCTTCACGCTAAAAACTTTTGGATCTCCACGAAGTGCTCGTGGAGAAAAGCAAAAAATATACTATTAGATTATAATTCTCTAACAAAAATTTCTCTCATCGGAAAAGTGAACCATGTAAATTCAGTTGCTCATGCACGTTAACAGCTGGGACGATTCAGCGGCTGGGGCGCGGTATCTTCTGGTTCTGGATACAACATCCGCTGACCTGGGTCTCACAATCCATCTCATGGAATCTTTTGAGGCTTTCTTCCAAGATTTGGCCGAATACCGACGACACCACTGACTGCCCTTGGCTTTTTTCGCAATCATGCAAGAAAACCGAAAACAGGAAGCGAAACGAAACAGCACCCAGTCAGCACAGTAAACCCCATCTTGTTTCCTAGACGAGGTCTGAACACCACCCCATAGAACTTTCAGACGGGGCATGCGAATACCGTACTGTACGTTGCTTTTTGCGTATCGGTATTCTAAGCTCGTTGCGGAGGGGTTTAACCGATTCACCGTCATTTCTTGGAAGTATCGAGCAGTTCAGACTTTCAGTGGTGTGTGGTTCGCTTGCGTGGGTGGTGGTGTGGCGGTTGCGTTAGAGCGAGTAATGTAACAGCGCCTGGTTGGTTAGTGGTAGCCCTACGTTATCTCTGGGAATCTGGACTGTTCTGGTGAGTGTTTAATCTATGGGGGGGGGGGGCAGTTTAGCCGGGCGAGGCAAGGAGGGAGGGAGGAAAAACGAGGCGACGAGTCTTTGGGCTTGGTTGGTTTTGGTTTTTAGGGTGGGTGGGACGCACTGCGTATGTCAGTGCTCGGAGGTATATGTTGGTGTATTGGTTGGTGCTTGGGGGGAGGAGATGTTGTGTACTGTATTGGTGTGGGAGGGCAGCGGCGAAATGTTATTGGTTGAGGGGCATGCATATGGTTGTGCATATGTACACTACGACTCCCTCTACCAACATCTTCTGTCGATATCCAATCCCGTGAAATGAGATGTCGGCGGGTGGTACGTCGAATCCCAGCGGTGATGCTGCTCTGGCCTCCTTCGCATACGTCAAGGACCAGCCGTCTGGCCACCACATCCAACCAGCGTTTGCGGTGTCTTCCAATATAGGAGGATTAGAGGGATGCAAATGCGGATGAGAGTGAGATGTTTAGATTGATGACTGCGTGTTGCTGACTCTTTGAAGATGTGGTGTGGACAAGCTGGGACAAGATCATGAGCGCATGGGGGTTTCGGCGGTGGGGAGATGTTGGTATAGATGAAATCTTGCCATTCGAGGGTGCAACGGAGGCAGGTATCTCCTACTGTACATTGACGATAAGATGCGGTGCAACACCTTCATTAATCGCGCAAACCACTCTTTTTCCCAGACAAAACTGCCTTTTGACGTCTGCAATGACGAGCAGTTAATTTGGGAGATAAATCCATACGCGTCTTCCTCAAGAATCGTATGCAGTCAACTCTCAGGAAATCTGGCTAACCGAGCGAGACTCCTGCTTTGCAGGGAAATCAACCGATATGGAAATCGGATGTGCAAGCACTTTGCCTTGAGTTTGCAGACAGATGTTTCTATGGAAGGCCCATCTACCGAAACAACCGAGTCTTTCTGCATATTCTCTGCCATGAAGGGTGGTTGTGATTGGATGCTGCCGTAAGTTCTAAGGAAGGAGTCCTTTCCGGTTCATGGGAAACATTTTGGTGATGGAGGGTACACAGCGGGTTACACCGCTTGCTCCTCCCTCACGAAAGTCAGTTCGTTGGTCGTGGTGAGATGAGATGTGTATTGCTCCTTCTCGTGACGCTCGAGATGTACAATTCTATCTTCATCGTCGGCTACGGCGATCTACGGCGTCCTTGAGGGGCGATGGGATTTGTGCCTCTCTGAAGCTTTCTTCATGTCAGCTGTTTTTGAAGGATTGCTCTTCGACGTCGGCCACACCAGCACCAATCTCCGTAAAAATTCCTAAAATACACATCGTAAAACATGGGACCGACTTCCAGTATTGACTCACAGCAGCGCCGTAACTTCCCGTAAATATGTCTTGGAGAAAGTCATAATAATCTTAAACTTCAGCCCCTTGCTCCAAAAGAAAACGGTATCACGATACGCCCCAGATACCACGCTGTCAACGCCTCGACGTCCACAGTGACGGTGACACACCTCGTGTCCAACGCCTCTCAATTGGTCACATCCGCCCAACTACTGAGTCCGCTACTGAAATCAATTCTAGCGCTGTTTTCTCCGACCTCCGTTCGTACGCCCAAAACGCTCGGCCATGTCTAGCAAACGCCACCGTTCGCCTTGCCTTTCCTTTATTACCCAGAATCCCCGTCATAAGGCTAACGCTCGCCCTTTCCTTCCCAGTCATTTATCTCTCGTCTCTGGCTATTGGCTGCTGAGCATTTCGAACAGGCCAAACATGGGCAAGACGGATATAAAGTGGATTAGCATGGACACAAAAAGACAATCTGACATGCACCAAGCATGGGCTAGCGGAAACCATGCAGATGGAACCCCCGTCGTGGAAGTCATGCACACGTCTGCATCAAGACCGGGCGTTTTAGCTTGAGGAATGTGCATAGGGGAGCGGTGTGGGGCGGGTGAAATTCTTGCTTTTGACGTGATGAGATTTTGACTTTTTGATGCCTGAGGTTCAGGTCTTAATTTGGTCGTTTCGGTGTTGACCTGTTTCGGTTCCACCGAAGGCTTAGAATGGTTGTGTGATTGGTTTGTCTGAGGCTGTGGGACGATGAGGCTGGTGGCAATCTTGAAATCTCAAAGTACCACCGCCAAGCAGAGCATTTTGACGAACGATCTACACTCGCTAGGCAGGTGTAGGTACGAAGGTACCTACACCTACGTGCTGAGATGGTGCTGACTATCGTACTGAGCCTCCAAATGACTTCCACAGGCAACACCGTGCCTTCCAGCCTTGCTTAACAACATCACTCAGCCGACGATACCAGACCGAGAACAACTGTGCCTGAATACCCGTCATAGCTGAGTCGCACAAGGCCACCTGGGCGAGACGCTGAGGAGAGATTTTCACAGGCGACATTCGTGATCGCCCTTTTTCGTAAAAGTAATGTTGACTATGTGCCTTAGGATGTATACACCTGGTTTCACATCTTGGGATGTACAGATGTGCAAGTTGGCTGACCTCCACAGCGACCAGGCGAAGATCTTCAGTCAATTGCAGCGGGAGGATGTCAGATCAGTGGGTTTACCTCACGAGTCGTATGTCATTTCTGCGGTTGGATGTCAGCAACGATAGGCGGGTTGAAGCTCACAGAAGTCCCGATCTGGTTCATCTAGATCCTTCGTGGTCGAGGCCATAAGCGAAGGATTGTGAATACCGATTCGCCTTTGATGGATCCTATTCGCTTGAGCGTTGCTTTTGCCCCAGTGGGTGTAATAATCACTTGAAACTTTCGTCTCTACGGAGCACATTGATCGCACCGTCATGCAGTTGGATCAATAATCACATATTGCCTCAATGCGGGAGACGGATTTCTCCACCACTGTACTAAACATCCATCGACGATGCGTATCAGATCGACTGTATGTGCCACGTGACGTACAACCTGCCACATGCACGGATTGCTTTGTGCAAGCCTTCTCCTTCCTTTTCTCCAAGCGGAGTGGATTCTTGACATGCTAGTGTGGTCGCTTTTTCGAAAATCGTATAGGTGTTTGGGTCATCCTGCCTTTAGTTTGATATCTCCCTGAAGTCTTTTCAGGAAGCAACAGATGTGTGACATCAAATAGCTCAAAGCCAAGTGGTCTGGTTGCAATTTGGAAGATTTAGGATCGAATTAGGATCTATTATTGCCGTAGAATAGTGCAAGTTCCTCAAACTGCTATTTGGGACCGAGCAAATGTGTAAACCAGATTAGAGGCAGGTCCGCAGATCTTTAGTTCTATAAGGCGTAGCACAGGCTCTAGATTATGGTCAGAAATACTATTTTAGTGTTGTTCGGGATATCTTACACGATTCTTAACAGACTAAAGCGACCAGATGCGTAAATTTCGAACATTAGTCGGAGGGAAGGGACGAATAACGAGCATGTGAAGAAGATTAGAGAATCCAAATAGATTCAGTTGCGGATATCTTCCCAGGAAAGAAGTCGAATGTGGCTGATTATATTTTGGGTTTGTTGAATGTACCAAAGTCTTCATGAAAACCAGTGACTTGCAGTTCGATACTTCACATTATTACAAGTCATAAGATTTATTTCCTAGCCGCCACAAGACATTAGCAACGAATCAAAGTTAGCTATCACGAATTGTTCATCATATATCATACCCAATCTGTGAAGGCTCATACTCAGTTGAGTTGATGTCAAAGTATCTGAAACACAAATTTCAATTACTTCAATACCCAAGAGCTGATCAGGCCGGTTGTTGTTCTAGACTTGAGTTCTGCTAGATAACCTATTCTTCCGCATGCCCGCGTGATGATAAGCCTGCACTGCTTAAACCAAAAGCACTCGGCACCAACATCTACTTTTTGCGATGTAGTAAAGATTTTCCCTCAAGTCATCGAGTTAGCGATAACCTACTCTCCTCTCCATCTTACTGTAAAGGTATGTTCGAAAAGTACCTAAGTACCTCTCGGTAACGCCCCTTTATTAAGCGAGAACCATTGTTACCACAACAACGGTTCCTGGGAATAGAAAGCGTCCTTGAAACTCGTGGAACACTCATCATGTTGAAGTTGACGCGCAAGTTCGGCTGCGACTTGCATCAAGGTATGCTCTAAGAATGACAGAGTCTTGGCTAGTCACAACCAAACATGTTTGCGACACGGTTATGGTTCACTGCCAATGTCTCGTCTACTTCGTAAAACCCAGAACAAACCCCAGTGGGGCGCCTGTGCTTCTTCTAGAAAATACGATAATACAGGGTGTTAAGCCAATAGTAAGCCTAGAATCTACTATTTATTACTATAACAAGTAAAGTCTGTAAATGGAGCACAGACGCCCCACTGTGGTTTGTTCGGGGGGAGACGAAGTAGAACACCTCATCAGATCTCGAAGGTCCTGTCAACCATTCAGGAGATTGACCGGTTTTCAACTGCCCAAATCTTTTAGGGTTGCGCCTGCAAAAACCATCACAATAGGGCTGCGCTAACTGATAACTGCCGACGCCGAGCAAGTTTAAAATCAAATGCCGATGAAGTTCTCCAATGAGCTCGTTGAATGAAGAGACTAGTCATCGGCCTCGAGATAGATTCTGGGGAACCCCGCAGATTCTAAAATAGTACTACCATCCAGAACTCCATATTGTTAGAGAATAGGGTCTGAAACGTTAAGTTACGTGTGAGAAAGGTTGTTCCCGGATGTTCCGGGTTGCAGCCATGGAAATAATAAATCTCTGTTTGCGACGTGTGTTGGTATGTGGACCTTGGACGAGGTATTGGAACCGGCTTGAATAGCAGCGCTATGTTGTGCTAAACAGTGATCGATGGGCTTGGTAATTTGTCAGTTTTCCTTGGGGTTAAGACTTGATACAGAAATTTGAAATGTGCGCATGTTTCTGACGTCTTAGCACATTCTACTCATAGGCCAGGGTCGTAGGGCAAACTGCTTTGCGCAATCAAGACGACTTGGTAGAGTTTTCCTCGTGGCGGTTCTTCTATCTGAGAAGTCATGTTCGGGATAATCATCGTTTCGCTGCACCCCCCTTTCGCTTACCGAGATCGCCGAGGACTGCAGTTACCTCATGCCAGACATAGAAAGGCTGACAAGGCTGCGACACCGACGACGGGTAGGACTCTTGCTAGCGTGAGTTAGGCGGCAGAGCTGCTGATATCTATCAAGAAAGCTGGGGAGACCAGGCCTAGTAAGCGCTTAGGAAATGGTAGATTATCACTTGGCTTGGTCATGGGAATGTACTGCGCAAGTAATAAATCTGACCAAAATCCGTTCACGGAACACTCGGGCAATTTTGAAAAAGATTTCCTCTGAGTGATACTAAGTGACGAAATATTGTTGAGGAGTGATGCCCGAAACCTGCTTGGAAATGAAAATGTGGACTAGGTATAGTATAGCATCTTGGTAGAGGTAGAAATTGTATAACCAATGATGCAAAGTTGATCAATCGTATGATTTAGTTGTGTTTTGATTGCGGGGACGCTCTTGGAATGACTTCAGACACTAAGATCATCACACGTATTTGTTTCAAGTCGAGGCGCTTAAGGGCTTGCTTGATTAGCGTCTTCCGTAGCAATGTTTCGATCTTATCGGCTTCCGGATTTGGAGTAAAGTATTTCAGGAATCACCGGCGTATTGAGTAGCGCGACAGAAGCGAAAATGCACACAAATGCTTCTGGAACCTCAGATGGCCGACAAGTCCATGCATCATCATATATACTTAGTGCAGGCGGACCAGCACGATGAGAAGACGGAACGTGCCACATGCCACCTGGGGTGCCCGGCCCGGCGTCATCGCCGTGACGGCTTTTCTCAGAGCACGCATCTAAGGCGTGTGTGCTGTTGCTAAGTAATAGTTAGAGAAATTTCCAAGAAATCCAGTGGAAGGGTAAAGGGGGACCTTAGCTCCCGTGAATTCTAGGCTTGGTAGCTCCAAACCAAATCTTCACCGCCTCTTCCATGAACCCACAGTACAACGAGCATACTTCGTATTTCATCTGCCGAGCGACATCAAAACTACACTTCGAGGAAAGATCATCTCAGAATACCACGATTTTCTCAGCCAGTGCATAATGGTTCTGCACTTAAGCAATCGCAATCTGCACATGAGACCCCTAAAGGCAGACCCGTTATTGCTAAGAATCCCGAACCCAACCTAGTTAACCGCATTCTGCGGAAATGCTGCGGCTAGGTGTAAGTTCGAGTTGTCTTCACATTATTGACAGCAATTTGGACCCTCTAGCACACCCTGGCTGTGCAGGCTGCTCAATAATGGCGTGTCGGATAAGTTATGTAATTCTTTCCGTTGAATATGCCATCAAGCCTAGAGAAGTGTCTTCGCGCTGTTCGGGCAGGAAATGTTGAAAAGGACAACAATTCCCTATGGAGTATAATTGCGCTTGACCATCATCTTTGCCGATCTCTCTAGGATCCTCTTCAACCTCCTTCATGTGCGGTAAATGCCGACGATCCATACGTCTTATGTTACTAAATCATTTCTCCTTTTCCTTACATTTGTTCCCGAAACTTGTGGCTGACTGTAGAGTCATAGTGTTGATTTCGCAAGATCCGTATGACCGGACGTCGTATGGTAGTGCAAGAGTTTGGATAGCGTGATTGATAGCCTTGGCGACTTTAGTGTTCTTTTGGTTACTTGTTCAGGTGCCCTTTGCTTGTGAGTATGGCAATTGTCGTACAAGAACAAAAAAGGCGATGCTTGCATGTCGCCAATTTGCCGCTTGTTACTCAGTAGACTGTAAAGTTTGCCTTCAGGGTGGTGGTCCGTAATGACACAAGAGTTCGAGTTCCACAAGGGAATAGTGCATATGTTTCCTTGCAACCATAGTCCATGTGTTGTTAATGTGGTACACATATTTGACGAGGTCCTTGGAACACTGAATAGCGTGGAAATGCCATGACCTCGTACTTGTGGTCTGATGGTGTTAGAGACGAGAAAATGTACCAGGTCAAGCGAATACTGGAACAATTGTCTTCGAATGAGCTGCCAGCTGAATGTCGCAACATGTATTGCTTGATGGCTCGTCGTTCGCCTTCGTACAAGTTCTCACAATGGCATGAGGCGGAGATTGTCTGGATTTGTCCTTCCTGCTGAATCAACAAGGCTTCATTCAAAGCTTCTAGAAGAGGTGCAACCGCTATTCCGAGACAATGATGCATATGCTTCGATCGCGAGAGGATACCATATGTATGTGGGTGTCCATACGATGTTGGAGGTCTCTGATTTAGACATGGCTTCTAGACTTTGTCGTATATTGCCTTGATTTGAATTAAGTCGAGAGGAAATCTTGATGTCGTAACGTACTCCAATTCGTGAAATCGAAACTTGTTGAAAATCTTAGATTTAGACTGGCAGTTGTAGAACTGGATTTTTTGGGCAGATATGCATCGAGAATAGCTCGAGCATATTCCTTTTGCCTTCAGACGCAACACAAGCCGCTGATGAAGCCTAATAGGTGTAGTTAGGATCGTCGTTGATCTTCGTTGTCGTGAAGTCGCGCTCACACGCGACGCGTGACAGTATCACCAATGTCCTTCGGTAGAGCCCGAAGCACCTGGGGCGTCTGTAATTCATTCATTTCCGCCAAATACGATATTTTCGATTTTCATTCTGATATACCGACGCTTTCAGTGTGTTGTTTTGTCGATGTTGTTGCAAAGTGTCGGGATTGGCAATATTTATTTCTAGCTTCACTAACCTCACCATGAAGCGAGGGCCATTTGGACACTTTTTTTCACCAACCATGTTGTGAGCAACGAAAGCAATCATGTTTGGTACAATGACCATGTACTTCGTCCCGATCTTAGATTTTATGAAAGGACGTCCTGAAGAGCTGAGATACATTGACGGAATAAATCTGCAATGTCACCAATATCCTTGGTTAGGTGCTTACTTCGGCCATAGTAACTGTATATTGATATAATTCTGTGTCTTTGATATTGTCAAGTGATGATAGTTAATAGTTTTCACAGCTGCGCTTTGTTGTGCATTAATACGATTCCTGTTTCAGTGGGGATGAAGAGCTCGAACTCATACTTAGGAGGGGTTTCATCCTTACCAAAGACGCTCTACGAGAAGTAAAGTTCCTGCATAGCATCTTGTTATCTGATACTATATTTGCATGGCTGAAATAGATGGGGGTTGAAGAAAATGTTCAACTTTCCAGAACCTTAACAAACATCGTGCTATGGAAGCTCAGGCGACAACAGCCTGTCCTCCCGCGTTTCTCCTTCTTTTAATCGGTTTGCTTCCTATGTATATTTCCAACTTAGTTGTCAGGCTTGTAACGGAGGTGGCCTGTGTTGAACATTTTCAATCCAATCGATGTTTGCGAAACATAGCCTTCTGAAGTTCAGCCTAACACAGGTGAGGTAATTTGGGACTCGAATCTGTAGGAACCGCTGTCCTGTCCGATATTTTGTAGGTAGGCCTTTTGTACCAGTGTAATAGAGACCCCAAAATGACCATCTGTTTGACGACTCAGGAGTTTCCCCTGGGAGTTGGATCTGTTTCAGCCTTCAAGGCTCGAGTCTCGATGCTGGTGATGTTAGCGGGAGCCTTGATAATGAGTCGCTGATCGTATTGATACTTCTCCATCCCAGAATATTTTGGACCGCTATCAGAATAATAATATCACTACTTGTTTTCGACATGTTCACTGTATTCAGACAAGCCATGAGGACAAGCAGATCGCTAATTCTGAGCATAACATGTTATTTACTTAGAAATGCCAAGCGAACATCTTGGGTATCTTTCTTCTCCTAGTCCCCAGTATTGATATTATGTTACACCGTATTATTTCCTATGTTTCCTGTCCGAAACCGCGACAGCTATCATGAACACCATTGGGAGTCTACATACTCCATATTGAGTCCCGTCAGAAGATCCGCATATGAATATTGTCTGTTGGTGACGAATGCCGTTTGGTTTATTTCTCGGGTACATCGCCAGAAGCAGATCTACTTGCGTGATTGTTCAGGTCCTTCAAGTATAACACGACCAGCCAGGCGATACAACCACTTTTAAGTAGAGATGATACCGCTCTGCCAAACAAGCGATATTTGAATCGCCTGCCGAAGGATAACATAGATGATGAAGTTGGTCCTTCGGCGTCCATTCCTTGGCACCGAAGTAGCACAATGGATATGAGGCCCCTTTGCCAAAGATCTTGCTACCATTCGAGGGCTTTCTTTCCACCATATCCCTGGAAATAACAAAATCCACATGTGGAATTTAGATAGGTATACCGTCCTCCTGAAGATTTTCATGTTCTCAACACATATCTACGAAGCAGAATCATCGAGCTTTCGGCTTGCGAATGATGACTTTCGTAGCCTCTAATTGCCAGCCTACCCCGTAATCTCCGATTAGAGAAGGCCAGGTGGTGTTAGTATACTGCTCCAAAGAATTCAACTCGATACTGAGATAGCCTCTTCCGAGGCATTTCAGGGCTTGTCGCCTCACAGTATCCTCGGCAAATTCCATGAGTTTAGCCTTGTGCCCATCCACGCTCTTTCTGACCTTCCAGAACAAAAAGTAATTGTCATGGGTAAGAGCACGTAGTGTAGCATCGACTTTCGCATCCTTTAATCCCCACTTATGTCTCATCGCATGCGCCTCCGCGAGGTCGTTCTGCCGACAAGCAAGATCTAGAACGAGGTAGCTCACAAATTCCTGGAGCTCGGTTTTCGTAAGTGGTTGTACTGGGTGCATCCGTTTGAGGAGATGGAGAATCGCTGGATGATATGATTCCATCTGTTTGACTAGAATGGACAACCTAATGCAGAATATGTATGCTTGTATCGAAAAATCGTCGACTCGATTTGATGCCACAATTCCTTCCCGTAGTTTCCTCATAGCCATTATTATCATGGAGAGATCCTTTTGCCCATTGGTCCCAATTTCCGTGGGCATCGTCTTTAAGAAAAGCTCGACCGTACTTCGAGGCGCAACACTTTGGGGTTTGATGACCTTGGGTTTATCGTTCTTGCTGTTCTCACCCTTCACATCCAACTGCGCCATGCGTCTCAGAAGCTCATCGCCGCGGCCTGCATCGGAGCAGAATGCCATGTACCTCTCCACGATCTTCGTGTAATATCGCTCTTGAGCCTTGTGATCAAGCAATCTAGATACATAAGCCATATGAATATCAGATTTCGTTTCCAACTTACCTAGCATCTCCCTTTGAAGGTAACCCCACCGCTTCCAATGGATCATAGTTTGCAGGCTTCAGCCGATTCCATGCCCCCGGATTTGCGCGACCCCCGCGCGAGTAAACCGACATTGGAAGTACCTCGTAGTTTGAAGATGGTATCGCAGATTACTGGTGAGAAGAGATTCACATTTTGGCAAGCACGAGGCTGATGAGTCTCCCGCGATGTCAACATCGAACAATTTACGAGCAACTTGGGCAGGTGGGTCCGAGCTCGCGTGTATTCCATGCCGAGGCCCACGTTGCCCAACATCGTGACTTTGAATGTGATCCTCAACACTTTCACAGTGGGAAATATACCTAGGTATATATTAATATTTAATTACTTCTATGTATTCAATATCACACTTGGGAAATTCCGATATTCTGCTGATTCGACAAATTACAACCGCTTGAAGTCCTGTGGAACAGCCCTGCCAATTCATCTTCGCAGTACGAAAGTACAACATGTCTACCGAAGGTACTCGTCAAAGAAAACCACAACCGACGGAAGTCATCGCCGAAACAGCCAAAAAAGTCGAAACCGAAGTCGAAGATGTTTTGACAGTACTCTGGAACGACTTGCCATCATGGCAGCGTGACAATCATTACATTCATTCTGGCTACCGTCCACAATCAAATTCCTTCCTCAAATCTTGGGCATCACTCTTATATATTCATAACGAAACAGTCAACATATACTCGCATCTTCTCGGCGCGATTGCTTTCACCATATCTGGACTCTTGCTCCATACTAGCCTTGCTTCTCGATACCACTCTGCAAATAAAGCTGATGTATACACTTTTGGCTGCTTTTTCCTGGGTGCGGCAGCATGCTTGGGAATGAGTGGAACTTACCATACCATATCCAATCATAGTCCAATCGTATCGAAGTTTGGAAATAAATTGGATTATGTAGGAATTGTTGCGTTGATTACCGGAAGTTTCGTTCCAAGTATCTACTATGGGTTTTATTGTTATCCTCACCTGCAGGAGATGTACTGGACTATGGTAAGTCACTCACTCAAGCACGAGTATTTAAATCGTTAGCTAAGTTATGAGTAGATTTGCTCTTTGGGACTTGGATGCGCGACCGTCTCAATCTTCGAGAAGTTCAGAACGCCAGAATGGAGACCCTATCGAGCAGCAATGTTTGTTGCTATGGGCTTGTCTGCAATCGTTCCTGTTTTCCATGGTCTAACCATCTATGGGATAAGCAACATGCAGGAACGAATGGGACTTTCGTGGTTGCTTCTTCAAGGAGTTTTTTATATTACGGGTGCTGGGCTGTATGGGGTAAGTGAAACTGAAAGCTTTTCAAAGTAAAGTTCTGACAACATCCAGGCGCGGTTCCCCGAAAGAAGGTGGCCAGGCGCTTTCGACATCTGGGGAAGTTCCCATCAAATCTTCCACATTTTGGTTGTAATGGCAGCCGCCTCACACCTTTATGGTTTGTTGATTGCCTTCGATTACAACCATAGGACAATGGGATTGAAATGCTGATATAGGTGATATATTACTACACCATCTCAGCTACCTCAGAAACAATCTAGTTGATTTCGAAGTCCATATGGTATGACTTTTCGCTTCAGCCCTGCTCTTTAAATAGGTCCAGCCGCGCATGCGTGTCGATCCATCTCTTCGGCGGCTTTACGCTTCTTCTGCTCCTTAGCCCTCATAGTCTCCATCGCTCGAACCTGTTGGTGAGCCAAACCCAACTCGCCAGCTCTTCTCCAGTTCAACGTTATGAATGATTGAACCAAGTCAAGATCATAAAAGCCTTCCTCGCTCTTCCTCGCTGCGGGTGGGATTGTACCATCAAATTCTTTTCCCCCCATAATAACATCGATCAGCATTCGAATTGCAGCAGACCTAAAAGGAGGACCCTCGGGAATCTCTTCGACTGGCGGTATTTGACCTTTGATCATGTCTCGCTTTAGCTCTTCAAGATGCCTTGCGAGCTGCCAGTCTTTTAATCGTTTTTCGTAGACCTCTCGGACACCGAACTTATAAAATGCCTCATCTCGAATCTGTTCTCTTGTAATTTCGGGCTCTTTAGGACCCCCCTGCTTCCTTAGCATTGGAATAAACTCATCGATCCAAGCCCTAAAGATTGGCCGCTTTGCCATCCTCTGCCGATCATTGTGCTTCAATTTCTTTTTCCCAGCATCGCCACCCTCCTGTCCTAAATCAACATTGGTCAACACATCTCCTTCTTTTACATCATCTGCCTCCTCTTTCACCCAAAACATTCTGTTCTTTGTGGCGTATTGGAACATCTCCCCCTGAGTTTCAAATTGTTTCCACCATTTGTCCTCATCCAAGCCCAGGAAATCTAGAACTCGTTTAGGGTCAGATGTGAGGAATATCAAACTCTTTTTCTTATCCAGAGCTTCGATCTCCGGGATCCTCAAGTACAACCCGACATCATTTGCAGTGAGCCCGAAAGGCCTAATTGTCGCACCGAGAATGTTCCATAAATCACCATGCGCTGAGTGAAAGAGCTCCCATTGAAATCTCTCTGCTGTCGGAAGATGGTGAACGTCAACTTGAACATATCTCTTGTCCGAAGCGCTCTGATAATTGTCATCTGGCCATGGGACAGCAAAATTGACTGTCGGATTTCCCGCTGTAGTTATCAGAGCTTCTGCATTAAGAAGAGTCTTGAGCTTCTCCGCAACTGGCTTCATGAGTATGAAACTGTTTTTCAAAAACGGGCTATAGCTCTCGGAAACAGGTGAAGCCACAAGTACGTCGACATCTCCGAATGTTGTTTTACCAGGACCTTCAATAGGTGCGGCGCAATATTCATAGTGACTTTGAAGCAGCGCAAGTGTATGCTGAAGCACCCTGGTATAGATCTCGGATGGCATACGAGGTGTGTTGAGCGGCGGAACACGAAGGGCGAACGCTGAACCGCCCATCGTGTGGATGGCGATAGAAGTATGAGGCTGAAACTTGCCGATGAGGAAATGATATGAGCAGTTGAGTCTACACCAATTCCGCGAGGGATCTATTTTCGATAGGACTTATAGAGACAAGATTGCATGTATGCCGTTGCTCTGACTAATATTTGCGTGCTGGATTGGAAAACAAAAACAAACTTAACTTCACCTTTTGCTGTACGACTCATCGTCACGTGTAATCGAGAGGGAGCAAACATCTTATTAAGAAAGAGGGATATGGAAGATAGAATGACACATTAGTATCGCAGTTCTCTAAATATGATCCAAATTTATAGTGAAGTCAAAGTACAACAATGAAGAGATGTATGAAATAACACAAAATGGTCTCCCGAGATCTCGAGGTCCTCCTGACGTCACCGGACTCTACGCTCAGCCCTACCAGTGCATGGGCCACATAGATCCAATCTTCCCACATTTATGCCTCTCTTCTTCAGAGCACAAGATATCCTAAGCAAGAAATATACAAGGTACTTCAGGTTAACCTTTCTCAAGCTCTTTCTTGCCCAACTGGTGATGCTATCGATCACGTACAACTAGTAGGTAGTCGTCAGCTACCCGAGGGCCTATTGCCAACATGTCAAAGGCCAAGCCGCTTGTATGTGGCTCAGTCCGGCTGCGGAACGGATTTACGAATAATAACGGCCTAAACATCTGGTGAATTGCTCGATTTCTCGGTCCCAACCCAATAGCATGAGAGACCAGTTAGCTGGGAAGTGGAGAGGGGCCGATTAGTGTTGCCCCTCATACTCGCGACCGGGTTGGGGTACAAGTACAAAGCAACATTATTTACCCCTCGACCTTTGTCCGTGGACGACTTCCGAACGACACTACCTCAACAACCTTCCTTTGCAACACCAGTCGAATCTGAATTGCTCCATCCTTTATCGGAATCCTACTGTTCCTACGATGGCATATCAGCAGCCCTACGGTGGCTACGGTCAACCCCCTCCTGGTCGTGAGTATGCCTCGTTCGGGGGTCGCGACAGAATAGCTAATGACGTTGAATGCAGAATATCCCCCACAGCAAGGCTACCAACCTCAAGGCGCATATGGCCAGCCCCCTCCACAACAACCGCCATATGGCGCACCACAAGCTCCATACGGTGCCCCTCCGCAAGGACGTACGTTAGATACAGCTGGAATGCTAT